AAGAAGATACCTACCATTGTTGTTGTAAACACGGTAATCCACCAGGAAAAGAATGCCCCAGCGGTCATTGTGAGTCCAACCATGAAGTAGAGAACCAGACCAAACATGGAAATTTGGAAAAGCAATACAGGAATATCCGCAGCGATTTGGGCAAGACAGAAAGCGGCTGGGTGGAAGTAAGCGAAGCCCTTGTGCTTGATCAACACAGGTCTACCAGAGAAGGACTCGGTCACTTCACTCATGGCGAGCAAACTGTTGTAAAGAAGGGAGAAGAAGATAGCACCGGATTTGATAAAGAGTCCACCAGAGTTATTGGGGGCATCAAAGAACAGGGAGCCAGCAATCAAGGCCTGAATTAGTGTTGCCACCTGCTTGATGATGAAGGTAGCTTTGTCGCCCCAAAGGATTTGGTACTGGCGCTGCACACAGATCTTAACCTGATATATGAAGTCAACAGTGAAAGGGCTGTGCTTGGGCAACCTTTTGGAAGTTTCATATAGCACACCCTGCTTAAACTCCTCTGTCCGCTCACGGGCGAGGTCGGAGTCCGGGTAAGAGTAGTCTGCGATCATTTGGGTATAAATTGGTGAGTTTTCGTATGCGGCTCTCAGGGCCTCAGCGTTGCGCGGGAAGCGGTTCTCGAAGCCTTCGCGAACTCTGCGCTCGGTGGGTACAGTAACACCAGTGAGGTAGTCGGCGACGTTGGAACCTTCGCGGCAAATGAACCCGGCTTCCTCCATGAATGGCCTGGCTTGCTCTCTGGTGCCGTAGAAGATCTGCTCGCCTTCATCAAGCACGAGAACCTTGTCAAACATATTGTAAATGCCGTTACCAGCCTGGTAAAGACTGACCACAGTTGATAGATTGAGGGTGTCGGTCATAGCTCGGATAGCCTTCGTCCATTCAAGGGCAGTAGAGGCGTCAAGGCCACGAGTCGATTGATCCCAGCAGTAGACAGATCCTCGGCTGGCCATGCATTCAATGATGGAAACTCGCTTGCGTTCACCACCGCTGACTCCGCGAACGTACTCATTACCGACCTTGGTATCCTCGGTATGAGAGATACCGACGGATTGGAGGAGGAACTTCTTCGTTTCTTGCTGGTATTCCGTGGGAGTCATGCCGTCTGGCAGATGGAAGGGTATCTTGAGGCGTGTGGCAAAGTCTATAGTTTGACCGACTGTGAGGGTTGGGAAAAAGATCTCTTCTTCGGTGTTCATCACAATCTGGCCTCGGAACTGTTTAGCCTCCTTAGGGTGCATCGATCCAAAGCGAACGTCGCCCTCCACCGACTTGTATCCTGCTCGTCTGTTGGCAAGTATTTTCAGCAATGTGGTGCAGCCAGAGCCCGGGCGGCCCAACACAAGCAACATTTCACCGGGCTTCACGCAGCCATGACTCTTGTTGAGGATCGTCTGGAGAGGAAGCTTTCGTCGGCTCTCTCTGATTTTGGTGGGAATGTCGAACTGGGAGATAACAGTCTCATTGACAGCGGCCTCTGAGCTTGTTACATGCACGGAGAGGTCCTTCCAGGTGATACCGAGTTCCTGTTTCCTGAATCCAGCAGCGAGGTTGCGCTCGTTATCCTCCTGGAGCTTGGCCATCATGCTCCAGTCATTTCCTTTCGGGTTGGGGCTTTCCATGCTGTCCTCGCCCGTGACTGTCCTGGCGCTTTCGTTGTCGAATTGTAGCTCTTGAAAGCTTCCGCCATGGTGTTTTTCTGACCCGTCCATGATGGCGAGGAAGGGACAGGGGGGAAGAGGCGTTGAAAAAGGCCGATTAGTAGGGTAGATCCCAACTTGGGGGGGACTACATCCTTTTATGAGAATCTCAGTCTCCGATAGGGCGGCCCCAGAAGTCCGAAGCCGAAGCCATCATTATTTTTTTATTGGTAACATCGAAATTTCTGTGCGGGGCCCAAGTGATAGATCCTAGTAAGACTCGGAAAAGTTGATAACAACATGTTTTCGGAGGCTCCTTTTCAGCCCGAGCCGCTGACTAACCGTCTTATGGGCGTGGCCAAAGTTCCGATTGGACCTCGGGAGTCTTGGCAGTCCACGCGTGATTCTCCATGCCTTTTGCTCCTTATTTTATTTTTATGGCCTACTTTTTTTTTTTTTTTGAGCTTTTTGCCTTAGAATTACTCATTAGGACTAACCATCTTGGGTTTATCTCCCAACTATGCGGTAATAAGCTCAGACCGTACAGATCTTTCTGTCTACCAGCCAACTCCCGCCACGGAGGGAAAAAGGCCGAAAGCCGAGATGGGAACTACGTCGGTTTAGCCGCAAGGACGAATAATGATAGGAAAAACCAAAGCTTGCGGGAAATCCCCTGATCAAAGATGCGATCTTTCATGACGGATTGAGGAATCTTATAGATGCTTAGCAGTGGTCAAAACTTGTTGGGCTTTGTTAGCTCGACAGCCCCCCGTCGGAGATTCTACATCTAGACTAAACCCGAGGGAAACCTAATACCTTATTCGGAATAGCGGAGATGGCAATCTAGGCACGGATTCTAAGTATAGTGGATGAATTAGCATGACACAGCCTTCGGCTTTCGGGACCGGTGCATCATGATCTCCGGATTACATATCACTTTGGCACTATGTACACAAGGATCCATAGTCCCCCTTCTTATCTCCTACATACTAGGCTGCATTATTATTGCAAGAGTCGGCCCCATACGCAGGTTTCGCAGAGTAAATCCGTACAGAGATGACTTTAAAGATTTTATTTGCTCATACTCCGTACATTCAGATTCAGAATACTTCTCGTTGGCTATTCGGTCCAGGGGTACCCAGCGGTATAGGCGCAAACTGCCATAACTCCATTTCTAGTAATATTTGATTCCTTGATGCCTAATTTAATCTGATTATTAATCGCTTTTTACACCGCCCTATACAATATACTGTAAATGATTCATCCTAAAATAAAGCTTTTGATCTCCACATAAATTGAGAGATCTCGACATTCTTAGACGGGTTACAAGTGTTAAAATCGAAGCTTTTCATCTCTATACAAATAGTCGTAACTCCATCTTGTTTGAATCTACAGCAGTAGAGAGATCATGAAAAAAGTACAATGATGCTATTGTAGAACCATGTAGAAGTGAAGAGGGGAGGATGCAGAGCCTAGATGAACTACAGGGAGGTCATGTGACTAATGGGAGATCTCAACACATCTTTTTAGACTTATAAGCCACCTAGAATATGGAGATTGAAAGCTTCAATTCTAACACTTGTAAACTATACAAGAAAGTCGAGATCTCTCAATCTGTATAGAGATGAAAAGCTTCAATTTTAACACTTGCAAACTATATAAGGAAATCAAAATCTCTCCATTTATATGGAGATCAAAAGGTATATTTTTGACACTTGTAAACTATACAAGAAAGTCGAGTTGTAAACGCTAGCAAAATCAGGCTACTTTGATTATTAAGGGAAGTGTTATAGTAATTCAGATGTTTTGATTCTTCTGCCCGTCTTTAATTTAGGCCGCCAGGCCCAAGCTGGGCATTAAGGCATCAGCATAGGGTTTTGGCAGTTGGCGCCTATACCGCTGGGTACTTAGTATTCCCTTTTGTTCCTTGCTCCTTTTTCCACGTTATATCGCCTGTTATACTTTATTTCTAGTCCGGTCATAAGTGCACTCAGACTATCAGTTGTGCGGTTCTGGCCAGCTACATAAATATTGCCACCCCGAGTGTGCGGACTGATCCGAATGATACATCAACAACAGATGAGAGTGTATCTAGTTTAGGCGCCGTCTGGGAGTTCTATCACGGCTTTAAACGAAAAGGTAGATACTGCATAAAAATATGCAATATGTATTGGAAAGCCAGCTCAACCTTTTCACTCGTTGAGGCCCGATAAGGGGTGAATTGATGTATTAAAAATGATCATGACGGTGTGGATGTCAGCATTGGGTGAGTGATTCTGGATATATATATTCATGCAAACGGAAGCGCATGCTTTTCTGTTCATTGTTTAAATCTATCTCGAGAGAGTCGTAGTTGGCACCAGAAGTCCATATTATTAAAAGCCTCATGTAAAGCAAGGGTAGTGGGGGTGAGCCCTGCTCTAAGCCCACAAGAAACATACCGGAAGCCTACTGGGGACACCTACACACTCCAGGCGATAGGTCTAGTGCAACGTCCCACCTAGTTCATCCTAGGTTGCGCTCCAATCCCAGCTTTCGATTGAAGCCTTACGGGTAAATGTAAGTCTGTGAGATGGAAAAGTGTTCAGATAAGGTGCATATATGTCTTCAATATTGTTCGTTGGGCCTCCACTGGCTATTTAGCTACCTTTTGTTGGTTTGTAGACAATATCAGAAGTGTGTTCTCTCCTCCCTTGTAAAAAGGCCTCATATATGTATATCTGAAATATTCATACTCTCACACCTAAGTATGGAGTCAAGAGCAATTTATTAGAAGATTAGCATATCCAAGGCCCTGATTCGGCTGACCCACGACTGGGAAAGGGTGGCTAAAGTTCTGGAATGAAGAATTCATTTATGTGTGTTGGCCATATTCCCCTTTGCATGTGAGTACCTCAATTAATATTTCTTCCTTCCCTTCTCCTTCTCCCCACCTTACCATGAACCCATCCATCCAATCGCTTAGGTGATATCCTTCCGTCCCACCGTCCTTATTTACCACCGTGAGAGCTACTAACATTCTTAGTCAAGCTTTGGCTCCTGCTCCCATCCCCACTGAAATACTTAACGAGTACCGCTCGTTACAATGCGCCATTGACTGGACTGACAAGGATTACCAGGGGTTTGACTCCGCTGTACGCGCAGGGGACATTGCGTGGAGGAACGCTGAAGCCACTGTGTTGCAAATTATCACCTGGAATAACGAAGGCCGAACACTGCGCGCGATGAACATTCGATTTATTTCAAACTCAGAAGGCCCCTCAACTGAATCAAAGTGCAAATATTCTATGACAGGACTTGGGTCAGGAAGTGCTGAGATTCAACTGAACAGCCTACTGCCTAACTTGGTTTCTGCTCTCCCGAGTAGAGCTCCGATTGCAACTGTCTGGCCAAACCTCCTGCCACTAAAGTTCCCGACGACATGGCCATTACTACCGCCTTGGATGACATGGCGCAGTCACCCACCGCGAATACCCTCGGGATGGAGGTGCTATAGAAGGGCTCCGTTGTGTTGATGTCGCCATCAGGCGTGAGGTGCAATCCTAGTTGTTCCGCGAACGGGCCATTGAGTTCAGTCTTGGGCCGGTGGACCTACAGATTGTCAGCGTCAGCCATGCCAAATCGCACTTTGGGGTTGAGGATGCTCACCAGAAATCCCTCCATTCTCTGGGTGCCATTCTCAAATCCTACCCCCACGTCCGATGGAACCGATCCCCTGACAAGCCGTGCGATAGGCCTGCTGTCGATCCTGAAGCCTGTATCATGACTAGCTTTCTCGAGCGCCTGCGTAAGCTCTTGGGAGCCGTGCGTGTAGATATTGACGGTTCGGGCGAACCGGCGGGCCATGCGAGCAACATGTATTGCCGACATAGTGTCGGCCATATACCCGATGGCGAGTACTCCGACAGATTCGCAGCCTCGCTCTTCAAAGCCGTGGCAGAAAAGACAGTAGAAACTGCGGGCCGTCGCGCGGTATGAGCCATGGAAACAGCAAAGCAAGAAAAAACGAAAAGAAGGGGAGAGGAAACGGGATGATGCTTACATTCCTCGCCCCCAGCACTCTCCATATCCCGTGATATCTGGGAAACATCGCGGACTCCATTGGCAAGGACCAACTTCTTGCCCGTCCACACCCGCTCTCGCGAGTTAACGGCGTTGAAGCCCTCTTCGGTATCCCGCTCAATCTTCTTAATCTCGACATTCTCAAATTGAATGGTGTCGTACCGGGATAGGATACGCTCATCAGCCGCACCACTGCTCAACAACTACGTTTCCGGTCTCAATTTCTCCCACTTAGGTAGAAGAACCAATAAAAACCTCGTCTAACAGATGCAAATGTGCACTGAGACCCAGTTGTAGGAGGTCCAATTGGCCTCTACCTTTCCAGGCTTGGACATTTGGATGCCAAGTCCTCGGAGACTTTGCTGGGATACTCTCCGAGCCCCACTTGGCTACCGGCCCGTTGCTTCGGTCCGTTGTAAATGAGCCAATATGTGCCTGTGATTTATGTGTCCCGCCCCACTCAGGCATTCTGGGGTGGATCATGATCTGACCTGTTTTCTATTTTGTAGGCGATGCCCAGGTGGATTTCGAGCTTTCAGTAATAATTTGCTCAGTTTATCACGTGTAAGCACCCAGGCTGGGTTATATAAATAGGTCGTTGTATTCCCACATTACCTTTTGAACCAATGCTCACCTGGCGGTATTGCTTAGCTGCACTGGTGGTTATATTCGCTTTCCTTCTTCGATATCAAACCGGATTGATACAAGAGATCTTTGACCTACCCAACACAATGGGAGAGACACTTGCCGACAAAAACCAAGCATACTGGGAGTGAGTCGTAAACGGTGGAGACAATCCGGTGAGACACGCACGAGGACAGATGCTGACTGCTGACTGTATCTAGCCATGCCTCCAAGGATGCGTTCAAAGCCAAATGGATACAAGATATGCAAAATCAGATAGGTGAATTTTTGACGGGTAGCGTGGACTGGATTGGCATTCAGCCTCCGACTGGTGACAATAGCCCCCAGACGAAGTTGATGGATTATGCCTGCGGAAATGGCATTATTTCTCGCGTGAGTTATTGACCTTGGTTGACAATCAGAGCAAATGAGACATACATCATACAATACTGACTGTTGTTATTCTGAAGTACCTACACCCTCATTTTTCCAAATGCATTGGCGTCGATCTGGCGGATGGCATGCTGGACGAATATCGTGCAACTGCAGCCAAACTAGGCCTCGACAAGTCACGCATGCTGCCCGTCAAGGGCAACCTCCTAGCTCCTACAGTCACACCGACTGAGCCTGCACTCAGTGAGGAGGAGCTGAATGGTTTCGATCTGGTGGCCATTTGTATGGCATTGCACCACGTCGAAGACATCTCGTTGGCCACCAAACGTCTCGCTGAAAGACTGCGGCCCGGTGGCGTGCTTCTTATCATCGACTGGGCGACGCGTGATTTGTCGAACGAGACTCAACAGCAAGATGGGGTGCAGACAACTCCGTCCGATTCGGAGAATCATCACCATCATCACCATCACCATCACCAGATGCATGAAATAATTGATTCGAAGCACCCTGCAGCGCATACCATCTCCCATGACAGCTTCTCGAAGGACCAGATACTCTCGCTTTTTGAACAAGCGGGCTGTGGAGAGTCGCAGTTTAAGCTGGCGGATCGACTATCGCCCGTCCCCCGCGCTCGGAGTGGGGAGATGCAGCTGTTCTGGGCTCGTGCAATTAAATTGTAACATGTCTATGATATGTTCTATTTGATTAGTCAAATTTCACTTGCTTGATTGGGGCAATTTATGGATGTTATGGTCTATGTTTGGATCTTCAGGGATATAAATTGTATGCACGCCAAGTGTATTGATATTTTGATATTGACCTAACGCTTGCTCAATTCAAGGCCTGTTCAAATTTTATTCCTTAAACTAAACATAAGCTAACTAGTTAAATCTGTAGTTATCAACCATTCAACAAATTACCTTCACATAATAAGCGGTGTGTATAAAATAACGTTCCTTGGTTTGCTTGTGTGTTATCATGTTTGCGTCCACGCATTTCCTAGACCTATTCTACCAGGCTTATGTATTCGAGAGATACTAAGAAATTATTACTACTTCTCCGTACATGGAAAATTGAGTTGCTCATCATCAGTGGCAGCACTGGGCGAGAAGAGCGGCTAGCAGTTCTTTAGGTATCTCATCTCCTTGTACCACTGGGTGTGTACATTATTCGATGGCCTTCTCGGTGGAGGTACTCCACCGTGAGGTCCGCATCCACCACGCAGACTCGTGGCCGGTATCTGTTGTTGGAGAATCTCTTGACTACAATACTGGATGGTTTCGACACACCGTCGCAAATCATGCCGCACCATCGCAACTCGGAACATTTCTTGTTCATCTGGATCGAATTCAAGACACCCAAACTGGGAAAGCGGAGGGTCTGAACCGCCGCTAAGGGCCGATCCGGGACTCGACCCATCACTCCGACTTTGTCGCCAGCCCGTATTATTTCGATCATGGTCACCACTAAGAGCGGACAACTCTGGCAGCGTCGAAATTCGACGGTTTTACTCCCCTCCCGTATCTTGGCCATGGCCTGCCGGTTTAGCCGCATCGCTTGGTCGATCGGGATCTGCAGGATCTGGAGCTGCTCTTCCAAGTACTCGATGCTATTCATCCGGGCCGCGGGATGTGGGTAATGCGACATCGCCGACCGGTAGCGGTAGCTCGGGGGACTCTCGCCTCGGTCTGTTCTGCCAATCGGGACCGCAATGACTCCGCCGTCCGCTCCTGAATGGGAAACACTGGCGTGGGATTATCGGACATTCTCGACGTATGCAAGCTCGCCAGTGATGCTTGTCGCGGGCCGGAAGTAGAGATCCCATGGTTGCCAGGGCGGGGATCAGGCAACAAGTTCTCTGTTGCCAGCCAGAAACCATCGGTCGCACGGGGCGAAGTAGATCGGCATCCAAGCTTTTAGAAATTTCTGCAACTTTGTCACTGATAGAAATGGCCTGGGTGTTTGTAGCTTGGGACACCTCCGAGTTTGCTAATGATGTCCACTTCAAAACTTCTTGCTCCTGAGCACGAATGGCCGTCATTTCAAGGAGTTGGGGTCAGATCGAGTGGCTCTCCAAAGAGTGCGTTCTCAATAAGTCAGATTTGCGTTCCAATCATGTAGCTTTAAAACAGATCCTACCTGCAAAACCTTGTTTGAAGTATTTTACTAGCCTTGACAGACCGCACATGGTGTCGATTTATAGCTAAGTCACGGCTTCTTGTAGATGGGACATTATGCTAAAAGAGCGCTTGGGGTGCATATTCTCTACCACTTCACATTGGTACAGAAGTCGGGCGATTGTTTCCAGGTTCACGAGCAAGCCTCCCCAAACCTGGATATCGCCCGCCGCAATATTCAAAAGGAAGTGAAAGGCGGCTCATGGAAGCGCGGTACGAGTTGGATCGTACTGGACGATCATGTCCTCGACAGCGACAAGGTGGTTAACCCATTCTGCGATCTTTTATAGCATGTCTTGAAGAATAATGGTCTTTCCACTGGGTATCTTCAGCGTCCATTGTTTGGCGATACATACCTTTCGTTTCTCGTCGGCTGCCTTTACGAGATGGCGGATTTCGAGTTTGGGAGTTGCAACACTAGCGAGTGCGGCTCGGGTATCGGGATCAAGTCGATCGATTGCATCCTGCCAGCGTGCCGTGGCTGTTGCAGGTGACGGGGCGGTAATTGCTGGGGCAGAGGTAGACATGACCGATCATTGTCTAAGTTTATACCAACTTAAGGTTAGGGGTGAGTTCATACTCACACAAGCACGATGTCAAGAAGCTTAAGGAAACATGAACAACGGATCTGAGTGTGCGTGTTCCTATGGCTTTGGAAATATCATTCGGTTGCCTTCAGGGATGTCAGTGTTGTCCGCGGCAGCCAGGTGGTCAACCAGGGTGAAAGTAAGCGCCACCATTCTGGATACCAAGAAAGCACTGGGAGAGGGGGCAAACACGAACTGCCGGTGTCTTATGCAAGATATCAACTGGGTTTGTGGCACTAGCTTTAACGGAAGCTGACTGCACCTGGATACCAAAATCAGCCTCGTAGCAACTTATTACTCATCCATACATCCCTGCAAATAGTCATCTCCGCGGAGAAACTGATTCTTTTTCAGGGATCTTGGGATGACAATACAAACTACGCGTTACTGCAAGTATATCCGCTCAAGCCTCTCCAATCCTCTTACTTGGCGAAAGGCGGGGGATTTAGTTTCACTTGTTGACTGACCACGTAAACATTCCTATATGCTACCACGTATCTTTACAAGTAAATATTTGCAAATCGGATTCGTATCATGGCATAATACTGATGCTAAACGGTAGATAGATTAAAACTAGAATTGCCAAGTAGCAATATACCTGTAGGTACGGAGGGGAATAACGCTAACTAGACATTTCTCCTGCACCTGAGTAGTGAAATGGTTGAAGTATGTCCATGCACTAGCCATTCCGCTAACCCGATCTCTCGAGGGCACAATAATTGGAGCGGCACAAGACACCTTGAACGAGAACAAGATGAAATCCGCAGACAATGACTGGGAAGAGGATGGCGGCAACTATTCAGACACCAGTGATGAACCTGATATAGACTAGTGGGAAAATGGTGGTGGATGGCCCCTAGTATACGACGTTATCTACAGATTACCGTCGATAGGGAATTCCTAGACCTCATGCGAACATAAAGAACTTTCCAATGGAGTCGTGTCTATAAGGTGGAAGCCACGACATCATTAGGCAGATTTACAGCTCACATGCAAGGCCGCCGAGTCTGCTTTGGCGCTCACGAAGGACTTGATCAATATGACATGGGTGTAACACCCTCGAAGTGGGCAATTTTCCACCCGCAACAACTTTCAAGACTTTCCGCCAATTCATTGGGCAATCGAACATAGAAGCTTGGGCATCGTCCAACACATTCTGGGTTAAGAAAAGGCCGATGTCAACCAAAGTTCTTCTGGCCTTATATCGCTCATGCTGGCTACAAATTTGCTGTGCACACATGCGGTTGATTTGCTCTCAAGTAATATTCAGTGAAGGTCATCGTTAAAGGCCTCCGGGAGTTGTATCAGAGACAAGGCAAGATAAGTGAGGCCAAGAGATGAATGTACGAGCGAGGAAGGGTTGAAAGATAAGTCTATTGTTCTAGTTTAATCCATTGAATCAATATGCCTTTTCATGTCTCTATAAAGTAAGGGAATAGTCGCCTGTTGCGCGAAGAAGCTCTGCGAATCTGGATGGCTGTGAAGCCAGAGTGACTGGGTTTCCACATTCCACGATATTACCTTCATCAAGCACTATGACTTGATCGTAATCCAAGATCGTTTTGAGTCTGTGTGCGATGCACATCACTGTGTGCTCGGGAAACCGTTCGCGAAGCACATCAAGAATGATGGTCTCGGTCTCCTGATCAACACTGTTATCCAGAACAAAAGGTTAGCTTGGTAGCACAAGACAAAACAAATAACAATTGCTGAAAGCCCCTACCTGCTTGTCACCTCATCTAGGATAAGAATTCTTGACGTCCGCAAGACTGCACGAGCGACGCAAAAGATTTGTTTTTGGCCATGCGACAAGAGGTCATCGGTCATCGGGACATCCAAGCCGCCTTTCTGTATGATGAGTTCATGCAGTCCAAGCCTGGCCAGAATTTCAAATATTTCCTCATCCGATCGTTGCCCTTGGATGTCCAAGTTCTCGCGGACCGTACCATAGTAAAAGAATGGCTCCTGGGGCAGAGTGATAAGCCTGGACCGAACCTCCTGCCGTGTGATAGTGGCAATGTCCAAGCCGTCGATTTCGATAGTGCCGCTACGCAGATCCAGAAGTCGCAACAGCGATCCCACGAGGGAACTCTTACCACTGATATATTATTAATGGAGACGCCTTAGTTACGCCAGACCTTAGGCCCAGGGATATATGCTTACCTGCCAGTTCTGCCGCAAATCGCGATCTTTTGTCCAGGTTGGACTTCCAGGAAGACGTTCTTGAGCACTAGTGAGGACTCGCAGCTGCCAAGAAAATATCAGCCTTCAGTTTCTGGTATCCCTGTTCCGTCATTCAAAGTTTTAGCTGCTAACTCACCTGTAGGCTGCCGAGACATCATGAAAGCGGATTAGGCCCCGGTCAGGCCAGTTCGGGGGTGGAGGCTCTGTTGCATCCGGTTGATCCTCGCAGGGGGTGGTCGACGTGAAATTTTGGATACGGGCAATTGCACCCATGGAGATTTCCAAAGCCGTCCAGTTGTACACGAGGCCCTTCAAGTTAGCGCCAAACGCGACAATATTGACCAGCGCAAGACCAATTGCTGCACCCGACGAACTCCTAGTCGTAACCGCAACACTGACCAAGGTAATGGCCAAGAACGCAACGATCATATCCAATGTGAGACTGAGCCATAGCTGGGCACAATATAAAAGATATATAGACTGCTGGGCCGTCACTAGCAGACGATCATTCCGGGTGGCGTATGCTCGCATCCAGCCAAACGCGCGAACACTGCTCAACCCTTGTAGTGTTTCTATGAAATTGGTCAAGAGAGGCGCCCGAGCTTGAATTTCAAGAATGCGAAGTTGTCGCGAGGTTTTGAGATAGTACATTTGTACCAAGTACAGAAGGCCGATCAGGACCGGCACAGTCGCGGCAATGTACTTGGAGCTATACAAGATGACAACCAACTCGCCGACACATAAGACAAAAGCCATAGCTGTGCCGATGAGTGACCGAGGGAGTTCCATGTCCACCAATTCAAGATCTTGACTGAAACGGTTGGCGATTTCTCCGCTGTCGGTGCTGGAAAGAAATCCCAATGGGGCTCTAGATGAAATCATCAGCCATGATTGCTCTTTGGGCTAGCTGGAAATCGAGTCTTACCTTAAAACTGTCTTGAGCAAAATTTCGTGAAGTTCTCTGGCGGTTTTCGGGACCATTACTATCATCAGTTGCCTGCGGTCGGTTTGTCAACATCGACCTTTTGAAACTCGAAGGGGTTTGCAAAGAACGTACAAGCATGCACCCAGAAATAAAAAGATGGCCAAGGTAGACCAAAGCACGTATAGCGAAAGATAGTATGCCAGTCGATCATTTGCCTTTCTGGCGTTGGCCTCTACCCAGAACTTGATCCAGATTTCTTCGGACGTTAGTCTCGCCGTGAGTATAAACAAAACGGAAGGAAGGCCACACGTCGACTTACGGGAGAATAACAAGCCAAAAGCGAAGCCGGAACAAAGCACAAAGAAGACCAAAAATGACACGCGCCCCGTCTTGTCCATGTAAAATTTGTAAATAGCCAGGTCACTGGCAGGCCGATTTTCAGCATTCAGATTGGCATTTCGGAAAACAGAATCATCTAGGCCAACAGTTTTGTTGTCGCCCTGGGGATTTATTTCATCGCTTCTGTTCTCTTTAGGATCAAGGCTTGCTAAATAGCTTCCCTGACTGATCAATTCCGAATACATGCCTTGTTCGACTATTGTGCCGCCTGGTCCTAAGACAATGATGTAATCTGAGAGGGAAATATTGCGAGCTAGAAGAGAGGTTTTCCCCATTGTCAGTGAAAACTCTGGGCCTCATACTTATCGCGACCTACTGGAGTTTGTGGCAAGAACAGTTGTCGTGCCCTGCCTCAACAGACCGCCGGCACCGAAAAGCGCAGTACAGACATCTTGTTCTGTTTCTGCGTCCAGACCAGCAAACACATCATCCAAAATAACTAATGGTTTTCTCGCATAAAGTGCTCGTGCCAATGCCTAATTTAAGGTCAGCCTGAAATTCCGAGTAAAACAGACAAGAACATGAGAAAAAGATATGAAAACAAGATTGAATTACCAGACGGCCTTTCTGACCACCACTCAACATGACACCCTTGCTTCCAATCATAGTATCCTCTCTCCCAGGAAGCTGAGTGAAGTCCCGATCTAACGCACAGCTCTTGACAACAGTGTTGTACCACTGACTATCGAATTCAGAATGTCCAATAATATTGTCCTTGAGGGTCGCATTGATCAACCATGGAGTTTGGGCGCAGAAGCCCACTTCCACATCCTGTACGATGACCGTTCCCACTGTATGGGGTATCTCGCCAAGTATAGTGTGCAGGAGGGTTGACTTTCCTGATCCAACAGGCCCGATCACTATCACAAATGATCCCTGTTGGATATTCGCATCCACGTCATTGATCACAGGCCTTGATGATCTGTCCCAGCCCGCAGAACAGTTGCGCAATAAAATCATGGCGCTGGAATCTATTTCTTCCGACACACTGGGCCTGAATACCTTCTTCCCTTCGTCCATTTCGTCATCCTCCTCATTGGAACCTGCAGATTTCATGGGCCATGCACTGAAATCTGCATCAGTCGCACTGCAAGTATCACCTGGAAGCGGGATTCCACCCTCCAGCGCGAGATATTTTCGAATACGTTCCAGGCTGGTTAGTGCTTGAACCAATCCCATTATAGCGTCAATAAGACTTGCTGCGGCCTGACAGAGAAGTGATAGGATTGTCAAGGACGTGTAAGCAGTAGCTGCAGTCAGTGGGGTGGTATCTCGGATCATGGCGAGAATACTATATGCGCCAAAGGCAAAGGGCGGTGCCATTGTGGTTGCCAGATATGCTAGATGAAGTTGAGGAGCTCAGAAAGGACCCGGAGACGACAGGGGGTTCACAACCCACATAATGTCACGAGCATGACCAGCACTTCTCGGAATTTAACGGACTTTTGGATTTCATAAGTTCTCAGCTTTGTGATAACTGAGTTTAGAATATCCGTTGAACCAGTTGCTTTGACTCCCTTCATGGTGCCGATTGCTGCCACGGTTGTTGCGATTCGTGTTTGCATTGCCTCAAGCCATAGCTTTTGGCGAATGCCCATATATCCGCTTAATTTTCCGCTGATGAGAATACAAGCTGCTCGATGGTCACCGCGAATTAATTACCCTAAAAGGAAGAGGGGATTTGACATATCTTACCTATGACCACCGCTGCAGCTGCAACTGCCGATACTCCGATATTAACATCAAGTAACCATATAGATAGACCGATCTCGAGCATGCTGGCCCAAGTCTCATGCAAGCTACGGAGTCCCGATCCTATCCGTTCGATGTCAGCATTAATGAGAGTGAACGCATCACTTTTGGAGGGGGCGGATATATTCAAGCTCAAGGTATGGTCGTAAACCAAGAGAATTAAGGCGCCGCGCACCATCACGACTATGCGATAAGACCGATGATGAAACATTGCTGTCATACACTATGAGGGTTCTATAAATGAGCAATCATGTCGATCTCGGAACCAGGTTACGCGCACAACTTACGGCGATGCCAACGTAGACTATGCCGTAGGCTGCAATCAGGCCGAATGCTGTTTCTTTTGTCGTGAAGCTACTGGGTTGCCCCAAAAAGCTCGTCACCCGGTTGACTAGGAAGGGCTGGGCAAAGTGAACGCCTGTTAAGCACAGGCGCGGCACAACACCGGCTAGAAGTGGCCACTTGTACAGTGCCAGTAGGACCATAAGGAGGCTCTTAGATTGTTCTTTTGCACCTACGAAGGATAGACAGAGATATCAGTTGAACGGTTTGATTATTGGGATATGATAGAGTCTCATTACCATGTTTCCACTTTTGGCGGACCTCATCTTTTGATCTCTCCAAGCTGATATCCTTATCAACCTGTAGGAGGTCGTTGAATTCCAGGGTTCGCTTGTAGCCCGCCCGCAGCTGCGGATTGAACCACCAGAACGCACTTAGGTTTAGTATGCCCGCTGTCTGCTCGGGAGGCAAGGATCGGGCAATAAGACTTCTCTTCTCTGTTGCTTCCAGCACAAGGAGTACCGATTTACAGACCACGAGCGTGGTGAAGACGATCGCGATGGCTTCATTTCCAGGAATGTGGAACAGGGTGCGCGCTCGCGCCGCGTCCATGGGAATAGATCCTAATAAATATACATTTAAGATCATTGACGGTCGCTGTGATCTATTATGTTCCTGGTGCGATAGGAAAGCGAACATCGGTGAAACTGCGAACCCAATTGCGATGGCAGCGTTGGATAATCTAGTGGTAGACGTCTTGAGCACCAATGAGAGCACCAAATGTGTGAATCCCAGCATGGTATATGTGGTCCAACATATCTTCAATGAAGAGTTTTCGTTTAGTTAAATTGTCACTTCTGTGCGATATTGATATCGGAGAGGTTTTGGGGGGAGGGGGTTGGCGGGGGGTTCATATCTCTTTTCAAAGGAGAAGCACTCACTTGCTTGACATACCACAGAACTCCTCGATGACTGAGAACTTTCTTCGCAGATCGGAGTTCGTACAGACGCCAACATCCTATGGCGCATGCAATCAAGAGCGCAGGTATATAAAGCACGCTTTCTTCGAACAGTAGAGTGAAATCGAAATTATAGTAGCAATTGGACACCTGCGGACCAAATACGTCCTCCACTTGAATCCCACATTGTTCCATGGCGTCTTCCTGGCCCCAAAATTTGCTACCGATGAGATTGCCCGGATAAATTCACGGAAAAGGGGTTGGTGTTGTAGATGGGAAGATATCGCGGGTTAGAGAGCGGTATAAGAACATGCGGAGCTCGGGCTGCACTGCGACTCCAGCGCACTCTCGTTTTTACCGAGCCTCTGAATAACTGTCCTAATCCATTTGGGGTATAATCTAATTCTACCATATTTAATACATGAAGGGTTAGGAGAGCACTTTCTAGGCGTGGGATGATGTAAGATGATGTACTGGCCCCGGGGGTACCCGTACGATTGTCTATGATACCGGCGAAAGGCTCTATCGGGGATTTCACTATCTCAGCCGCTACGAAGAAACATTTCCGACGATGTATATAAACCCCACTGAATTTCGTCAAGTCGCACCCCAGTGCCAAAATCTGTTGGAATTCTACATTGACTTTAGTCTCCGACGCGATGGCTATTCCAACGCTCGATTACTCCAAGTTCCAGAGCGGCTCGGACGCAGAACGTCGTGAATTCGCCTCTGCTCTAACGGAAGGGTTCATGGGCCTCGGTTTTGTCAAGCTGATCAACCACGGCTTCTCCAAGGATGAAATTAATCATTTGTTCCAATTAGTACGGGTTCCCTCTTAACCGTCCTCTTGCTTTTGGTTGCTTTCCGAACTGACCACAAGGTTTAAATAGAACCAAGATTTTTTCGACTTGCCTAATTCATGCAAAGCTAGCATCCAGAATGATGAAGGTCCCAAGCCGCAACGAGGATGGAGTAGCCTCGGAGCCGAAAAGACGGGCCTACTGAACCCAGGCGGCAAGACTAATCTCGCTAAAACCGATCAACACGACCTCCAAGATGCGAAGGTGAGAATATACTAAAAGCCTTCCTTAGTGATGCTAAACATTAGTCCGGACTGGCATATGCTGACCTGTTCTTTTTTTGTTCGTTCTCAGGAGCACTTCGATACAGGCCCAGCTGGGGACATGCAATATCAGAACAAATGGCCCTCTCCGGATCGCCTGCCCGGGTTTCGACCATGGCTGGAGTCATACTTTAGCCGTAGCCAAGCCATCACGCTGGGGCTGATGGCAGCGCTGGAGCTGGGTCTGGGGATTCCCGAGGGTAGCTTCGTTGGCTTGTGCCAGGGCCACGCCAGTGAGCTGCGACTGAATCACTACCCTTCCATTGCCCTCCGCACGCTCGAGGAAGGGAAGACAAGCCGTATTTGGCCCCATACTGACTTCGGCATCATCACGCTCCTGGCGCAGGATGACCGTGGCGGGCTTGAGGTGCAAAACAGGGAGGCCCCGGATGAGTTCATCCCCGCGCCGCGCGAGGATCCGACTGAGTTTGTGGTGAACATCGGCGACACCCTCGAAAGGTGGACGAATGGCGTCTTCGAGGCGGGCATGCACAGGGTCACAACTCCGCAAGGCGAGAGATTTTCCAGCGGCAACGATAAGATGTTGCCGGCGCGGCGATCCATTGCCTTTTTCCTTAAGGCTCACCGGGATATGTCCGTTGGACCGCTGCCACAGTTTGTGACGGATTCATGTCCTTCCCACTATGAGGACATGACGGCTTTGGAGTATCAGCAGTTGCGGACGAATATCGTTTATTAGACCGACAAGGAGGACATAAGAGCGCTGGTCATGGGGGAATTGTACGTCATGTCGGGTGACGAAGTGCAACCTCTCTAAATCTATACCTATATAATTCTATTCTTTTCTTCGCTCATAGTTATACTGTGCTTTTGATGGAGTATCAAATGATGGTGGTAGTTTCTTTACATACATAAAACAGAGTTTGCTTGCCATATCATCTCAATCGACTGTGAGCGAGGAGGCTAAATTCCAAGGGCTCATCTATAAACGAAGCATCTTTGAAAATCATATTGAAAAAAAAAACAAAACAAATCATTGGAAAGGCATAATCATCAGTAGACGTGGAAAGGCTTTATGTGGAAAAGCCCTAGTTCCTGTCTGTATACGCTATACAAAACGGACGATGCATGGGCTGAATAATCATGTCTGTTCTTTTGGTGACTTTGTTTTGGCTCGAGCCTGAGACCCATTCTGGTGGGCAGTAAGTGGGTTAAACGACCGCCTTGCACAGTCCAAGCAAATCTTCTGTGTCGTATAAGGATTCGCCGAGGGACGCTATGTCGACCGTCTCAAACGCAAAGTTTTGCGAAAGATCTACTCCGCCCAACACGTCAAACACCTGTTTAGATAGAGCCTGGCTCAGGCTTCGCAAGTACGCACCCCGGTGTTCTTGCAGGTATGTCAAGAAGAACCGGATGGTATCACTTGGTAATTTTTCCACCCTAGATACGAGAGAAATTCAGTCAGTGGATGTCTTATCCTTGATTGTGGAAGTCAAACTTACTGATCAATACTGATGGAGTATCGGCCGGCACAAGGTATCAAGGCCAGAATCGCTCCGGGAAGGGTGTGTTCAAAAATATACCAGTTGCGTGCGCATGATAAGCGGTTACGGAGCTGGGTTAACTTTCTAGTATACATGCAGTCGTTGGTCTGACGACTCTCCCCTACGGGAGAGGGAGTGAGCCCCGGGTATAGCATTTGCATTAGATCCGTCAGAGCCTGCGTCTTGGACCGGTTCTTGGGCCGATCCTGGCTCACACGTCGATCACTTTTGTCGGCCGAACGAGCTCCACTCTTCCCGCTGTCACGGATCAGCTATAGGCGAGCGCAGTCATATTTGAGCATGCGCTTGGATCCTCGCCCAGCAAGTTTGGTAGCAATATGATCTTGTTCCAGTCGGGTCCGATGGGCTGAGAGACGAACAAGGTAATATCGCCGGAGGATGTGTGAGAGGGCAGTGATGGAGTCGAGTCGGTCAAGGGCTTGCACAGTGGTTGCGAGGTCGTTCTGAAGGCCGGATTGTACCACCGGAATCACGGAGGTCTTTCGTGCGAATTGAAGTGCATGGCGTAATTGAATCACAGCGTCAGGACTCCCAACTGCGTAAAAGAGACAAGTCAAGAGCTGTGCCACAGAGCGCTTGCTTTCCGAGAGGTGGTGGCTAAACGCAGCAAACACCTGAGTGGCCGACGGCAAATGAACCGGGGTGCAACCCAACCCCACCAGCGATGAGATCCCAGTTGCGTAGGGAGCTATAGCCTCGTGACCCCCTTCCTCTACCTCGCTGCAGGGTGGTGCCGCCACTAGAGTCTCCTTACCACCCTCAGACGCATTCCCAGGCATTTGAGGTGTGGACTGCGCTCGGATGACCTGTGCACCACCAACGCTAGCAGGGGACGAAGCCAGGATATTGTGGGAAACCGCACGGCTTACGCGGGAATCACAGGCAACTGAGCTTTGGGCTTGGGCTACGGAGGGAGTAGGCTGCTGTGTGGAGGCCGGGGGGTTGGGAGCCGGAGAGAGTGTCACCCGTCGCTGCGGACTTGTGACATGTCCAACAGCTCTATTTAGCGCCGGTGAGTGAGTACTCCGTCGTTGTGGATCTAGGATAGATCCAACACTTTGATCTGGTGCCGGTGACCCGATCAATGGGGCGACAAGGCCCTCTCGGACCTCTTCTAGTTGGATATCATTATTCCCCATCTGTGTCACAGACACAGGTAGGGCTGCACCCTCTTTCGGGTTGGATTGACTGGTGGAACCATACATATCTTCTTGTTCCGCCAGTAGATCCATGTCCATAAAGTCTAAAACCGCAGGAGTCGGCACTTGAGTTGGATCCTGGCTCTGACCCCCTGGCCAGAGAGGCACATTGCTCAGTGTCTTTGGACTCATTCGGGCAGGGGTGTGATTAAAGCCACCCTGCATGGACCACCACTGCATTTCATCGCTCCCTGCAATGTCTATCCTGTCGCATTGGTCAGAGTCGCCACTCCGCAGCAGCGCCTCGCCGTCGGGGATTAAGACTCTAGGTGACAGGATTGGCCACTCACCCGTCGCGCCAGATTCTGTGGATGTCGTGGAGAGCGACAGGCCAAGAGATTCGAGGTCGATGTCGATAAGGTGTTGAAAAAGTTCCGCCGGCGGTGAGTCCCCATGGATCCCCAAATATTCGGGTGGAGTATCCGCTGGGATGGTATCGAGGCTGGTTCGGGGCGTATCTGAAAAGCTTTCTGTCTCTTTCCCTTTCTCCTTCTCCGAGACAGAAATGGAGCTGATGCAGTCTAGAATGTCGAGTATGTTTCTTTTGGCTGAATGCTTCAATTTAATGAAAGTACTGTCACGAGAGCTCGCCAGTGCATCCAGAAGTCTCTCACGGAATTCCACGCACAGCCAATCCATGAACACGATATCAACACAGTCCCGCTTGCTTCCTATTGACAGCTGGAGCTGGGAAGCTTCTGAGGTCGCATACGAGTGCTCTACTGGATCCATTCCCGCGGTAGAGTAGAGAGACCGACCTTGCATATGTCTGATTCTATACATTGAAATCGATAGTGACAGACAAGGATGAAAACGGGCTCGATCATAAGGAGCTCCAGGAGCCTCAAGTCCAGGGAAAAAAATGCTAACTCCGAGAGGAATTCTCTCAGCCAGCCTTGCCGAGCATGGTTTAGTGAAAACAATATTGGCCCATTCCTCCGTCCCGTCGTCTCATCGCCATACTGACAGCCGTTCCAGGGAGGCTCTGGTCGCATAATCACTGGCCACCTGTAGGTCCACAGTAAGACCTATAGCGTTGGCGTTCGAGGCTTTGGAACCCATGCTCCAACGGCGTCTGCCGTAAGCGACGATAAAATCAGACTGTAGCGAATCATATGATAGTAAGGACTTTCATTTCCACCACTCTTGTTCTTTATAATCCTGCATGTGGGAGGCCATTCAGCCCGGATTCCGAGGTAGGAAGACCCTAGTCCTTATATGGATATATTTTCTCTACTAAAAGTACGACCTAAGGACCCTCGAGCCCCGTCAATCCTTGCCAAGTGCGGGATTCAATTTGCCTCCCCCGGAACGCGAGTTCCCTGCAGATGACCCTGCAGATGCCATGAGCTAGTTCAACTTGACATGCTGATTCAGCAATGCTCTTGTCTCGATAGCCTACAACGGGACTGCGAAAGCTTTACGTGTTCCGTCTAAAAGAGGTAGATAGAGGGAGACAAAGATTTCCTTCCGTTTTTCTTGCTTCTTATGCTCCTTATATTCTTTTTGCCTTTGATGTTGCTTTATTACTGGCCGGCCAGAATTAGAGGGCGATCATTAAATTGTCACCTTGGTAGAGAGTTTTGCTCCAAGCCCACTCTCGCACGAGGCACCCAATTCTGATTGTACTTGTAGATGAGTGTCCCACTTCTCTTGGGATCTCCCCCAGCTACACCTCCACCTTCGCGGGTTTTTGATCGTTGTGGGGACCCAACTCTAAAACCGGACGTTCGATTCGGGGAGTGCTGGTCTGATAGTAGGTCGCCAAAAATGGGTTCTGACCACCATCTCGAGATAGGAGATAAAGTGCTCCAACTTCTAGAAGCTATGCAGAATCTGGTAGCGGAACCTATTCGTGTTGACAGCCCATTTGCCAAAGGGTCTCCAAGGGCTTGGCAACAAGGCTGGCCCGTCCGCCAAGAACTCTACCCACATGGGGAACGATTCGAAACACGCCCAGGCGGCTCCATGGATTAATTGCAAAAGTTGTGCGCTGTTTCCGATGCCATATCTCTAATCCACTTCAGCTCCTCGGCGGTGTATCCTTTGATCGCATTTAAACAACGATATAGCATCAGGACCGTGATGTACAGTGCTCAATAGTGATCGAGCCTGATGATCATTCTGCAGATTCAGAAAGAAAGATGGTTGTAGTAATGGGTTAGTGCCTCAGATCACGGTTTTAACTAGACTGAGGTCGTGTTGAGGCGATAATATATATTTTAAAATGATGAACTCGGGTTACAGCGCGTTGGAATGTCATATTTTATAGCCCTGGAGAGCCATACAACGGGCGAAGATTAGCATCGCTAACAGATACAGACTGCGTACAGGAATTTTGTACCAATACCTATTGTATGCTTAATTGCTAAGATCTCTTATGCACGTTGAGCGAACAGAAGTAGGTCTGTTCTCGAACAGTCCAATAGTGGAAGTAGCAATGTGAAGGAATACTCGAATTTGCATCCCAATGCTGGGAGGTATGAACAGCGCGACGGTGAGGGGCACTCTTAGAACTTAGTATACTTTTAGATACGTATACATATAAGTACATCGAGTCGCCGCAACATAAAAAAAGAGCAGATTGTTTCCAACGTTTCTTCCAAGGCTTTTAATATCCAATCTTTTTGTCTCTACATACAACATGGTCTTTACTTCCGCACCATGGTGCCGGGACCTAGTTGTCTCCCCCTCGGAGACGCAGCTGGTAGGCGACTTCATGCTTGAAGGCGTCGGCGAAAAGTTCGAGGGGAAGCCTATACTAGTCTGTGCCCAGACTGGGAGGTCATATACCGTCCAGGATCTCGAGTATCGCGTGACCATGTTGGCACGAAGCCTAGCACAAGTGTTGGGATGGAATCCAAATGAAGGTTCTCCAGAGAATAAGGTTGTAGGAATCTTGGCCTTTAACGCAGTAAGCTGATCAAATCGCAAAATGCAAGAGCAATGGCATAACGGAGGCTTCTAGATGGATTTTGTACCTCTGTCATGGGCGATTCACCGCATCGGCGGCACATGTCTCCTCCTACACCCCACGTCCTCGGCTATCGAGATTCAGACCCTGATGCGCAAAGCCAACTGCCACGCACTCTTCACTTGCCGCAAACTGCAGCCTGTCTGTGAAGCGGTGTTTACGGCTTTGAACCAAGATCTGGCGCGATTGTTTTTGCTCGAATTGGCTGGCGATGATGCCACACCGGCAGCCCTGAAGACCGTCTCCCAATTGATTGCGGATGGGGAGCACCTGCCGGCATTAGAGCCTGTGGCCCTCCAGGCTGAGGGGACCCAAGATCGCCTCGCTTATCTCTGCCCGACGAGCGGCACCTCCGGGTACCAGGTATGTCGAACAATTAACATCGGCTTTGACAACAGCACGGACAGACACGCTGACCCTTTTGACAGAAATTGGCGCAAATCACCCATGCTAGTGTGGTTGTCAATACCCTCCAGGCCATCACACTGGACACTTATGCTACCGGGCCCAAACAAGAGGTCGTCCTGGGGATTCTTCCTTTGACCCACGCCTTTGGCCTGCTTATGCTGCACGTGATGATATGCCGTCGCGATACAACAATTCTGCACGCGACCTTCGACATGCAGGCTGCGCTGCGGACTATCCAACAGTATCGGATCGAGCGATTATACTTGGTAAGTCAGGCTGATTTTGAGTGAAGGAAAAAGGTGTGCTGACAAGGGTCCCTTTTTGTTCAGGTTCCCGCGATCTTGGCGGCCTTGGTCAACAACCCAATCTTATTCAAGATGGCCGATCTATCGTCCGTGCAGTCGGTGGTATGTGGGTCCGCGCCCTTGAGTGCCGACATGGTGCGCGCCTTGAAACAAATTCGCCCCGATTGGAATTTACTCCCTGGTTACGGTATGGAGACAGAAACTACTCTCTGGACTCGGGACTCGGGCTGACCAGGCGTAAACGACTATAGGATTGACCGAAGCGGCGGTGTTTGTCTCATGTACCAGTCAACACAGCATCTTCCCCGGCTCTGTGGGAAGCTTGTTGCCGCAGGTGCAGGTGCGGCTGCTCGATGCCGATGGAGCCGAGATCCAGGACTACGACATGGCCGGCGACCTGTATCTGCGATCACCCAGTGTCATGAAGGGCTACCTCGGGGAAAACGAGTCGGATTCCCCCCATTCGACCAGGACGGGTGGCTAGTGACGGGCGATGTAGCGTGCATGAGGCGGAACACTGACGGCGAGGAACATCTGTTTATCGTGGATCGGAAGAAGGATATCATGAAGGTCAAGGTATGTCCATCACCTCCTAGTCCGTGGTGTAGCGTGGCTAATAACAAGCGTCACAGGGCATCCAGGTGGCGCCGGTTGAGATTGAAGCCCAGCTCTTGAACCACCCAGCAGTGGACGAGGCCGCAGTATTTGGCGTGCAGCACGACGAGGCCGGCGAACGCCCATTCGCATTTGTGGTGCGCTCGCGTCAGGTAAACACCGAGATGGACGAGCAGACACTCCGAGAGGCCCTCGCCGCACACATTCAAGATACCCTGAGTGAGCCATTCTGGCTCCGGGAGAATATCCGGTTCCTGGAGGCGATCCCCAAGAGCCACAGCGGCAAGGCTCTGAAGTTTAAGCTGAAAGAGTTGGTTTAAACTGTTCCCACCAGTGAATTATCTAAATAGGACTAGCTGATAAATTACCTGTTTTTATATTTAAACTTGTTTTTCTTACTTCACTTATTATTACGGGGGCCGTATACCTGTAACGGCGCACTGTAGCCCACGCTAGTAACTTATTGAGTGGAGTGGAAGTCCAAACGGTAATTGGTTCTGACACCCCTTGAAAAATAATAATAATATACCAAAAATGTAAGAATTTACCCCCAAAAGAAAAAGAAAAAAAATCAAGTCTTTGTAATTTTCCATTTACCGTTGCTCTATTACGACCAAACTTTGGGAGAAGGGGTACGGCCTGATCCTTTTCTGTTGTCATCATCAAATTCACCATTGAGTGGCCCCCAAAACACCATAGTTCTCCGTGGAGACTCCCTACTAGCTTAATGTGTTTTAGGTGACAACTAGCCCCTTTTAAGGACTTTGGAAAATCCATCCCATTTGATATAAAATATCGCATTTACTGTGGTGTTTTGGGGCCACTTGGTGAAATACGTTATGTTTCATCGCGAGTATAGCTTGGAAACTATTTTCCTGCAGTGCTCAAAATACAGCTCTAAGGCATCCAAATATATATCTGAAAAATAAAAGACATTGCAACCCAAAGACTATGCGGCGGTTAAATGATCTGATTATTGCTCAGAAAAAAAAAACCTACTTTCAACCTGTTTAGCTCTTTGAATAGTTAGTAACGTATTCGGTAAGCGAGTGGTCCATGTAAGCCAGTGGTCCATCCCAAAACACATAGTAAATCTGATATATGCTACACTTTTATCTCAACAACCAACATCTTTGTTTTATTTAACTACTTGTGGATAGCTATGGATGGGTATTTTTGGTCGTACATATCAATTTCGAATGATTTTGAAACTCGCATTGTTGTGGTATCGAAAATTACGCCCCAAAAGCTCTAGGATATATATATCTCAGTTAGTAATTCACCAAATTTTTTGAAACTCCCTAAAGTGGACGGATATCATATAAAAAGCATCCCGGCTGTATGGAAAATTTCATACAGACTACCGTTGTTAAGATATCAAGTTGTAATTTATCGCATGTACTATGTGTTTTGGGATGGACCACTGGCTTAGTTACCGAATACGTTAGTTATTGAAATGTTCATTATGTAAATAATTAGGCCATGGAATTCGGAGATATACTTCTTCCGCTCCACACGGCCCCCAGCTTATCTACAAGCCCGCTTTTATCTTGTGAGTTGTATCTAACTAGTTACGGTCATTTAACCCCATCACGTAAGCGTTCAGTCAGACCTTGATTCTGTGTCGGTATATGCGACCGTCTGCAGTAGGTATGGGATCTCATACTTTGATTAGCAACCGCATTGGCGGTGCTAAATCCCGATCTGGCTGCAAAACTTGCAAGTAAGTATTGACCTAGCCTCACTACAGGCTAGCGCTAACTGGCCAGAATACGAAGGGTCAAGTGTGGCGAGGAGAAGCCAATATGCCTTCGCTGCTCCAGCACCGGGCGCAAATGTGAATATGGCGACCCTATAACATCCTCCCCCGCTTTTGTATCCCTACATACAGCGCCTCCTAGCTACAGTATGAGGGTGTCACCGAATAGCGGTTGCAACGAGCGCCGTGCCTTTGAATATTATATCCAGCATGCATCAAATGGACTTGGTGCCGGGATGAACCTCGATTTCTGGACAAAAGTGGCCCCACAATTCTGCCGTACCGAGCCTGCTGTATGGGATGCCATAATCTCAATCAGTGTCTTATACGAATATCCTGATCAGTGCCTGGACTTACCGCTCCTGAAGCTGCAACGTGAAAAGAAGCGGGGTCTTAATCAAATCCAACGAGAGGCCTTGAGATGGTATTCTCGCTCCATATCCAGCATCCACTCCCAGATTGTGCGCGGTAGAGCAGATCCATATGTCGCACTGATTAGCTGTGTGCTATTCATTTGTATAGAGGCTATTCAAGGCCGTGTGACAGAAGCTCTTCAACTTTACGAGCAAGGTGTCAGTTTGATCCTTACATTACGACATCAAGTTGCCGCTGGGACACCCCTCCCCCATAAGGTCCTACTTCTAGAGAATACTATCATACCCCTGTTTTTACGGTTGGGCTCCATGTCCTTGACTATACCAACGGTTCAAGCCAGCGAGATTTTTGCCTTTGCTAGCCACGACTTATACACAAAGTTCACATCTCTTGATGCAGCAAGAACTGCGATTTCTGTTTTGTTTTCAGAGGCCACGCTCCTTGAGCGAGAGGCATTGCCACATCGCAGAGCAACCATCAGGGATTTGGTTGCAGGGGCGCATTTGGTTGCCAAGCAACAATCCATCCAAACACAACTATACCATTGGCTCCAGGCTTACACAAATCTCTGCCAAAACGGCGCCCGGGCCCAACCCGTACTCCTAGCATACCATGCTGCTACTTCAATATACGTCTCTGCATGTTTGTCGCAGCAGGAATTGGTCTATGATTCCTACATGGCAGACTTCGCCATCATTGTTGAGAATGCAAGTCTAGCCCTCGGAGGAGGTCCAGACTGTGTCCAACCACCATTCACCTTCGAAATGGGCCTGGGTCTCCCATTATTTCTGACTGCAATCAAGTGCCGCGATCCACACCTGCGGCGGAAAGCTTTGGGACTACTACGTCAAGCACCGCCGATTCAAGCGTTTTTCACGTGCACCCCTGTAGCTTTCATGGCAGAGAAATGCATGGACATAGAAGAGGATTATAGCCGTTCCATCGCCCTCACACATGATCCACATGCCTTGGATCCGTCTCCCCAATGCTGCGTTTCAGACTCTTCTCCATGCTATGCACTGGAGCATGAATCTACTTGTGAATTGTCTACCCTTATTCCTGAAGAGGCTCGCATATGTTACCATAACGTTTTACCACCTCAGGACGGATATCCCCCAGGGGCGGAAGGAGACATTGCTGAAGATGGTCTTGGCTCAAATCAGATCTTGGAAGTCTTCCGGAACCACTTTGATAAAGTTCACAACATATGGCGCATGATTTCCCACCGTGTGCCGCTATAGGGCAACAGCTGAGTTTTGTTTTTGGATATGCCTCTGTGCGCTAGTGAACCCAGAATTTGAAAGCATTATAAGCCTATTCATTGGGGCTAGCCTATCGTATATATGCATTTAAACCTCCCACCAGGGGCAAGTGAGGCATACTCTCATGCCAATTACGAGAACCAGAAGAATTCCGTAATATTCAGTATACTCATAATGGTCTCCCATCGGCAAGGCGTGTCGAATCCCAGATTGAAGAGAGAAACAACGGAGACAATTTTCCGAGGAAAAGACGGCTGTTAGCTGCAGCCACACGTCGTGTTGATCAAGGTCAACTGAGATTTCTTACACCGTGAAGTTGTTATGAAATAATTTTGATCTATCCAATTGGCCTCTGCTCCACACAAATGCCCTCCTATGCTAGCCACTAATAGAAATTTCTTGGGAAAATTCACCACCAGATATAAGGAAAACCGACAGAAATCAGCTGTATGGCGAACGTACTGGTAAAACCACAATGGTAAATTCTCCAATTAAAGTCAACAATGGTCTGGATTCAACAATCTGGTCAGACACAATTAGGCAGCAAATGCATAGTAAAAAGACAGTATCATCCTGATTCTTGATAAAAACAACTGAATTATTGTTTATCAGGGTCAAAAAAAGGGGTAAAAAGAAAATTGAAGAAATGGAACCAAGACTGGATAATCGATAAACTTGGCTTTGCACTTCGTGTCCTTGTTGACTTCCTTATATTGGACCTCGGGAGACCGAGGTTTCGGTCCGGGCCGAACCACAAGGAGATTACCGACGCCTGAGTGGTGGACGTGTTACCCGTCGCACAGACCACCCCCGACCTTTCGCTTAGGGGTAGTCTGTGCCACGGTTACAGTTTATTAATATAGCTTACTTAGACGGCTGATGCCAAGGACTGCTTCTAGACATGCACCAACGCCACTGTAGAACGACCATCCGATTGGAGGAATAATATTGACCCCTTTTCTCAGAATGCATCTTGGGACAACTAATTTGAGACTAATGATTATGGCGAATTTGGAACGTGGTACGAGTCCGCTAACTATGTAACTAATTACCTAGTATGTAAACCAGCCAGTAGCTTTCCAAGGTTGGTCACAACGGAAGATGTCCGAGGTACTTAGTAGAGAGGGAAGAAACAGCCGACCGCCAAGTCCCAATCACGCCTTCACAGAATTCTCCTCCGACCTTCGTCGGATCAACAGATGCTCCTGCGGCCCCCGCAGGGTCAATTCTGTGAACAGCCCGGCCTTACTGGGTGGGACCGGGATGATCTGGATCTCATACTTGGTGAACATGTGGGCAAACAACAGCTTCAGCTCATCCGTTACGAAGAAGCGGCCCGGGCAAGCGCGCTTTCCTAGTCCAAAAGAGAGAAAGCTCTCAGAGGCACGGGACATGGGAAGACGCGACGATGGCGTTTTTGCACTTGTCTGGTCAGCTGGAGTCTGGGGACTCTCATAGCGGGCAGGATTATAGGTCATGGCCTCTGGCCAGATGTCATCGTCGCGGTGGATGGCATAGGCGGCAACGCTGATGCGCGCCCCGCACGGCAGATGGAGCCCATCCTCCAAGGTCACTCCTGTAGGACTGGTGACTTGCCGAATCAGACCGGGAAAGACGACGGCTAGCCGCAGACTCTCCTTGAGCGCATTTTCGATATGCACCAGCTTTTCGATGTCTTTCTTCGCCGGCATGTTCTGGCAGTCGCGCAGCACCTTGTGCGCTTCTACTGTCACCAAAGCCCGGTATCCTTGAGCCTCGCCCAGCGTGGTAATATCCGCCAAGCATTTGCTCATTGTGTTGGTCGTCGTTTCGATAGAAGCTAAATTGGCCATGCCCACGCGGGCAATTACGCGCCGTTCGATAACGGCCGGGGACTCGCCGCGACGGACAGCACGTTGCACTATCCAGGTCAAGAAGTCGTTCGGGAGGGAGGATAGCTTTTGATCTGGATTCTCCGACATGTCGTCTTCTCCCTTCTTCCCCGCTGTCTCTTCCATCTGTTGTACGGCTTGGATTCGTTCTCGCACTATCGGCTGCAGGTGTCGGCTGAAGCCAGCCATGTAGAAATGATTGATCCACTTCACAACCGACGAGAGGGGCCCCTTCAATGGCCGAGGAATAAGGTCCTGGAACACGGTCTCCGGCATGACCGCCATACCCAACCCGACAGCGCTGCGGATATAATCTTCATTTCGACCTGATCCATGACATAGGTGCCGTTAGTCTCCAATTCTCGTTCCTCCTGGGGAGTGGGCATGTTCCTTACATTTATCTTTCCCCACGAACAGCCTGTTAGTGATGCGGGCGATGATCGTGCGCGTGCTGTCCTTGAGGGGAATCATCTTCCACTCGGGCGAATTCCCCCAAATATCATCTAACGCGCTCACAATCTCATTGTTGATGTCCGCTGTCATCCGGCCAAGGTTCTGGGTTAATTCCTTGCGCAGTACTTCCTGCACTGAGTGGTCGCCCACTAACCCGTCCTGCACAAAGGCGTGGAATTCGTTGTGAATGGGGTCCATGCTGAGTACCGATTCCGGTTGGTCGATTATCCATCGAATGTATTTGGGGGGAAGAATGATTTGCGGTCGACCGAATGCAATGGCGAGGGCGGCGGCTCGACCTTTTTTATTGCACTGATAGGAGGTTAATTTATAGACTGCGCTTTCGGGGGAAGAAGAAATAACGTACTTCGAGATAAGCCTGCATGACATTCTCCTTCATGACGGAGAACGACCGCGCCTTCGCACGAAGGTAGCCAAAGCCCTCTTGGGGTCGGTCAATCCATTGCACTTCGTTGGGAACGATGTATTCCCAAGTGGTCAATCGATTAACCAGTACCAGAAACAGAATAACAGGAATCACCGCGATGATGACTTGTTGTAGCAAATTGAGATTCAATAGGAAGTCGATCATTTTGAAGGCTAGGTGTTGATATGGACAGGGAAGTTCGAATTCGAAAGAAGGGAAGGAAAGAGGAAACGGCGGATAATTTTGACTACAGACTTCATTTGCCAGCTGACTTGAACAAACCCAAGAACCATCAGCGAGTAAAGAGTAGTGGTAGGGGCCAGGCTATAAGGGGCAATCCATTCAAAAGGCCCGCAGGGTCGCCAGATGTCAGGAAGCATCTGCGTACCGTACCACCTGGGTCACGAGAAAAGACTAGGGTATGCTCAACGCGCTTATCCAACGACTTTTACATAAAGGGCAATGGATACATTACACTAAGCTCTATAGAACGTTATGCATGGCATTCAACAAAAGCGTATCTATTTAATGATAAATCAGCCCAAGACCGGTTGTATATATCTCGACCTAAAATTCTATCTGTCTTGACCGTGGAGTATACAACTTTATCTCAATATATAAAAGCAACAATGCCGATCAAATCTCTTGATTTTCTACAATATCTTAGCGACGATATCAGAGAGCGACAAAATTTCTGTGATGAACTATGCGCAACCCTCTCCGTCTATGGATTTGTCAAGATTCAGAACTCTTCTCTCTCAAAGGAGACAATTGACCAGCTGTTCAGATTTGTGAGTACATGATTAACGGCAAAGAAATCAGGGAAGTGACCCTAATTAAATGTAAACAGAACAAGCTGTTCTTCGATCTCCCCAATCACCTGAAAGCAAAGGCGGCTCACCCAGAAGCTCCAAACCCACATCGAGGATGGAGTGCAGTTGGCCAGGAAAGTGTGTGCCAGATTTCCAAATTTGAGCAAGGAAAGCAGCAGAATGACCATTACCAGGAGTGTCGCGTAGGTTTCCGAGGGAAAATAAGACAAATGGAGTGATCTCACTGACAGGCAACCAGGAATCATTTGATCAAGGGGCAGCCACCGACGAGCTGTTTCCAAACCGGTGGGTAGATGAAACTGATTTGCTAGGTTTCCGTCAGTTTATGGAGGGCATCTACGACCAATTCCACGCGCTCCACGCCGACCTCTTGCGCGCTATCACGGCTGGATTAGGCCTACCCGAGGAACATCTCGTCTCCAAGCATCAGAGAAATACTAGCGAGCTGCGGTTGCTGCACTACCCATCTATTCCATGCAGCTCGATGGGGTCTGTTCAGCGGATTGGCGAGCATTCTGACTTTGGTACTCTCACTCTGCTGTTGCAAGACTCTGTGGGTGGCTTGCAGGTCGAGGATCAGCAGCAGCTGGGTAGCTTTATTCCAGTGGAATCGAAAGATGTTTACGAGGTGATCGTCAATGTTGGCGACTGCCTTCAGAGATGGACCAACAAGAGTCTGCGGTCCGCTAATCATCGTGTGAGTTTGCCCGAAGGAAAAGGTGTTCACACTGATGAAATGCTGGCGCCCCGGCACTCGGTCGCATACTTTGGCAAGCCAGACCGGGATGTCCTCGTTGACACTCTGGCTGAGTTTGTGCGTCCGGGCATCAAGCCTGAGTACAATGATGGCTTGACCGCGTTTGAATATAATCAGTTGAAGCTGGTTCGTACTTATAATTGATACCTTGCTGGGGCAGGTGGAGGTGAGAAGGGGGAAAGGCTGTCATGAAAACAATATTGTTAGATAGTTTTGTGTTTCCTTCTGTCTTTGTTGTGTTCTCAATTTAGTACTGTTCATCCTAGATTGCGGCCTTCTCTATGCTTCCGAAGGTAGATAGCGTTCTGAAAGATACATGAGATAATTTCTTCCCCAAATTGCTGAGTGAATGGTTTCAGAGAAAGAAAAGTCGGTTGACCCAGGTTTTATCTTTGAAAACGGAAAATAATCGCCTAATAGTGTGGTGGTGTTCATAGCAATTCTCGATCTTCCAAGTCCTCCGCAGGAGCATTATACTTCATCAGGCAATCAAAGAATTGTGAGCGTAGCCATTTTCAAGTTTGGTGGCAATGCAAAGTTCTTTAACTTATTATTCTGATCAGCGTGCAACCGAGGTTCACCAGTGGGTGACACACAATCTCTCTGTGCAATAAGGCATCAGTACAATCGAAGTCAGGCGACTCCCGGGAGGCCGATCATCTTACCTGAATACTAGACAAGAGTGCACTATAGGTAGCCTCATCCTTGCTTATACCGACCCCAATGCCCCAGACGGGTTTAGCGCCGTTTCGAACAGAGCATTGTGCGAATGTGACAAACAGGTCTTGTTTTTGCCGGCCAGGAAAGGGGTGAGATGTCGCCATATTGCACTGGAACGGGAACTGCAATGTCTGGCCCATGAAAGCGGCTATCAGATTCGCCTGATCTGTAATCACTTCCAGGGAGTGCGGGCAGGCAGGTTGCTGGAAAAGATTGCAGGTGTGCTGTTCTCCGATGACCAGCGAGCGATAATGAGAGCTGTGATCGTAACATTCTAGGAAAAGAGCACAAATTTCCTCGGCAGCCAGTCCTCTTTCCAAGGCCATCGATGTCTCCTTGATAATACGGCTGAAAGCAGCGGCCAACTCATTGGGAAGACTCAAGCCGAGCCCTTGCTGGATAAGCCAGGCCACTCCCCCTTTCCCGCTCTGGCTGTTAACCCCAATTACGTTATCAAAAGAGATGCCTAAGTCGGCAGGATCGAGGGGCAAGTACGGTACCCGCCAAGCACTATTAGACAGGCTAATGGCTCGTTTGTTCAACCCCTTCCGAATCGCATCTTGATGAGCCCCGGAGAAGGCACGGAAGTAATAGTCGCCTGAGTACGGCGTTCTTGGATGCACAGGGAGTTGAGTGATCTTTTCATACACTTGTCGAATGGCGGCCAAGTTTGAGAAATTCAACCCGGTCTCAATACCTCGCGTGAAATAATTCATGGCGGCCGTGACAAGATCCAGGTTGCCCGCACGCTCGCCATTGCCAAAGAGGCATCCTTCGATGCGATCCCCGCCGGCTAAGCACGCGAGCTCCGCGGCGGCCACGGCGCCTCCACGGTCATTGTGGGTATGAATAGAGATGCAGACCGTGTCACGGTTACGCAGATGTCGAGCAAAGTATTCGACCTGGTCTGCGAACACATTGACGGTGGTGGCCTCGACACTGGACGCCAGTCCTAAGATGATGGGCTGTTCACTGGTGGGTTTCCACGCAGTCTGGATGGCCTCTGCCAGGCGTAAGGCAGCATCTGGCCGGGCATTAGCAAAGTCCTCGAAGCCGAATCCTAACGTCCACTCGGTGGTCTGCGCCTCTGCATCTTCTCTGGTGATGGATCGCGCATATTCGATACAGTCAGTGACGTGCGCCAACAAATCTGACTCTGATGGTTGTTGCAGAATGGTCTCGCGGTAGTTGTCGCTGGTCGCGAGGTAGGTAAAGAGGATGGCCTTCTTTGCCCCCTTGAGGCTCTCGACTGCGCGTTTGAGGGTCTCTTTCCGGCAGGGGGTTATCACCTCCAGACTGACGTCCGCTGGGACGGCACCCGGGGTGCTCACGAGCTCCCGCGTGAAGTTGAATTCGGTGTCTGAGGCACAGGGGAAGGAGACCTCAATCTCCTTGAACCCAATGCCCACCAGCAGGCGAAAAATCTCCCATTTTTGGGCTATTGTCTGCATCGCATTAGCGATTACATTAGCTCTTCTTCGCCTCCAGGGTGGGTGGTTTCATACGTACCATGGGATTGGGGAGAGCTTGATTGCCATCCCGTAGATCAGTTGACAGCCAAGTGGGGGACTTTGTCAACTTCTTTGATGGCCAATGTCGGTCTGGCAGATGGATATTGGGAGGATCCCGGCCGCCATATTTGCTCTGCAGGCTTTGGCCACCTGCACATATTGTTGGCATTTGTCTTATTTGCTTTTTTTCCTTGCCTTGTAAGCCCAAGAATTTGAAGGAAGGGGGGTTCTTTTCTTCTACCTACCGGTGGGGAACGTGGTTCTTTTCTTTCTTTCTAATTACTGGTGGGGAGCGTGGTTCTTTTCTTTCTACATACCCTAAGAGCCATACAATGCGAAATCCCAGATCTTGATACGCTAATTAACCTATTCAAGACGGAAGACGGGCAGAACGGGGGTTATGGTGCTTAGATCAGTCCCTGTGATCTTTCAACGCTGTTCGTTGTAGGCTAAGCCGCACAGGGTGACCAAGCAATCCCGAGGTTCATGCATTATGGATGAACCAGATGTACAAGGACCCCAAGGATTAAAGGGGGAGAAAAAAATCCCTCACAGGACAGCTCACTTATACATAGTAACATAGTTCCTTTATATTTCTAATCTATCAAGTGTTTGTACTATGTCTGATGGCCACCAGCATATATGCTTAGTCATCACAGCTTCTTCCCCTGTAGGCTACACCACTCGTCATCCAGCCCGTAGTAAGCTCATAAACACAATCATATGCCTCTCAGGTATATGGATATAATGAAATCATGGTCTTTTGTAATCTCAGTTTGTGTCTGGGCGAGGTGTACATTAAGGTAACTAATTGAATGAAGAAAATGAACTAAAGGATAAGAAAGGACAAAAGATTCCACGTATTGAAGAGATTTATAAGTGCGAGCATTTCTATAAAACTCTCCTTCATAATACAATGCGAACTGTAGTCATTTACATTGCTTCTGGCTGCCCTTTTTACTCCAAGTTTCATACAATTCTTCCCCCACAAGCAATAATTACCGATGGGCGCTATGGTTAAGACACATGATATTGTGGTGTTTCCAGGCGACTATGGAGGCCCCGAGGTGATGGCCGAAGGCCTGAAAGTAATTGTACCAGCGGCCAACTGCAAATCAATACGACTAAAAACAAATTTAGGTGCTACACGAGATCCAAAGACAGTATCAAACCGACGTCACACTAAACCTCAAATACCATCTCATTGGCGGAGTATGTGCTCTCCAATTCCAGCCCTACGGCCGCCTGTCAAGACAACTAACGATCGTGGTGATTGAACAGTCCGCATTCGATACTCATGGCACTCCTGTGACTGAGGAGGCACTTTCCGACGCCAAAGAAGCATCAGCGGTACTTCTTGGTGCCGTTGGTGGTCCGGTACGTGAGAAGATATCGGTTTCGAGAATGAAATGAATAGGGCATCGGGCTGACGCAAAGGGATTCACAGACTTGGCAGGGAAGCCCGATCCCCGTCGAATCGGGGTTGGGAAGACTGCGCAAGGCCATGGACGCATTTGGAAATATTCGACCGATCAATTTCATTGCCCCCGTGTTGATCGAATCATCCAGCTTAAAAGAGCGGGTGTGCTCGGGGACAGATATCCTCATTGTGCGTGAGCTCAGCGGCGGCATATATTATGGAGATCGTCAGGAACATGACGGGACATTCAACGCTGCCTCAGATCTCGATCACTATGACGGGACCACAATCCAGCGCATTACGCGGTTAGCAGCCTGGCTTGCCCGGTCGAAGAATCCTCCTTTACCGATAACTAGCTTAGACAAAGCTAATCTGCTAGCGGCCTGTGGCCGGCTGTGGCGTGGCGTGGTGACGGAAACTATTGCCTCAGAGTGTCCAGATCTGACAGTTCAGCATATGCTAATCGATACAGCGGCCATGACCATGGCTCTTCGACCGACGACGCTCAATGGAATCGTCTTGACCAGCAACATGTTTGGCGACATCATCAGCGACGAGGCCAGTGCCATTCCTGGCAGTCTTGGTCTACTGCCTAGCGCGAGTCTCTGCGGAATTCCCGACGATTCTGATGGGAGCGTAGTGCGTGGTATCTACGAGCCTGTACATGGTAAGTGACGTGATTCTTGTTCTGTCTGTGTTCATAAGACGGCTTCTTCTGTATGAAGGAATCGCATTAATACATTTCTCCTTAGGATCCGCACCCGACATTGCCGGGAAGGGTATTATCAACCCCACTGGGATGATTCTATCCATAGCTATGATGCTCCGCTACTCACTTGAGATGCCTGCCGCTGCAGTCACTGTCGAAACCGCCGTCAAGGAGGTTATTGAGCGGGGTTGCCGGACGAGAGATATTGGTGGAACGGCTTCAACCACGGAGTTCGGTGACGCAGTCGTAGCTTGTTTAAAGAATCATGCGTGAAGGGGAATGACCATTCCTGTCATCTGCGAATATTAGTATTGTAATGAATCCATTACTCAGCATATAAAATGATAAAAAAAGAACGTGTGCTAGTTAGGGTATGAGAAGCGGCCGGATGTGGGGAGGAAAAACGGGCTGGATTACACTATGCCATAGGAGTAATAAGCAGATATTTATTGACTGAAGGAATAATAATCATCATCACATTTACTACTGCGATAAAATCAATACAGTTGAATCTGCCGAAGATCTAGGCATGTGGTTCTCAACGCAGACGCCTGTCTCACACATATGAATAGCCCAACCCCAACTTGTGACACTACAAAATTTGTCCAACAATTTGAACCAACAAAATGCCAAGAGCATCAATTACCTATAGCTTTGAGCACAGTCTCACCGGGGATGCGAGGGCGTTCATTCACGCAGTGGCGAAAATTCTAGAAGGCACCCGTGGGATTCGATTGGAGGAATGCAGCATTGAAGACAGGAATCCAAGCCAGACCCTCCTGTACCTGACCCAAGAATCTCATATCAGCCCCCCAGGCCCCGGTTGCTCAATAGTGACCAATATCGATGCTTTTATCACCCATCTCAGCAATGAACTCGACGCCGGTGGCAGTCCTGCAGACGCATCTACGCTACGATATGTACTCGACCTGTGTTACACGGAGACAGAGCGCGGTGGTTTGGGATTCTCTGAGGCAGGTTGCATCGACTGGTCGCTCAGTCAGATGCAACTTCAGCACCTGCAGGATCTCCTTGAGGCATGGTTGGAGTCTCTGAACTCCGCCGAATCAGGCAGATGTCTGCCCGCACCGCTGTCCGTTAAGGCTTCTGCCACGAGGCCCATGACGTTGGCGGAGAAGATTCTTGCGCATCATGCATTTTCGCTGCCATCTGCACATGGTCTTAAAAGTGGTGACTTTGTTCGAACCTCGGTCGACTGGATTGTTGCCAGTGAGCTATCTTGGGTGGTAGGTCATTTTATCATCCCCCTCTCAGTTGATGAAGACTTCCAGAGTGAAGATTGCGCATCTTAGAAAATATTCGGTGAATTAATCTATTCTATAGGGCATGAAGCACAGTATGACCAGCATAGGTGAGGAGCCTACGGTCTGGAGAAATGATCGGTTTTGGCTGGCGGGAGATCACACGGTTGATCCCCGTACGTATCACCAACCGCGGGTCCGGGAACTTATTGACGGCATGAAAGATGCAAAGACGAAATTCAAGATGACGCAAAACCAAGGCTCAAATGTCAGTTCCTGCCAAATCCCATTCTTGACTTTTACCCGGAGTCGTTGCTGATGATCAAACCCATTCCCCAGTATACCATCCTCCACACCGAATTTGTGCGGGAGCGAGCCGAACCGGGTATGCTCGTTCTTGGCTCGGATTCTCACACCTGTTCGGCAGGTGCCGTCAGTTCACTCGCTATTGGACTCGGGGCGGCCGATGTGATGGCGGCTCTGGCCACCGGTGAGACATGGATCAAAACCCCCGAGTCAATCCGGGTGAAGTTCAGCGGCGAGCCTGCCTGGTACATCCGGGGCAAAGATGTGATCCTCTACATCCTGAAAATTATGAAGCGCAATACACATGCTGCTGATCGAATTGTAGAGTTCGGGGGACCAGGCACGCGCTACCTCTCCTGCGATGCCCGGTTCGCAATCTGTAATATGTGCACGGTAAGCAACTTTGTTTCTGATCTAGCCTCGTCCCGAGCAGTGACTCACGCAAAAGAATGACAATAGGAATTGGGCGCCATTACGGGTATTTTCGTCCCAGACCAGATCACTAGCCAATTCATCTCGGATCGCCCTCAAAGCCGCTACAAGTCACAATCTCTGTACTTTCAGCCGGACGCAGATGCCTCGTACGCCGCTACCTTTCGGATCAACCTCGATGAGGTTAAGTCCTTCATTGCGCTCTATCCCTCCCCTGATAACGTAGTGGAGGTGACTGAGAAACTGGACATGACTTTTGAGGGTTGCTTCATCGGTGCTTGTACCACCACGGAGGAAGATCTGATCTTAGGCGCCTTAGTCCTGGAGGCGGGTCTTCAGAGGGGGCTGCCGCTGGCTGCCGGGAAGCGGATAGTTGTTCCTGGAAGCTTACCAATCGTCAAAAATTTGCGCGACTTGGGTCTGTTGGATATCTATTCCCAGGCCGGGTTTGAACAGCCAGCTGTGAGTTGCAGCATGTGCCTGGGGATGGGAGCCGACCGCGCAGGGGCTGGCGAGAATTGGCTTTCGTCACAGAATCGCAACTTCAAGAATCGAATGGGTCCAGGTTCGCCTCCTTCCCTAGATAATTGACCCATGTCAAACGACGATTGACCTGGTCTCACCGCAGGATCCATTGGACATATTTGCTCCGCCGCTGTAGTCGCTGCCTCATCTTTTAGTATGCAACTAACCGACCCTCGTCATCTTCTCAGCCAAGTGTCGGTCGAGAGATATCACACTTTACTTGCAAGTTGTCGACGAAGGAAGGCCGAGCCGGCTCGGAAGTCCGGAGGTCCTTTCAAAGCGGGTGCCGTACAGAGTGCAGCGTCGGTCCCGTCAGCAATGCCTCCAGCACCCGAGCCTTACTTGTCCTTTCGCAGCGTTGCAGACTCTGAGACGAAGAAGCCGAGACAGGAGCAGGTGAGTGAGGAAATCAGTGGTGCCGAATTTGAGACTATTTGTAGCAAGGTCTCTGCTTTGGGTGATTTTGTAGACACAGACGCGGTGAGTGTGCCCGGGCTTTCTTTCTCTTTTCTCAACCGCGGGAATAACAATGGCTAACCACGTATGATCCAGATTATTCCCGCCGCGTTCATTATGGAGAGCCCAACCGACGTCCTGCTTGGCAGTCACTGCCTAGAGTTAACCCACCCCGAGTTTCGCGACCAGATTCGGGCCGGTTGGGACGTGGTTGTCGCTGGCAAAGCCTTCGGTTGTGGTTCATCGCGTGAAGAAGCGCCACGTGCTTTGAAAGGTGTGTGATCACCGCTCGTGGTCGGATATCCAGAAAAGGATTTTGATCTAACAGGTATGAACCACAGGTCTCGGCGTGAAATGTGTGATTGCACGTTCTTTCTCCTTTATATATGGCCGTAATCAGCCCACCATCGGTCTCTTAGGCCTCACCATCACCGAGGACGACTTCTATGCATCGGCCCAAACTGGAGTTGATATTGAGATCAACCTTCCCCGTCGACTGGTCACCGTGGGCGGGCGGTCGTACCCGTTCGTGCTTGATGATATGGAGTTGGCCTTGATCCAGCAACGGGGACTCGCGGCAGCGTACAAGAAATTCGGCAAGGCTGTGTTCCTGTCGCTCTGTGGCGATCAATTGTCGGAGACGATGTCGGTATCAGAGCTGGCCGAGATGCATTTAGGGGGCCGTCGGAAGGATCTGGGAAATCGGGAGGTGCTCGCGTGGTGAATTGCGTTTGCCTTTACCTCTGTCCTAAATCAATTTCCTATTCCAGCAAAATGGACCTGCGATTGCAAAATTATATGCAGGCTTCCATATGACCCAAAGCTGAGCGAACTTGGTGAAACTCAACTTAGAGCCTATCATGATCTTGTTCTTAAGGCTGCTTAGTTATTGAATTTACATCCTGATTTTTCTACCTAAATATTTGTTCTGGTCTATACGGCAAGGCAATATGTATTCTTGTTTATTTATCTCTGTTTGACATCGAACAAGTTGATTTATATGGTTTCGATTTAAAACAGAGAAAAAATACTAAGATTATATATTGATTATTTAGCAAATTTATAAGCGCCAAGACTGTCCAAGTTTGGTTTTATACAAAATTGTGTGTTTTAACGTTATTAAGACAGTGTCATCCTATTTCTTGATATATCCTTTACGACAATGGTCCAATCACTTGTGGAGTTATGTGGGTCACAGATCGCGGATCAACCGAAACTTTTGATCTCCGATACACTTGGCCAGTGCGTTTCATGGCTGAACTCTAGCTCGGGGGGTTTTGTCGAGGACGAAGCCGAGCACGAAGTAGACTTCCGCACCGGCCATAAATGGGCCGGGTTTTGGGTCCGGTCCTTAGGCCCATCGATGGGCTATGGGCCTGAGGTAGAAGCCCACTGGGCTTTAATGGGGGCCTAATAGGCCCCAAACAATACAAATATGCCCAGAAATCGAGATGCCAAGTAAAGTTGAACCCCCTTTCTAGGGTTTTCTAATTACCCTTCATTTTACCCCCGTTTCTAGGCCTTTTACTAAAGGTAATATTTTATTAATTTACATGATTTAGAAAGTTACTAGTCATATCTCTATATTACGTTTGAAAACGCGAAAAAGTACGTTGATTTAGATGATTTAAAAATTACATAGGTTTACTAGAAAGTGGTAGTACTTCTGTACAAATCCAAAATATATATCTACTATTAAAGTATATATTAACTTTTTTTCGACATCCACTGGTCGGATTTTGTTTAAAATTATCTTATATAGCTACTATCAACCTAGATTACATATTTGAACTTTATACGATTAGTAGAAGGTCGTGATACAGCGATTACAGAGGCCGATTTGTCAGCGCCGATGGGTTGGGTTGGGCTTTGAAGGTTAGGCCCATAGCCCACTGCGGGTTGCGCTTTGGGCCTGGGGTGGGGGCCCACTTGTGGGCTTTGCGGAAGTCTAGGTGCCACGAAGTCGAGGGATCACATAGACTAGTGCTCGGATGTGAAACTTGTGAGAGTTCCCCATACTTTCCTCGGCTGAGCTGATCGTCCCGGGGGGGGGGGGGGGGGGGGGGGGTCGCCACAATCACCATTCTCATTCGTTCGTGTTTCCGAGTCGCGGAGCTCAAGAGTGGCTTTGGAAGTGACCTAGCGAATGATCAGGTCGCTTTCATGATCCTCGAAGGGGCTATGATAATCATCGCATGCAGCGCCTTGACAGCCATCCATCCGGGGCTGGTGTTCCCGCGAGAGCGCTGGAGTGCGCCCGCTCAGTCGGGTTTGACTCGCGTGACGAGTCAATCGAGTCATATAGAGATGCGTCAAGGCCTGGTCGCATAGTTTGCCTTTAATTCGTGGTGTCTCCTCTGGAATGAAGCCTATAAATGCTAGACCTTTGTGCTACTAGACTAGTCCCACACTTGGCCGATTATCGCATATGCTGCGGTCAGGCACAACCACCCGCCACCCTTGAACAGAAGGGGGTAGGAGCTCGGAGACAATAAGCTATTTTCAATATATCATTGCAGGGTTTCCGTTTCGATATATCTCCCTGCTACCTACGACTGAAGCTTAGCTCTATCATTAGCTAAAGTCATCCCTTCCTTCATCCCCGGGAGCTGTAGTCGAGATATGCACCCCCGGAATAGGACGCCCGAATCCCACCTCCAGTCAATCCCGTCGGTGTACAAGCAGGCAGAGACTGGCATTGGGGCGAGCCGTGCCAACCTGCACTTCCTTCTTTGCGACATGTTTTAGCGGGTCCATCTCATAATGCTGCACGAGATACGCCAGCATCAACTTTATCGTCTGGGCCGCGAAGAACCGACCAGGGCAGGCATGTCGCCCGTGCCCAAAGGCAAGGAAGGTGTCGGTCGTAGTCGCGATGGAAGGGGCTTTCCGACCGGCAGCTACTTGGTCGGTATCACTGAACCGGAAGGGATTGAAGATGAATGGAGATGAGTAACAGTCTGGGTCGCGCTGGATGGCATGGGATGGCACGCACACTCGCACGCCCTGCGGTATATGGAGCAATTCTCCTGCCTGTTGGAAGTCGAGGCCAGCGGGATGCGCCACCATACGCGGAACGGCAATGTACGACAGATCAGATACTCGCATGGACTCCCGGATGGTCGAATCTACTCGTATCAGCCGATCTAGTCCAGCTTTGGTCCATTGGCCTGCTTGTGGCTGCGGCTGCTGTTGTAATTCCTCGTGCCATACGCGATCAAGTTCCTCTCGAAGCCCGGCTACAAAGCTCGCGCAATCGGGAGCAGAGTACAGATCGATTACCGTATGGCTCATTGACATGGCCATCGTTTCTATCGCGACAAAGTTGAGCATTAGTAATCGCTGGACGATCAAATTTGGATTGATTTCGCGTGCGTCGTCGCACTTCACACAATCTTCAAGAAGCCATTGAAGTCCGTCGACCTACAAAATAAGAATCAGTTTTCCAGCGCCATGTTTGATAATCGGAAACACATTGGGATGAGGAGAAGGTAGGTGAAGAAAGATGGGGGTGTTTACGGACCGGTGCCTTCCATGTGGGGTCTGCCGCAAGGGTCTTCTGCAGCCGGTCTTTGACAACGGGAAGAGCAATGTCCAGGCAAATCTTATAGTTCTTGCGATTTGGATATGTTATGAGCGGGGCGAGAAGCCAACGCAGCCATCGCGGCAGCAAGCGGATGATGATCCCTGCGCGTCCGACGCTTTCCGAGTAATGGCGCGAATGTAGGAGGAAAGCCTCATTCTGGCAGATATCTGGACCGGCAAAGACGCGATTGGCGACACGCGTGACAATTTGCGTGCAAGTTTCGAGGACATTGACCTCCACAGGCGTCCGCTGGGTGCCCCAGTACTGCCGAAAGCTGCGGTCGATCTCTTCTGCCATGATCGGGATCACCAGCGGAAGTTGTCGCGTCAGCTGGCGGCGTACCAGATCAAACTGGATGGGCACTTGCACTGCGTGCCACCCGAGCGGTCCCTGGGTGTAGTAGTGCTGCAGCTGTTCTGCGTGGATTATGTCCGGATCCAGCTCAGCATCTGTTTTGGATAGCAGCTCGCGCATGCTACTGGGCGGCAACACCACCCAGGGAGCTTCGGCAATGGTGGGCAGGATGAAGGCCTTGCCATTTTTGGAGTACTATCCAATTTAATTTTCTTTTGATCAGCGGAAAAGATTCCCAAGAACAGGCTTGTCACCGGAAATTTAAGGAGATGCCCATGAACCAACCTTCTGATAGCCTTCATCCAGCATCTGGCGGATACCGCTGATAGTTCGCAGTGAGGCTCTGAATTTGGGAAACCATTCCGGGCGAAGGCCTACCCAGACCTGTTTCTTCCAGAACTGTTTATGCTCATGCGAATCCGAAAATACAAGCTGGTGAACCATTAAGCAGATAATGATCCCAATGGTGCCTTGCAGCAGCACTTTCGGTACTCCGCCGAGGAGTAGTTCAGGCAGCATCTCCATGGCATGCAAAGAGAAGCCTGTGTCGATCGATGTGTGAGAAGACAATCGGCCTTCACGACCTTTTTTGTAACAATTAATTCAGAACGATTCAAGAGAGGATGGTGTGAGCTCTCGCGTAAAGCATTGCTAGCGTGGCCACGACCAGTGCTGGCCGCTATGACGATGAATAAGAGCAAACTTGTGCCAAAACTAGTCCAACTTGAGACATAATTCAACTGGCTAGGATACATGTCCAGGTGGCCGCTCTTCAAGGTCTGTGTTCTGTGCGTTGGCTCTATCTAACCTTGGAAGGTTCGGAAGTAATTTAGTCTCCAGGTAAGGTATAACACTTAACGAAGCATCATATGCATCTCGTTTGAATTCCAGTATGTTATGAAATTTATAGCCCCACCGGTATCTCGAAAATATATATATTTATGATGCACCTGTGATCCAGAAGCCCATAGATCTTCTATAACCTTGGAATCTTATAATATACTAATTAAATCTACTCCAAAATGTTATGTGGCACTGGCATCATTTCAAATGTCTTCCCAGGTTGCAAGATTTTGAATATGTAGAGCCCTTTCTACAGTTGGATTATGCAGCTATAGAACAATAGCTTCCACTAGGCGTTCCTAAATAGTTTGGCACACTCTGCGGTAAAAATGATGACCTCAGCCAGAACCCAACATCGTAGCCTACACCCGAGAGGGGCCGCTGACTAAGGGAGCAGGACATCACATCCACCGCCGACTAGAGCCATAACAATGCACTAAAGAATTGTGCAGAGCAATGGGTAACAAAAGAAATGGAGAACCTCCGTCAGAACAAGAAGATGATATACCATGCTAACTACTGTTGATCTTCTTTTCAAGTGACACGTGATATCCATGGACCTAGGCTGTGGACACTATTGATGCCTCAAGCCCACTGAAAATGGGAATACTATAGTCTGTTCACAGCATGTATGGCCAAGGCCGGAATATACGACCGTACGGGCACTATGTTGCTCACTAGTTATTTGGACTGGTCCTTCCCTCTTCGGTGAAGGACAACCAATAACTCCGTTCCAATCTCACAAGACCTCGCGGGTCGGCTTTCGATTCTTGACCCAGAATACGCTAAGTCATTTGAATATGAGTCTGCAGGTAACCCACGTGTACCCGAAAGAGCAACATGGCGAGCTTCACATGGACCCTAAGCCTCAACGGTTTCTGGAGCAGGTCAGCCTCAATGGCACGACCCGACTAGGGTTTGTCCATGAGCCATGGCAAGCTATGGCAGTGAGAAACATAATAGCACTCAATACCCATGATTGGATAAAAATTTTTTTAAGCCCAATCGCTCAGGACACCCTTGTCCTTATCCAGGTTGCTTTTATCAGAGCTAGCAAGCCTGACATATAGAGTGTACGGAAATTCAGACATTCCATTCTATTATTTTTCTGACTTGTTGAAATGCAGGGAGCTTCCAGTCATCAGTGACTATGTATTATTCTAATTCATCTACAAACTCCACGACTCCGTCGGACAGTGGCTCAGATTCCCCAAAGAGCGACAGTGAGATGAACACCTTCTCCGACGAAAAGATGGCAACAAACAATGAACAAGAGTTCCTCAAAGCCTGTGCTGAGGTACTCAAAATCCAGATCGAAAAGCTGGATAAGTCTCAGACCTTCATCAGACTGGGTGGAGACTCCATTGCGGCAATTACCCTAATTGCGCGATGCGAGGAGAGAGGAATCGAAGTGAAGACGGGCGATATCATCAACTCAAACAGCATCTCAGAGCTGTTCTCGACAACGAAATTACGATCGCCTCGAGAAAATGATAGTCCCGACTCGCCAGTTGAGGGGATCCCCGGAGCCAATGAAGCCCAATGCGAACGTTTCAGTATCTGGCAGGATTACAGCCGGGCTACGCCCGAAGAAAGAACACAACTGCTGGAGCAGGTTGCCCTGAAGTGTGGAGTTGAAGCAGACTCGATCGAAGATGTGTACCCATGCACTCCGTTGCAGGAAGGTTTGATGGCCATCTCTGCCCGCAAACCAGCGGCCTATGTCGACCGCCGAGCGTTTGCTCTGGCACCAAACATCGATCTCCGTCGGTTCCAAGCAGCATGGGATGTTTTGATAGAGCGGACCGCCATTGTTCGCACTCGCATTATTATGGGAGCGAGTGGTCAATCTTTGCAGGTGGTGATCCAAAACGGCATTCCTTGGAGACACGGATCCACCCTCAAGAGTTATCTAGCGGAGGATCGAAAACAAGGTATGCAGCTTGGCCAGCCTTTGGCCCGCTGCGGACTTGTTACGGAATCAGTCGATGGAGAGGGAGCGACGTTTGTGTGGACGGCTCACCATAGTATCTACGATGGATGGAGTGCCCAGCTCCTCTATCGCCGCCTAGCCGCAATTTACTTCCAGCAGCAGCTGCCACAGTCTATCCCATTTACCCGGTTCGTGCGCTACCTGGAAGGGAAAGACCCAGTCATTGCTGCAAACTACTGGCGCGGCCAACTTCAACGCGCGAATGCCAATTCCGTGGCGCATTGGCCGGCATTACCACACCCCAACTATCAGCCCAGTCCCCGGGCCCAATTCAAAGGCGAAATCCCGATTCTAGACGGCGCCGAACAAGGACTCGTCATGATGTCAAATATCTTGCGCGCCGCCTGGGCGCTCGTCGTGTCCCAGTACACAGGGCAGGACGATGTAATTTTTGCTGTCACGCTATCGGGCCGCAATGCCCCTGTCTCGCAGGTCGCCGAGATTTCAGCCCCGTTAATCACCACAGTCCCGGTGCGCATCGGCATTGACCCGAATCAGGCAGTTGGCGAATTCCTGCAGGCCGTGCAGCGCCAAGCCGCTGACATGATTGACCATGAGCATACCGGGTTGCAGATGATCAAAACCATGTTACCGGAGCTGCATGATGTCTTGAAGCTCCAAAGCCTGCTGGTTATCCAGCCAGAATCGGAACGAGATGTCTACAAAGCCTTCCCTGGACTCAGTCCGATCACCCTACCAATGGAAGACTTCGACAGCTACGCTGTAAACGTGGAATGTACCCTGGGGCGTCAAGCTGTGGAGATGGAGGTTATGTACGACAAAGATGTGATCGCCGCAGCGGACCTGACAAAGGTCATGGAACAATTTTTCTTCTTGGTGCAGGAATTGTGCCGCCCGTTGGCCCGTGATCGACCGTTGCAGGAGGCCATGGGAATTTCTCCGAGTGACCGGCAGCTGATTTTAGATTGGAACACCACCGTTCCCAAGCCAGTGGACCGGTGTGTTCACGATCTGGTGACTGACCAGGTAATGATCCGGCCTACGGCCATCGCGGTCGATGCATGGGATGGCGAGTTACAGTACGCCGAGCTCGCAAGCCACAGTATCTCATTGGCCCATTTCCTAGTCAGCTTGGGAGTAGGGCCCGAACAGACCGTGGGACTGTGTATGGGCAAGTCTAAATGGGCTATGGTAGCCATGTTGGCCACTCTGTATGCTGGCGCCGCAGTATTGCCATTGTCGGGAAGTAGTCCACTGCCGCGTCTTCAGAGTATTGTCCAGGACGCCGGAACTAAAGTGATTATTGTGGACCAGGTCCAGAAGAGCCGACTTGAAAGCCTTGACGCGAACACAGTGGTCGTCGGCACCACCTTGATGGCGAATATACCTAGGACTATGGAACCGCCACAAGCTGGCATCACACCGCAGAATATCGCATGGGTTGTGTACACCTCAGGAAGTACTGGAACCCCTAAAGGTGTCGTATTGGAGCACCGGTCGCTGTGTACCAGTCTCATAGCCCACGCAGGCGCCATGGGAATTGATCAGTATACGAGGACACTTCAATTCGCTGCCTACACCTTCGATGTGAGCTTGTGCGATATATTCAGCACCTTACAGGCCGGTGGTTGTGTTTGTGTCCCGTCCGAAGAGCAGCGCATGAACGTATTGGAAGCGACGGCTGCGCGAATGGAGGTCACCTACGCGGAACTGACATCAACGGTCGCCGCTACCATTTCGCCGGCGGAGCTGCCTTCGTTGTCCACGTTGGCACTCAGTGGTGAGCCGCTTAATCCTGTAGTTCTGTCTATATGGGCACAACGCACAAGAGTATTCAACTCTTACGGTCCGTCTGAATGTTCCATCGTATGCTCAAACAGCCAACGGCTATTCCATACTCAGGAGGCCCAAAATATCGGACGGCCTATGAAGTCCAACTTCTGGGTGGTGCAGGCGACGGACTACCAAACTCTGTGTCCCACCGGAGCTCCTGGCGAGCTACTGATTGAAGGCCCTCTGCTTGCTCGCGGCTACCTCCACGACGAGGCCAATACCAAGGCCAGCTTCATCCTCGACCCGAAGTTTGTGACCCAACTGGGCCTCCCTTCCGGACGTCGCATGTACCGTACCGGTGACCTGGTGAGCCAAAATTCGGATGGATCGCTACTCTATCTCGGCCGCTGTAATAGTCAACAAGTCAAAATCCGCGGTCAGAGGGTGGATGTCAGTGAGATTGAGTATCAGATCACACAGCAACTTTCTGGCACTGGAAGCGTTGCCGTGGAGCTGGTGGAGCGGGGAGCCCATATCCATCTAGTGGCCTTGATGAATTTCGCCCCGAACAGCCCATATATGTTCACCGTCCCCGTGCCAGTAACGCCAAACGCAATCGCTGGGAGTGCTCTGGTTGCGAATGAAATGCTCGCTTCAACCTTCCAGGAATTGCGGATGAATCTCTTGCAGTCCCTTCCCGCGTATATGGTGCCGACACTGTATATACCCATGGCTGATATGCCCACTAATGCCTCTGGGAAGCTGGATCGGCTAGCCATTCGAGCATCTCTGAGTACCCTCTCCCTATTAGATCTACAACGGTTTATGCCCAATGGAGGACCCAAGGCGGCGCCAACTACCGAGATGGAGAAGCGATTGCAGGCCCTGTGGGCACAGACGCTGCAAATTGATACTGAAATTATCGGTCGTGGCGATGATCTTTTCCAGATCGGTGGTGATTCTGTTGCCGCAATGCGCATGGTGGCTCTCCAGGCGGCCCGTGAACTTCAGCTCACCGTTGCTACGATCTTCCAACATTCAAACCTATCCCATCTCGCTCATTTCCTCGAAGAACAGAGCGGGGAGGAGCAGCCTGAGGAGCCGGATCCAGAGCCCTTTACTCTGTGGCAAGGGCTAGAACATGCTGATTCAGTCAGCCAGGCCCAACAGCTTGAGTGGATTGCCAGAAGATGTGACGTCTCTGTGGAGGAAATTGAGGACGTCTATCCTTGCACCCCCACTCAGGAGGGACTTATCGCTATTACAGCCCACCAGCACAGCGCATACGTCAGTCGACAGGTGTACAGACTAGCCAGTTCAATTGAATTGGACCGCCTCCAGGCGGCATGGGAAACTTTGGCCAGAGTGACACCGATTCTGCGCACCCGCATTTTAGTTGACCAAGAGGCCAACGAAAGCAGATTCGTGCAGGTTGTGGTTCGGCGCCAGCTAAGCTGGCAGCATAGTTCTGATCTTGACCAGTACGTGGCTAGTGATCAGGACGAAGAGATCCAACTGGGCCACCCCCTCGTGCGCTTGGCCCTAGTACAGAATCCGACGGAGCGCTTCCTAGTCTGGACCGCGCATCATAGTGTCTATGATGGATGGAGTGCCGGGCTCATGCATCAGCATCTGGCAGACATCTACCTACATGACCGCATCCCTCCTGCTGTCCCATACACACGTTTCATTCGGCATCTGTTGCGACGGGACCATGGCGCCGATGTCAAATACTGGTCTAGCCAGCTACAGGGGGATCTGGTAGTGAACTGGCCGCCGCTGCCTCAGGAAGGCTACCAGCCCAAGCCTATGCACCGCAACATCTACAAGATGCTCCTGCCGCCTTCAAAGATTCACACCCGCCCTGCATCCGCCCTACCCGCTATTCTCCGTGCAGCATGGGCCCTGGTGATGGTTAAATATGCTGGCCAAGGAAACAGCGTGGTATTTGGCATGACGTTAGCAGGCCGAAATCTTCCAATACGGCAGTTGACAGAGCTTGTGGCTCCCACTATTACTACAGTGCCTGTTCGGATTGATGTCAATCAGAAACAATCCGTCCGCGACTTCCTGCAAATGGTTCAGCAGCAAGCAACGGAAATGATGGATTTCGAGAATACAGGCTTGCAAGGGATCCGAAAGCTGGCCCCCGAGCTTCGACCAGTTGTCGAAGTGCGGAATCTGTTGGCAATCCAGCCCGTTTGGGAAGATGAAGATACTGTATTCCCTGAAATGGAGGCTTTGCCGGTCAGTATGCAGGCATTTGATATCTATCCACTGAATATGCAGTGCTCGCTAGGCTTGGACGCGATCACCGTGGAAACACGCTATGATGAGAATGTGATTGCTGGGGCGCAAGTGAAGAGGATGGTGAGGTGCTTCGAACATGTGGTGAAACAGCTCTATAGCACTCACACAGACACATACCAAGTCCGCGATATTTCTCTGGTAAGCACCGATGACCAAGACGCCATCCTCCGCTGGAACGATACTGCTGCTCCACGAGTCGAACAATGCATACATCACTTGGTGGCGGACCAAATCAATCAACGACCCGATTCCACCGCTATCTGTGCGTGGGATGGAAATTTGACCTACAAGGAACTTGCAAACTATTCGAGCCAGCTGGCCTGGTATCTTAAGGATTTGCAGGTTGGCGCTGAAAAAATGGTTGGGGTGTGCATGGAAAAGTCCAAATGGGCCGGCATTGCGATGCTAGCGATTCTGCAAGCTGGAGGAGTCGTCGTTCCGTTAGGAGTGGCCCATCCTATGGCGCGCCTTACAGGAATACTGGAGGACACTAGGGCAACCATCATCTTAGTGGATGCTGAACAGCGAGCCCGGCTCTCAAGTCTTCCTGACGTCAAGCTTGTGGTTGTAAATGAGAGTCTCTTGCAGACCCTTCCAGCAACAGAGGACGCACTTAATGCAACAGTCGGTCCTGATAACGCTGCATGGGTGATTTACACCTCAGGAAGTACGGGAAAGCCCAAGGGAGTTGTCCTACAGCATGGTGCCCTGTGCAGCAGTATTAAGGCCCACGGAGCTCGCTTCGGAATGAACTCTCACACACGTATGCTGCAATTTGCAGCTCACACTTTTGATGCCTGCATCCAAGATTATTTCACAACGCTCTCCTGGGGTGGTGTCGTGTGTGTGCCAAATGAGGAAGAGCGAATGAGTGACTTTACGATGGCGATGCGCAGGATGGAGGTGACCTTCGCAACTTTGACCTCCACTGTAGCGCGACTGATACATCCTCCCGACGTGCCTTCAATGCAACAACTGGCATTAGTTGGTGAGCCAGTCAAAGCGGACGTAGTCAAGCAGTGGTTGCCCTATGTCGCCGTTCTGAATGCCTACGGCCCGTCGGAATGCTCGATTCACTCAAGCTGCAGTGAACCCTTGATTGATCCCAAACAAGCCTCAATCATTGGTACATCGATGGGGACTCGATTGTGGGTAGTTGATATCGATGATTTCAATCAACTGTGTCCTATCGGGGCGCCAGGCGAGCTCCTAATCGAAGGACCTCTGTTGGCACGCGAGTACCTGAATGACGAGGTAAAGACCAGAGCGGCGTTCGTCTTCGAACCATCCTTTATCCAGCAGCTGAACCTACAATCGGACCATGGCGAGAGGCGGCGGATGTATCGCACTGGTGACATGGTGCGGCAGAACGAGGATGGGTCGATCACCCATCTAGGTCGACGTGATACACAGGTGAAGATTAACGGCCAGCGCGTAGAGGTAGGTGAAATCGAGTATCAAATAACACAACAACTTCAAGGCGCACGGTCTGCGGCGGTCCAATTATTGCAGGAGAGTGCATCTGAAAAAGTTAGTTTGATCGCTGTGGTCGATTTTCAAGAAGGGTGTGAGCATCGCGATGGGCCCGTCATGTCGCACGGTTTGCTTCAGCCAACGCCCGCCTTACACACGGCCCTGCGAAAGTTACCAGGGACTCTGTTTCAGTTGCTCCCAACATACATGGTGCCTGCGGTTTTTCTGCCAATTCTGGAGATGCCCTTGAATGCATCCGGAAAGCTCGACCGCCGCGCGATTGGGGGGCTTTTGAAGGCGATCAGACCGGAGCATCGACAACAATACCTCTCAGCCGGCGAGCTTTCCACCGAGCCTGCAACACCGATTCAACGCAAGCTTCAAGAACTCTGGGCCGGCGTACTGCATGTGCCTGTGTCCCAGATCAATATTTACGACAACTTCTTTCAGATTGGAGGAGATTCAGTGGTCGCTATGAGACTTGTTACGACCGCTGCGGGCCGGCAATTGCGAGTAACCGTGGCCGATATCTTCCAGCAGCCACGGCTGGTGGATTTGGCGGAGCACCTGAGCACCAGATTGTTACCAACGGAAGAACTGAACAATGATCCCCAGCCGTTTTCTTTGTGGCTTGGCGAAAGTCCAGTCACGGAAAAACATCATGATCAGTTGCAAGAGATTGCGAATCAATGCGGCAGTGTGGTGGAGAACATCCAAGACGTCTACCCCTGCACGCCCTTACAGCAAGAACTGATGGCCACTACTGCCGAGCAATCATCCGCATATGTGAACCGACTGACCTTCAAACTCGATCCGAATCTGGATCTCGATCGCTTCCAGGAGTCCTGGCGAGTTTTGACTGCCACCACTCCCATACTTCGCACGCGCATTGTAACCAGCAGCGAACCGTCGAAGCCGCTTCTACAAGTTGTCCTAGATGAGGAAATTTCCTGGAACCTCAGCGTCAGTCTCGACAACTATCTGGCTTGCGACCAACAGGATGAGATGGGACCTGGAACACGGCTGGTTCGATATGGGCTGGTCCGCGACCATAATTCAGAAGAGCGCTTCTTTGTATGGACTGCCCATCACAGTTTGTACGATGGATGGAGCACCGGTCTCCTCTACAAAAATTTCACTGAGATCTTCCAGTCTGGACATGCCCAGTCTCCCGTCCCGTTCACACGATTCATTCGGTTTTTGCGCAATCAAGAGGAAGATGAAAAAAAAAAAAAGGATCGTGCAGAGTACTGGTCAAATCAGCTTCAAGGCGATGTGATGAACAGCTGGCCTTCTCTCCCCCATGTCGGTTATCGACCAAGACCAGGACTAGAGGTGACGCAGGTGGTATCTCTTGCTGCGCATGGGTCAGGCAGCACAGTGACCGCATCCAATGTGCTCCGGGCAGCTTGGGCCTTGCTGATGGCACAATACTCAGGTCACAATGATGTCGTGTTTGCCGCCACTGTATCTGGTCGTAACGCTCCGGTGTTAGGGGTAGAGAGCATGGTCGCGCCGACCATTACCACCGTCCCTGTGCGCGTTCAAATTGACTGGAACCAAGATGTGATATCGTTCTTGAATTCGGTGCAAGAACAAGCCGTGCAGATGATTGACTATGAGCACACCGGTCTACGGACAATCAAGACCCTCATCTCCCCGGAGTCGCGTCCGGCACTTGAACTTCGGAACGTCTTGGTGGTGCAAACCGCCGAAGAAGCAAATGCAAACAAGCAATTCCCTGGTGTGCAGGAACTGGTAGGTGGTGCAGTGACAGAATTTGACAGCCACATCCTGACAGCGGACTGCACGTTGAGTCCTATGGAACTCCGGGTAGCCATCCGGTATGACGAATACGTGGTGCCTACGCCACAGGTGCAACGGATCCTGTCACATCTCACACACCTGGTGCAACAGCTATACAACCCAGCATTGATCAAATCGCGTACTCTTGGGGAACTGGACCTCATCACCCCCGCGGATAAACAGCTGATAGTCGAGCACAATGCCCTTGTCGATGTTTCTCGTGTTGATCAATGCATCCATACGCTGGTCTATGAGCAAGTTTTAGCACGACCTAGCTCACCAGCTGTTTGTGCCTGGGATGGAAATCTCACGTACAGTGAAATGTTCAGTCAAGCCGTGCGGCTGGCGCACTTCCTTGTTGACGCCGGCGTCGGTCCTGAAACGAAAGTTGGCCTGTGCATGAATAAATCGAAGTGGGCCATCGTGGCCATGCTCGGCACACTTTTCGCTGGTGGCGCAATTGTTCCTCTCGGTGTAACTCACCCCATTTCGCGGCTGAAGGTTATTGTTCAGGATGCTGCGGCGAATATGATTCTCGTTGATGCGGAGCAGCAAGTGCGACTCGGACGCCTGGATCTGAACGTGAATCTAGTCATTGTCGGCACCGCACTGCTGGATGGACTAGCTTCGGAGAGTCATGCCCCAGTGACTACCGTTACTCCCGACAATGCAGCCTGGATCATTTATACATCCGGCACTACGGGAACCCCTAAAGGCCTTATACTTGAACATGGTGGATTGTGTACCAGTATGAGGGCGCAGGCCAACAAGATGAATATTTCCAGCGAGACCCGAGCCCTTCAGTTCTCTCCATTTACCTTTGACGTCAGCATTTCCGATGTCTCGGCAACTCTCATTTATGGCGGTTGTGTCTGTATGCCATCGGAGGATGACAGGTTCAATAATATCGCAGAAACCATGCGTATCATGATGGTCAACTTCGCCAGTTTGACTCCAACCGTGGCACATTTAATATCTCCTGCCGACACACCATCTCTACACACGATTGCATTGACTGGAGAAGCCCTGACGCCCCAGGTGATAAAATTGTGGAATCAGCCCGGGGTAAGCATCTACAATACCTATGGCCCATCCGAGGGATCCGTGTGTACTGCGAATGGACCAGTATCAAATCCCGAAGAGGCACTCATGATTGGCACGCCCATGGCCACACGTCACTGGGTGACCCATCCTCACAACCACAATCAGCTATGCCCCATCGGCGCCACTGGAGAATTGCTGATCGAGGGCCCTCTGGTGGCTCGGGGCTATCTGAACAATCCTGAGAAGACAGCTGTCTCTTTTATCGCCAAACCCGATTTCCTGTCCACCTCATCGGGATGTCGGTTTTATAAGACCGGTGATCTCGTTTATGAGCAAGCGGGTGGGTCATTCGCATATATCGGGCGGCGTGACACGCAAGTCAAAATTCGTGGCCAACGAGTGGAAATCGGCCAGATTGAACACCAGATCGCGCAACAGCTTCCCCAAACTCAGACCGCAGTGGTTCATTTGCTTGAGCTCGATACCAAGATGTTTCTGGTTGCGGTGATTGAATTCAGAAAGGATGGCGAGCAGACTGCGGCTGACACAGAATCCCTAAAACCTCTGGTACCAACATCAAGCCTACGATCGGCGTTCGCTACGCTGCGCCATGGGTTGCTTGAAGTTCTACCCACTTATATGGTACCACTGTTTTATGTGCCAGTTGCTCGCATCCCTTTAAACACATCAGGCAAACTGGATCGCCGGGCTGTCGAGACATTCTTACGTGGAATTCCTTCAAGCAGTTTCACAGCATACATCGCAGATGAGATCCAGCTCAAGACGGCCCCATCCACTCCGATGGAGACATTCATCCAACCAATATGGGCGCATGTGTTAGGAGTTTCCATCAAGGAGGTTGGTGCTCACGACGATTTCTTTCATTTGGGCGGTGACTCAGTCACAGCTATGCGGATGGTTGCAGCTACCAACAAAGAGAGCAAGGAGTTGAAGCTGGCTGTTACCGACATCTTCCAAAACCCCCGACTGTCGGACCTTGCACGTGTCCTGGAGGAGAAAGGCATGGAGAATGAGAGGGTAAGCGCATTGGAGCGTGATCCCATTCCATTGGCCCTATGGGAAGAGAGTTTGGATACAGAGGCCGATAAGCGACCGGCACGCCTGGCCCTCATTGCCGAGCAATGTGGTGTATCGGTGGAACAAATTGAGGATGTCTATCCGTGCACACCATTACAGGAGGCTCTTCTTGCAAGCACTGCACGTCAACCCTCGGCATATGTGAGCCGTCAAATGTATGCGTTGTCTGACAAGATCGACATCGATCGGTTCCAGGCGGCCTGGCAGACCCTGGCTTCAAGCATCCCCATCATGCGTACAAGGGCGATAATTGATGCAGATGGATCATGGCAGGTGGTTGTGCGGGAGGATATTACCTGGCTCCAGCACTCCAGTCTAAAAGACTACATAGAACAAGACGAGAAGGCAGGGATCCAGCTCGGACAGCCACTGGCTCGATATGGTCTGATCTATCTACCGTCAAGCGAGGTATTATTTGTCTGGACCGCCCATCATAGCATGTATGACGGCTTCTCGATTCGTCTCATGTGCGAGGAGCTCATTCACATATACTACCAGGCTGACTACATACCCCAATCAATTCCATTCCCTCGCTTGATCCGATATCTGATGAGAATCAATACGTCGGACAGTCTGGCATACTGGGATAAGCAGCTTGAAGGAGAATTGATGGCCGACTGGCCTCCTCTGCCCAATGCAGGATACGAGCCACGACCCAGGATCTCCATTTGCAAGACAGTCACAACCGCACCCCTTCAGGGACAGGGCATTTTGATGGCCAACGTGCTGCGAGCCGCTTGGGGCTTGACCATGGTACAATTTTCTGGCCACAGGGACGTCTTATATGCAGCCAATGTCTCCGGTCGCAACGCCCCGGTCCACGAAGTGAGCGAGATCATCGCTCCAACCATCACCACAGTGCCTCTACGTATCCAAGTCAGCACTGATGGCTCTCATTCGGTGGAAGATTTCCTTCGTGAGGTGCAGGATCAAGCCATCAAGATGATCAATTATGAGCATACTGGGCTACGAGGAATTCTCAGCCATCCTGAGTTACAACTACGCAATCTGCTCGTCATTCAAACCGCGGACGAAAGCGATACTACTCTCGACTTCCCGGGCATCGAAGCCCTTCCACTTGCAGTGGAGGACTTTGACAGTTACGGGGTCAATGTTCAGTGCACTCTAGGACAAACGATCGGAATAGAAGCTCGATTCGACTCCAATATCGTATCAACTACCTATATGACCCGAGTGCTGGACCAGTTCACTCACATCTTGGAGCAACTGTGCGACCCAAATCTTCAAAGCCACCCCTTGCTAGAGTTGGACTTTCTGAGTAGTGCTGATCAGAGCCAAATTGCAGCATGGAATGCAACCGTTCCGGAGAGAGTAGACAAATGTGTCCACGAACTTGTTCAGGGGCAAGCACGCGCCCATCCAACATCTGAAGCGATATGCGCATGGGATGGAATCCTGAGCTACAGGGAACTGACTCAAATGGCCGATTTCCTGGCACTCGAACTTGTGGCACTGGGAGTCGAACTAGAACAAATGGTTGGTGTCTCCATGTCCAAGTCGAAATGGGCGGCGGTAGCCCTGCTCGCCACTCTCCAGGCTGGTGGTGTGGTCGTGCCCTTGAGCGTGAGCCATCCAACCCATAGAATTGAGACCATCGTGAACGACACCAAGGCGACCGTGATTTTGGTAGATGCCCCAGAATATCGTCGCCTAAAGGGCAGTGTCAATTGCCAACTACTTGTGGTCGACTCACAGCTCCTCCAAAGGCTATCTATTGCACCTGCCAGCGATCTCCGATCGTGTCCCTTGGTCACTTCAAACCACGCTGCCTGGGTAATTTACACTTCTGGTACAACCGGTACACCCAAAGGAGCGGTTCTCGAGCACGGCACTTTGTGTACGAGTATTCAGTCTCACGGGGCGCGATATGGATTCGGCACCCACACTCGCAAGTTGCAATACGCAGCTCATACATTTGACGGCACCATTGAGGATTATTTCACTACATTGGCATGGGGCGGCCTATGCTGTGTGCCATCCGAAGATGATCGTCTCGATATTCGCAAGCTTACTGCTTTCATTCGCAGGACAGAGGTGAACGCACTTGCGACGACGTATACTGTGGCTGGATTGTTCTCGCCTGAAGAGGCACCCACACTGCGTCTCCTGGTCTTAGGGGGAGAGCCCGCCACAGTCGAGGTAACTAATCTCTGGAGGACCAAGGTGGACTTGTTCAACTGCTACGGCCCGTCCGAATGCTCAATTTTCTCCTCGGCGGCCGGACCGGTCCAAAATGTCGACGAGATACACAACATTGGCCAAGCGATTGGCACGCGCCTATGGGTTGCAGATCCACAGAACTACAGCTTGCTATGCCCTGTGGGAGCGCCAGGAGAACTTCTTATCGAGGGACCCCAACTCGCTCGCGGCTATTTGAACAATGAAACAAAAACAAACGAGCAATTCATCTTGGACCCGCAATTCATGTCAAAATTCGGCCTTACCAAAGGGCGTCGTGTTTACCGAAGTGGTGACATCGTGCGCCAGAAGGACGACGGGTCTTTTGTCTATGTTGCGCGACGCGATACCCAGGTGAAGATTCGCGGCCAGCGAGTCGAGATTGGTGAGATTGAACAGCAGATCGCCCGACACCTGCCAGAGACCCGGGCCGTGGCAGTGGAACTGATAAAGCGAGGGGCAAATTCACAGCCTGTTCTGGTCGGTGCAATCGAGTTTGCTCCTGACAGCAGATACCAGACGGGTGACATTCAAGCCCCTTCCCTGAATTTGAGAATTCTGCCACCAACGGTGCTCATGACGGAGGCCTTCCAAAAGCTTCACAGTGCGCTTATACAGGTTCTACCAACACACATGATTCCAGCATCATATCTTCCCATCGCCCAGATGCCTCGCAACCTCTCGGGCAAACTGGATCGGAGAACTTTGCGGGAGCAATTGACATTGATGTCCGCTGAGTCCATGCTGCAGTATCTTGAGGGAGGAGAGAAAATTCCTCCTTCAACCGAGATGGAATACAAATTACATGCTCTTTGGCTTGAAGCTTTGGGAATTGAGCAGTCGGATAGAGTGGGGGTGAGCGACAACTTCTTCCGACTTGGAGGTGACTCGGTGGCTGCCATGCGCCTTGCAGCAATGACCTGGCAGCAGCACAACTTGCAATTAACTGTGGCCGATGTCTTCAAACATCCTCGTCTTTGTGATCTCGCGCAGAAAATGACTGAGCGCAGCTTTGAATTTCTTTCAGAAGAAGAGGACCCAGCTCCTTTCACTCTGTGGGCTAATGCCTCACCTGAAGCTGTGCACGATATTGCGACCCGCTGTTGTGTGGACGTGAGTGAGATTGAAGATATATATCCGTGCACACCACTGCAAGAAGGATTTATGGCAACAACCACTCGGCAGTCTGCCGCCTACATCAGCCGACAAGTCTATTCATTGTCCGCCACAGAAATCGATCTGGACCGGTTTAAGTCGGCCTGGGAGACTTTGAACCACACAACTCCCATTCTCCGCACCCGCCTTATGATGGGCCATAGCAAGGAAGCCATACAAGTTGTGGTACAAAGCCCTATCGTCTGGAGATCCAACGACGACCTCGCTTCATATATCACTGACGATCGCGAAGAAGGGATGATGCTGGATCAACCCCTCGTGAGATACGGGCTGGTAACAGAATCGGCCGACAAATCTTACTTTATCTGGACTACTCATCACAGTGTCTACGACGGTTGGACAATGCGCGAGATTGCCCAGCGGTTTGTCGAGATCTACAATAGCACCAATCACACCTGGGCGCACTCTCCCATTCCATATTCCAGATTCATCCGGTACTTGGTGCGACAAGATCCTGTTGAGACGACCAATTACTGGCAAAATGAATTAACCGGCGAGTTGGTGACAGACTGGCCGCCACTTCCCCAGATCTTTTACCACCCTCGGCCTCAATCGCGCATTCAGAAAGCCATTTCTCTCCCCAAGCAGTCAAACGAAGGCATTTTGGTTTCCACCATCCTGCGAGCGGCCTGGGCTATTGTTATGGTACAATACAGTGGGAATAACGACATCACCTTCGCTGCCAGCGTCTCAGGGCGTCATGCCGCCGTTAGGCAAATCAAGGAAATCGCTGGCCCAACGTTGACCACTGTTCCTGTCCGTGTATCAATTGACAAATCTATGACTGTGGTTCAACTTTTGCGAAAGATTCAGCAACAATCTACGGAAATGATTCCTTACGAGCAGACTGGATTACAAAAGATCAACGAGCTGCTGCGCGAAATGGGTGGCTCTGCCTTGGCTCTCCGCAACCTTCTTGTGATCCAGCCCGCGGCGGAGACCGACAATAACCCTATCGCTCTTTCCGGCCTGGAGTCTCTTCCAGTACCGTTTGAAGACTTTGGCAGTTTTGGGCTTCAAGTGGAGTGTACGTTGGGATCCAATGAAATTGAAGTCGATGTACAATATGACGACCAGGTAATTGCATCGCTGAATGTCCTGAAGGTGGTCGACTACTTCGTGCATATTGTCAAGGAGCTCTCAAATCCCAACAGATTTGAGCAACCGCTGCACATGTTACATGTCAGTCCGCAAGATGAGGACCAAATACTGGCCTGGAACCGTGTAGGTTCAACTCGCAGCGATCAATGTATCCATAACCTCGTTTTCAATCGCGTCTTACGACACCCCACTGCTTCCGCTATCTGTGCTTGGGATGGCGACTTTACCTACGCCGAGCTTTCTTGTCATGCGGCCAGGCTTGCTGCTCATCTCATTCTTGACATGGGCGTCAAACCAGAGAATACTGTGGGACTTTGTATGGACAAGTCCAAATGGGCGGCTGTCGCCATGCTCGCAGTTTTGTACGCTGGTGGTGTTGCTGTACCTTTGGGAGTTGCTCACCCTTTTGCTCGGGTTCAAGGAATCACACAGGACGCTGCGGTGGAAACTGTGCTCGTGGATAGTGAACAGCATCAGAGGCTGGCATCACTAGGCCTGAGACTATTTTCTGTGGATGCTGAATCTATCGAGAAACTTACACCAGTCGATCTCGCGCAGACCACCGCACTTATCCGGGACACTAGGGTGGCTCCGCATAATATGGCTTGGATAGTCTACACATCCGGAAGTACGGGCACCCCGAAGGGAGTCATTCTGGAGCACCGTGCTCTGAGTACAAGTATCGAGGCCCATGGTGCGGAATTTAAGATGGATAACACTACCAGAACCCTCCAATTTGCCGCTCATACATTTGACGTAGCGATTCAGGATCTATTCACAACTCTCTGGGCAGGAGGATGCGTCTGCATTCCATCAGAACATGATCGCGTCAATAGGCTCACCACATCGATGATGTCCATGAGTGTCAATTTTGCCACCTTGACCTCCACCGTGGCCTCGATGCTCGACCCACAGCAGATTCCCTCTATGAGGACGATGATTCTTCTTGGCGAGCCCGTGACAGCTGCGGCTGTTGCCTTGTGGTCTCCTCACGCGACCGTTCTAAATGCTTATGGCCCCTCAGAATGCTCGATCCATTCATCTTGCAGTCGGCCAATTCATGACGCTGCACTTGCGTCCGACATTGGTTTCCCACTTGCCTGCTCCTGGTGGGTAGTGCAGGCAGAAAATCACCACGCTCTGTGCCCTATTGGGGCCCCGGGTGAGTTAATGATTGAGGGTCCCAACCAAGCCCGTGGATATCTCAACGACGAAGAAAAGACTCGGGCGGCCTTTGTCGTAGACCCTGATTTCATGCGGCAACTGGGCCTCTCGGGTCGACGGTTGTATCGAACTGGAGATCTTGTCAAGCAAAACCCAGAGGGGTCTCTGATCCACCTCGGCCGCACAGATCTCCAGGTGAAGATCCGAGGTCAGCGTATCGAAGTAGGTGAGATCGAATACCAGATCCAACAACACCTTGAGGGTGTGCGTACTGTCGCTGTGGAGCGCATCCAGCATGGGGCCGATGGCAAACAGGTCAGCCTCGTTGCTGTATTTGACATGATGAGCGAGAGCAACGAAAATCCTGCGAGTGATGCTCCACAACCCCTGGCTCCCAGTGACTACCTGCGTGCTATATTGAACGATCTTCGCCAAACGCTCTTCCGCGTCTTACCAGGATACATGGTCCCCGCCGCATACCTTCCTGTGGACCGGATGCCATCAAATGCCAACAACAAGTTAGACAGGCGTGCTATTCGGGAACTTTTGGCGCAACACTCTCTCACAAGCCTTCAGCAATATACCCAAAATGAAGGTGGGGATATGAAGGTCCTCCCCGTGACAGCATTGGAAAAGCAGGTGCATGCGCTCTGGCTTGAGGTTTTGGGCATCTCAGCTGGTGCGGTGGGCATGAACGACAATTTCTTTCACTTGGGTGGTGACTCGGTGACTGCAATGCGGATGGTGGTAGTAGCGGCATCCCAAGGGCTTCAACTGAGTGTGGAAGAAATTTTCAAGTGGCCCCAGTTGGTTGAATTGACCTCGAACCTCGCCGAACGGCCCCCAGAAGATCTATTTGCTCATGAAACAAAGGATCCTGCGCCATTTTCAATGTGGAAAGACCTCTATAATTGTTCCACCGGTGAGAGAGAGGAAACTTTATCACGTGTTGCGAAGAGCATTGGCGTGGAAAAAGAGCAGATTGAAGATATTTACCCGTGTACGCCCCTGCAGGAGGGCCTTATGGCAGTTACTGCCAAACAGCCGGCAGCCTATGTGAGCCGGCAGGTGTATTTGATGGGCAACTCAACGAATCGCGAGCAGTTCAAGGCTTCGTGGGAGACCCTGTCCGCGGAGGTCAGTATCTTGCGTTCTCGGATCGTAATGGAATCAAGCGCAGTACAAGTTGTGGTCCGCGGCACCATCCTCTGGCAATATGGCACAGACCTCCAGCAGTATCTGCAAGTTGACCGAGATACGGGAATGTCTCTGGGCCAACCTTTGGTACGATATGGCTTTGTTGAAGAGCCGAGTGGAGAGTGCTACTTTATCTGGACTGCCCACCATGCCCTGTATGACGGCTGGACTGTGAGTACACTCGGCAAACGACTAGCCGAGATCTATCACTCGAAACAGTCTCAATCCTCTGTCCCCTTCACTCGCTTTATCCAGTATCTGCAAAGCGGCCGCCCTGATACGGCCTTTAGTACTGATTACTGGCGCAACCAACTGGAGGGCGACGTCATGGCCAGCTGGCCTCGACGACCAACGGATATCCAGCCACTCCCGCAAGAGGACCTCCAACAGATAATTTCACTCCCGGTCACTCAGAGACAATGCAAGGTGACAATGTCTACTATCCTGCGTGCTGCATGGTCACTGGTCATAGCACAGTACTCTGGGCATGGGGATATAGCCTTTGCGGCCACTGTGTCCGGCCGTAATGCTAGGGTTCAGGGGATCTCTGACATTGCGGGTCCAACAATCACCACGGTGCCCATTCGGATAAATGTGGAACAGACGCAAAGTGTGGCCCGGTGCCTCGAGGCTATCCAGCTGCAAGCAACAAACATGATTGAACACGAGCATACCGGTCTCCAAGGCATCAAGGCACTTGTCCCCGAGCTTGCGCCTACGATTGACACGGGCACCTTACTCGTAATTCAACCTGCTGATGAGAGCGGTTCTGATGAACAGCTAGCCTTCCCGGGCATGGAAAAGATCCCTTTGCCGGTCGAACCCTTCAATGCGCATGCCATCACCCTCGAATGCAAGCTCGGACAACAGCAACTGATCGTCGATGTGCACTACGACAAGAATATCATCCCGTGTTCCCAAATGAAACATGTGATGGACTATTTTTCCTGCTTGATCCACCGATTGTGCCAGCCGGTGGCCCAATCGGAATCGCTAGCCGATATATTGGCCATTGAGCAGGGAAGTCAAGAACAGATATTACAATGGAACACAGAGGTACCTGCACGACTAGAGAAGTGTATTCACGAGATGGTTCGAGAGCAGGTGGATCGCTCGCCCTCAGGGACAGCTATCAGTGCGTGGGATGGAGATTTCACATACGGTGAATTCCACTCTGCAGCCGCACGTCTGGCCCACCACCTGGTGTCTCTCCACGTCGGTCCCGAAAGCATCGTTGGGTTCTGTATGGAGAAATCGAAATGGGGATCAGTGGCGATGCTGGGTATCATGCAAGCAGGTGGTGCCATTATGCCTTTGGGGGTAATGCACCCTTTGGCCCGCATCGAAACCATCATCGAAACCTCTCAGGCACGCGTCATTGTAGTGAGCCCAGAGCAAGAGGAGCGACTGCGGGGTCTGAGCTCCATTGCTCAAGTCAAACTCGTCGTCCTCGATCAGGAGTCTTTCGATGGTCTTCCATATTACACTCAACCCCCAGATACTGGAGTGACACCTTCGAACGCGTCCTGGGCAATTTTCACTTCTGGTAGCTCTGGCATTCCTAAGGGCGTTATCATTGAACACGGGACCATGTCGACAAGTCTAGACGAGCAGGGACGGTGGTTGGGACTCACGCCGAGGACTCGATTCTTGCAGTTTGCGTCATACACATTCGATAACATCATCACTGACACCTTTGCCACAACAGCATTTGGAGGCGTGGTATGTGTGCCCTCCGAGGATGACCGCATGAACCGGCTCACTGAGGTCATGGCAGACATGAACGTCAACACAGCGATGCTTACATCTACCGTGGCCCAGCAGATCGCTCCGATAAGCGTTCCTGCCATGCGTAAACTCATTTTGACAGGTGAATCAGTCCGTGCAGATGTTGTTAGCCTTTGGTTGGATCATGCCGAAGTCTACAACGCCTATGGGCCCACGGAAGGCTCAATGAGCACTTGTACCCGACCTTATACCAGCGCCTACGAAGTCAGCAACATCGGGTTTCCACTGGCCACACGTTTATGGGTCACACAGCCCAAAAACGACAATCTTCTCAGCCCTATCGGAGCCCCAGGTGAGCTCTGGATTGAAGGTCCCTTCCTGGCACGGGGCTATCTTGGCGACCCAGCCAGAACGGATGCGTCATTCATCGTCGATCCGGAGTTTACGGGGCGCCTGAACTTGCATGGACGACGACTTTATCGCACTGGCGATCTCGTCCGGCAGAACGAGGACGGCACATTGATCTATCTCGGCCGACTGGACTCCCAGATCAAAATCCGGGGCCAGAGAGTCGAACTAGGCGAGATCGAACATCAAATCTTGCACCATCAACCCGGCATCAGCGCTGTAGCAGTTGTGCCACTCACAGAAGACCAAGATCAAAGAATCACCCTGGTGGCAGTTGTCGAGTTTGCTGCAGACAGTGCGCATCGCCTTGTGCCGATAACACCGTCAGGAATTATGCCGCTATCAACAGAGCTGCAAACGACATTTGCGAACCTGTACCAGATATTATTGCGAAAATTACCCCTTTACATGGTTCCGCCTGTTTTCCTTCCGATTGCTGAAATGACTCGCAACTTATCTGGGAAGCTCGACCGCAAGTCTTTACGTGCGCTAGTGGTAAGCATCGAAGACGACAAGATTCATGAGTATCGAGTCAGTGATAGACCCAAAGTGGCCCCGTCCACCAATATGGAGCGAGAGCTGCAGGCATTATGGGCTAAAGGGCTCAATCTCAAGCTCGAAAAAATTGGAGCCAATGATGATTTCTTCCACATTGGTGGAGACTCCCTCGCGGCAATGCGCATTGTTGCAGCTTCGCACTCTCGGGGCTACACTTTGACCGTAGCCGACATCTTCAGGTACTCCTGTCTCTCAGACCTGGCTCTGATTTTGAGCGCTCGAGCAGAGAATGAAATCCCTGTCGCTTCAGGTGATGAGGTGGCTCCATTCTCGTTAATCGGATCTGACAACCCCGAAGAATTTATCCAAAATGTGTTACACCCGGTCTACAATTTCAGCACGCGCGATGTTATTGACATCTTGCCGACCACCGACTTTCAAGCTATGACAGTTGCAGGTGTTCTCACTACCCCCAGGGCTGCAAACTGTGCGCATTTTCTCATCGATGGTAATGGCACCTATGACATTGAGACATTGAGAAAAGGCTGTTCAGATCTGATCAAAACCCTTCCCGTATTACGTACAGCCTATGTGTTTGACCAGGGCCGACTTCTCCAGGTGATCAAGAGTGTCCATGAGCCCGAAATCCGGATCTTCAGCACCGATCGCTCCATCGAAGCAATGACGTCCGAGATAATCAATCAACAAGTGCTTCCGCCTCCCCGCCTAGGCGAACCTTTCACCCAGGTTGCCATTATTGAGGAATCCCGAAGCTCCCGACACCGAGTTCTCTTGCGAATGACACATGCCGAGTATGATGCTGTCTCCATGGATGGAGTCTGGGAAAGCCTCAAGCGGCTCATCGAAGGAACAGTCCCTCACCCGCAACCCCTTTTCTCGGCTTTCCTCTACCACCAGCAGCAGAGCATTGCACCGAAGGCCTACAAATACTGGACTGATCTTCTTTCTGGCTCGTCTATGACGAGCCTCGGTAGCTCTTCCACGGCTATTGGTCAATATCCGTCCCAGGTCGCACACTTAGCCCCTCAAACTATTCAGTGCGTCAACCCTCAATCTGAAGGCATGACTATTGCGATTCTGGTGAAGGCGGCGTGGGCAGTCACCCTCAGTCGCTTTTCCAACAGCCAAGATGTTGTGTTCGGTGACACAGTATCCACGCGGGGCACTGTCAAGGCCTCTCTTATGAACGCCATGGGCTGTTGTATCACACTCCTCCCGGTCCGTATTCAACTCTCCAACGAAGCCACTGTTCGGGAGCTCCTTCACAAAATCCGGGGTCAGCAGATTCAAAGTCTCGATCACGCTCAACTCGGATTCCGGGAAATTCTACATGGATGTACCGACTGGGTGACCTCGACGCGCTTTACCTCTACTTTCAACCACATAGCGGAACAGACCGGTACCCTCAATATGGGCAGTCAGGAATACGCTATCTCGAGCTTCGAGGCACCTGATGCGACGTGGATGGTCGATGTGGGCGTCACTGCGGTCTCTCGAGATGGTGAGCTAGACCTCCGAATTTCCTACCAGCCAGGAAGCATATCCAAGGAAATGGCATTGAAATACTTGCGTACCTTGAGCGATACCGTTCGGACCTTCCTGGACGACTCATCTCAAACGTTGAAGGCGACAATGTCACCCTTCGAAACGCCAATCATCCCCCGAATGACCCAGACCCGAAAGAAGGGACCGATTGTGCCACTGACGAAGCTCATCTCGAAAGAAGACGGCATGACGTGCCTAAAAAACACACCGGAGTGGGAAGCTGTGCTCCAGCATCGCCGGGGAGTGGAAAGTAGAAAGACGCGCATTCCTTCATTTGCACAGAGAGGCGGCGATCTCTTGGATGCCGTCTACTTATCATCTCTTCTGGGTGACGGAGATCGATCGATCTCGGCCCTGGATATTTTAGCGGAATCACAGGAAGATGGGGATGACCTCGTGGACGCTCCGCCATTGAAGCAGAGGCGCACCTCTCTCAAAATGGTTTGGGCCAGTTTGAGGAAAAGATATCACCGCTCGATGGCGATTCAGTTCCGCAGACACTAGACCTTTGTTATTTTTTTGATGTACGCATGTTGCCATTTTTTTAACCGTGACTTCCAATAAATTGTATGTAATATTTGCATTATCACTCAATTCTAAATATTGTCTACATAACAAACTTCACCACGTTTCTACCTCTTTCATCCAGACGGACAGGACAGCGAGGGCTTCCGAGGCTTGCGTCTTTTGTGGTCCAAATAGAACGAAATATCTGCCCACTTGGCGGTGGAACAGGCCACCCAAGGCCTAGCAACAGGTGTACTATAAAAGAAGCGCTGCCCGCCTCCTCCAGAACTTGCCCCTGAAAAAAAGAATCCCAGTCCTCTCCTTCAGTCTTGAAATCTAACACATACTGTTTACCATCATGCCTCGAGTCTCGTACAAGGGCCTTCTCAATGCTACTGAGCAAGACCTCCAGTCATTGAGCAAAGCCACTCTTGTGGATGGGTACTTTGATCTGGATCTTGACTGTCCTGAGGCTGTGAACCTGCGACAAGATGTTCGTTATCTCGAGTCTTTCTCGGAAAAGATTTTCGATGTTCCCACGCCGCTGAAGGAGCGCTACGACTTCAAGACGCTGGGACGATTTCGGACCACGGGGTAAGCGACGATCAAAATCAAACTGCAATCCCTAATTTTATAACGTGGGACTAATCAAAGTTCCTTGCGGCTGTTTAGATTCAAGTCCCTGGGTGTCGAAGAGGGCGCGCATGCCGGCCAGCCCGACGGATTTGAGATGTTCATGGTACGTACGTCTTGGAGCTGCTGTCACTCACCCTGTTCGACTAACCTTTAAACACCTACAGTTGCCCCAAAATGAGCTCATACTGTCTAGCTATCAGCCCACACTGCAGTCCCCAGACCTAGTCTTCTCCAACCGCGAAACCCTCACACGCTGCATGAAGCGGTACGAGGAGGCCGCCCAGCTGATCCTCCGCCGTGTGGGCGAGGTTTTGGGGCTGGGAGATGCGCTTTTGGCTGCTCACCAGTCGGACGCGCCCTCGGTCACAAACCTAGGCTTCCTTAGGTATCCGCCACAACCCACTGAATCCCGCAACTTTGGACACATTGCGCACACCGACGTGGGTACCCTGACTATTCTCTCCGCCACAGCTCGGGGACTCCAGATCATGGATGTTGAAAAGCAAGACTGGGTCTTCGTGGACCCAAATCCACAGCAACTCTTCGTGCAGTTCGGCGACTGTCTGAAATTCCTTTCCCAAGGACGCTGCATCCCTTCTATCCACCGCGTCGTTCCCTGTGACACCGAGCAGGCCACCAAATACACTCTAGCTTATTTCGTCCGACCAAATGAGAAGGCAATCATTACCAGCGATGATGGGACAGTTTGGGCGTATGAGGATTACCACTGTCGGAAGTTTGACGCCTTTGCGCGCCCGCTCACGCATGCCCGGCCTGAGGGCGAGCAACAGATGATTTCCATTCGCCAGCTCAATTTGGCTACCCATGTAGGGGCTGCATGATGGGATTCATTCATATCACTTTCCTTGTATTCTCATTTATATAGCAAGTGGCTAAATAAAGTTCTTACTCGACCAACTGCGCGCTAGCCCGCGCAGATTTTAGCCTACGATAAGATGGTCGATTATTAACTTTGTTGGTATAATAGTGTATACATTATATACTAGCAACGCATACTATGGAGGGACGAACAGCTATATTTATTTCACTAGTACTGCGTTAGAACCCTTGGGTATAAACTATTATATAGTTAAACTACAATATAACTTGCCTCCTACCCTAATAAGGAGATATTAAAGATGACGTAAAAATATTTTTACAGTATAGATTGTCTCATATTTGCTGCCTAAGAAAAATATACCTTCTATTCCTCAAAAAACGTAACTTCTTATATCACAGGGAAGGTGCCATGGGAAGCTTGGAGCCTGGCCTTGTTCGCCGCACAGCTGGTTCGCCTTCGCGAGCGGATCCCTTCCCGGGGGAATATTAATGGATATCTTAAGTGATTGGTGTGATAGGAAGACGGTCGCCGACCATGGCAAAGCTAGCAGCGAAGCGTACCAGTCTCGGGTAGGATAGTGTGTGCATTTCTTCCCGCAGATCTAGCATACTCCATAGGAGGCACTAAACTGCCTTCTCTTCGAGAAGATTTCAAGTGACGAAAAGATCTCTAAGCTCTATTACTTAGAATATTAGTATTTGCAACATATAGATTATAAGCTCCTTATACTTTACTAGACTGCGACATCGCCCGTCCATAGGCACCTAGGAGGTGGGCTATTTAGATTTTCGAGTGCCCGTCCATGGGCCTTCCGTCCACGACGCCTAAGGCCCGTAGGCAATGCCCACCCGCCCGTCCATGGGCGATGTCGCAGTCTACTCGGGTGGCACACTTCGTCGCCCTTCGACTAGTCGAGTAGCTCCACACTGATCTACAGGGATCATCTTCTAGCGTGGCGGACTCGATGTACTCCGGTCCATATGCGGAAAGAGGTCCCCTGTTGATATTGAGGGATTAATTGCATATCCCTAGATGGAAAAATAACGGTTAGGGCACGTCCCTACAGGGTCGAAGGATCCAAGGGTACAGTCACTTCGAAAAGTATTAGCACCCCTTCTGCTACCGCCTACCTAATTATATATACCCCCTTCTTAATTGGTTATACCACCGTTATGGCTTCAATTTTTATTGATGAGTATTTAGCCGGCAGAACTTCGGGTGTTAAGACTTTTGCTGTGTCACTGTAAAATAAGCGTGCTATGGTCAAGCAACCTTGGAAATCAAGAACTGCGATACGACCGCCCAGAAGGAGACTATCCATGGTGCCCTCTACCACTTTTTATCGAGTGTTGAGAAGAACAAAATATGTGGTAAACAGTGCCTGTCGCTGGACCATGGAGGTACCTGGGAAGGCTACCTGAAGTTTGGGAAGGAACAGTGGTTTGACGCCAAGGTATACTGTGGCGCGCGACTTTCCTTTCCCACTTGTGAGTAGGGTGGGAACAACAGCTTCAAATAGGGGTCGCGCCTGAGATGTAGGGGAAGCTATGGAAGGGTCTAACGTGGTTGTGGTTGTGGTTTCTCTGTGGGGGTTCGAGTGTTGTTAGCGCAATCTTCGTTCGAGGTCTGGAGGATTCGGCTATGTGCAGGGAGTGAGATATTCTAGCTGAGTGGCTGTGTGGTAGTAGAAAGGGCAGTAGAGAAGATATATTGAGGAATTCAGGAGGTTCTGCGAGATTCGACTACATTTGTACTGTATACATCTATCGTCACATAACAATACCACCTAGGTAGCGAGAGATGGACGAGTTAACACAGTTTAGCATATTCCTTTGTGTAATACGCTGGCCCGTCGCCTAAGTGGATTGGTTGGTCTCATATTGGATATTTCTATTGTATCTTCCACATTTTCCCATCACCAAATTAGAACAGTAACTCACTCCGACTTTCCCTCAAGTATTTGGCTGGCAATTTTGTGAGATAGCTCCAACATAGACCTTGCTATAATTTCCAAAATGGGGATAGTGCAATCCATAGACCGTGATACCCAGTTGCGCAGTTCCACAGCCACATGGGAGTCAACTCCATACTCGGAGACCGGATTAGAAGGATTAATATTTTCAACTGGGATGGAGAGATGGGAAGCAATCTTCTTGCTCAAGGCATCGCAAATTACCACGGTGGCTTGATCCACCGTTTTTGCAGCATCAAGTGCAACCTTCAACCCTTCTATTGAGTCGCCGAGCGCAATAGATTTGCCACGACCCTGGAACTTATACCGGAAGTGGGCAAACAAGGGCGCGTCAAAGTTTCCAAGCGACTCGTTTTCTTTCCATTGGCCGAGGCCAGTTATAAGTTGTGCTCCTCCGGCGGTCGACTCAGAGATAGCAACTTGTATCAGGGATAGAAGTGTCGGTGTATCAGTGCCCTGGAAACCTTGTCGTTCCATCTTTGCGGCCAGCTCTTTATTTTCAGCCAAATGACCAACATCCGTGATTGTTCCGAGATCCAAAGATACTGCTGGAAGACCTAAGCACCTTCGATAATCGGCGAATGCATCCATGAAAGTACAGCCGGTGGCATAGGCAGCCTGTGTGGCGTTCCCAATAACGCCGCTGATAGACGATAACATCAGGAAGAAGTCAAGGTTCATGGGGAGATGTCGATGCAAATTCCAGGTGCCATAATATTTCGGGCCCACGACATCCCGATACTGGTCTGCACTCATGTTTTCAATATGAACATCCTTGAGGACCATGGCTGCCTGGATCAGCCCTCGTATTGGAGGCACGCAACGAGAGAGATCATGAAGCATTCGCTGGACTTCGGTCTCGTTGGATATGTCACAAGCTCGAGTGGTTACCTGAATACCTTTTTCCACTAGATTTCTCACTGTAGCTTGAGACTCATACTTTGAAAGGCCGCTTCGATTGACGAAAATCAGGCTCTTTGCTCCATTTTGCGCCATCCACGAAGCTACTTCCCTCCCAATTCCACCAAGCCCACCGACCAGCATATAGGAGGCATTTGCACGGAACAATGGCTGGATAGCCCTTGGGAGCGTGGCCTATATCTTGTTAGCTAGAGCCGGTTATCATCTGGGTATGGCATAAGCTCAACCTTGACAATATCACTGTCTTCCACATGGACCACAACATGCTGCTGGGTTTGAACTGCCATTAGCGCCTCCTCAATGAGTGAAATATGATATGCATCGGTAATGCCAGGCCCTTTGAGTCGTCCTTGGAGGAACAAGAGAAAAGCCTTCCGCCATATCTGGTCGGCAAGCTCAATCCTCTCCTTTTGGAGCTCAAATATATTGACTGTAGTCAGGGACATGTTCTGGGCACATGGCAACGATCGCGCCGTGAGGTTGTTTGTGCGAAGTTGAATAAACCGACCAAATGGCGCAGTGCAGTTCTGAAGGGTTCTGTCCTCTGCAGTCTCGAACGTGACTACTACGTTTGCTTTCTTGCCATCAGTTAATCGTAACACACCCTTGGCCACATCTTCCTCCCCGGTTATTAAGACATGCTCCCCGGGTATCCCGAACCTCGAGCCCAGCAAGTCCTTTTCGCGGGGGCTGTGCACTGTAGCAAATATTCGAGCGTCCCTCAGCAGATACATTTCCAGAAGTGCTTGGCCGAAATGACTTCCGGCGTCATGCAAGAGGACGGTGTCATTCGACTCAACCAGTGACAGGTGGTTCACAACATAATAAGCAATTGTATATGCTAGCGGTAAAGCTGAAGCCACCTGTAATGACATGTCGTCATTGATCTTCCGGAAGGCTGATGCCCGATCGTGATAGAAGCTTCTCGCAGTCCCAGCTCCAAGACACGCAACCCGGTCGCCTACAGTGATGCCGTGGACCCCAGCGCCGACCTTGTATACTATGCCACTACACTCTAGTCCGAGGGTGTCGTCAGTTTGCCAATCATAACGGTCAGCCTGAACATCCCATTTATTCAGGCCGAAGGAGTGTACTCTGATTCCGACGTAGCCGACTGGGAGTTCAGTCGTTTGCGAATCGCCAACAAATCCGGGGTGATCAAATTTCCTGGAAAGACGGAGGGGCTGCTGAAGCTGATGGAAAGGCTGCTCGGATACAGCCTCAATATCATTGATGCTGTTCATAGCCTTGTTCGCAATCAAATTGTCTAGCACTCTTGGAACCAAGATTTCCCCATGTCTCTCCGCGTATTCCGTGTCCTCGTCTGGATTTTCACGGAGAAATCTGGTAACCAGTACTTTTGCAATCATCTTGGCGGCTTGAGATTCCGAGAGAGAATTCTTAGCATCCAGATCAAGGGTGACAATGGGGTTTACGCCTGATTCGGCACGTGCTGTTCTTGCAAATCCAACAGCCAAGGCCGCATTTGGGTTGACAGGCTCAATCGTCCCTCCTCTTGTTATCCAGAGAACTCCTCCACTCTGGGTGAAAATAGCTTTTATCTTGTTGAATGCCACTTCATTAGGAGCGGCCAACAGGGACGACGTTGAAGTATCCACGACTAAACAAATCTGATCTTTACAGTCCACGTTATTGAGCGGCGTCACATTCACCTCACATGAGGTTTTCTTGAGCTCAGTGACTAGATGCCTGACAGTGTCAGTTTTGTTCTCGCAAATTATGGAAACCTTTCTGGACGACATTTGTATTTTTCGCTTTTTGGCCACGATGAACTGATGGCTCTTCTCGGAGTCCTGCTCCGCATAGGCATCGACTTCAGTGAAACGCGCATCTTGCAGGATCTCCTCCCATTGACTCTCCGTCCAAGCACCCTGGCCCAAACAGAATTCGTCTGTGGACAGGCAGTGCAAGGCACCAAACAAGAGATTTTTCAGCACATTCTTCCTTGGGTCGAAGGGATTAATTGCAATCAAATAGCCAGATGGTCTCAAAAGATCATGAATTTTGCTGAGTGCCTTTTGTTCACAGCGTGCAGTACACAATCCATGCGGCAGGATTATGATGTCAAAGGAATTTCTTTCCAATCCTTGTTTGTGCAAATCCTTGCCAAGATCCAGGGGCTTGCATTCAACCCATTCTGACCAAACCCCCAGTCGCTTCGAGACATGCTCAAGCACGGAAGCGCTTTCGTGGACAAATGTATATCTTCCGCAGTGAGGCGTCTCCTTGAGCGTCACGAGACAGTTCAGAAATATCTCCGCTATCTGGCCTGTGCCAACGCCAAATTCAAGTATGGATATATCTGGTTTCCCGTGGCCAATCAAATAGACGTATTTTGCAGCTGCTTGGTACGAAGCATCTGCTGAGAATATATCCCAGAACTCATCCAACAGGCGATCGTCAGTCAGGAGGGTGGAAAAGTCCACTTGGTTCCGAATAATGGGAACAAGGTTATGGCCAATCACCGGCAGGAGCTTTCCCGTCGGGATAGGATGAATGTTTTCCAAGTGAGATGACGATATTGAAGTTTGACCATCATTTCTTTCAAGCACATCTTGGAGATAACACCGGAATCTCCGGTGAGAATTGTCAAGTTGCATTGCCTCCGTTGTGCTGACTTCCTCCAGCGCCGCTCTGATGAAGCCGGTTGCACTCTCTTCGTACTCTGTTTGAGGCGCGGGCTCTTTAACAACGCCGACCTTGTCAAATAGGAATGAGGTATTGCCGCTGGAAAGAAAGCTCGGATCTGGCTTCCAGTCAATCTGATAAATTATGCGGCTGTCCTTTCTCTGCGATGCGGGTTCATCACGCGCGAGCCTCGCATATCGTAGGCCACGAAGTGAAATTGTTGGCTCGGTTTCGAATTGATTCTCGTTACAACTCACGGCGGCAATGCATGCCGTCACGTCTTTTCTTGGCATCGGGCGCACATGAGTACAGATACTCATAGGCTCTCCTGCCGAACAGCTGAGACTGGATAATACAATCATCTCTTCAATGAAGATAGGGACTGCAGGTCCTTCCTCGATTCCCATGCCTGGGGGTAAAGCGGCAAAGATAGTTTGGAATATACTATCCAGAGTGCATGGATGGACCAAAAGCTCATGCTGAAATGATGCAGGCATTACGGATAGCGTATCTGGTACAGTGATTTCTGCAAAGCACGCCCCGTCTTGGGTGACATGTGCTTTTGTCATATTTGCAAAACATGGTCCGTATTCCAGACCAAAATTTTGAAGCTTCTCATAAAATTTAGCGACGTCAATCACCGATATTCCATGGACTTCCGTCCCCAACGGGACAGTTGCGTAACCATCGGTTTCCTCGACTCCGTCGCCTGAGGCGCCAATGCTTTTCATTCTCCCGACCCAGCCAGTGCAGTGCTCAGTCCACCTATTCTCCTCTGAGATGGAGTATATATGGAAGTTGTGCAAATTTTCTTGATCGTGTGTCGACTTTTGAAGAGATACCATAACCTCGACGGCGGATGTTTCGTTGAGCACCAGTGCTGACTGTATTGCCACATCTCGCAGGACGTATCTCGCGACTTTTTCTTCGCCCACGTTCAACTGTATTGACGCTTCGAGTGCCATGGCCAAATAACCTGCAGCAGGGAAAACGATATTACCCTGAATCTTGTGATCGAGAAGCCAAGGGAGCTCTGACGTTCGAAGATAATTTCTCCAGCGAGGCTCGAATGGACTAGCCATGTTGTCTGGTGCACCAAGTAAATCCATCCGCGGGGAGTTTCGGTTCCGATACATCTTGCTGAGTCTTGGCTCGGCCCAATATGACCTAGTGTGATTCCACGCATACGTTGGAAGATCAACCAGTAGCTGTGGTGTCCTACTTTTCTTGGTCCCGATAGGGCGGTTGATTGCACCAAAGTCAATGGGGTAGTTGAGTGATGCTAATGTGGCGGCTGCGCCAAGCGCTGTAGTGACTGCGTTGGCCTTTCGCGTCAATATGCTAATATAGCTTATATCGGCAGAATTGAGCTTCGCATCCGCCTGGAGGATTTGCTTGATTGGCCCAGAAAGTGCCGCATGGGGGCCAATCTCAACAAGACAATCCACAGATGGCTTTTGGGCTGCCCCGGCCCTTCTTACTCTGGAAGCCCCTGTATGCCCAGCATGCTGACCATTTGTTTCAAAACACAAAGTCCTCAGGGACTTGGCAAATTTCACTTGCCCAACCAAATTTGACACCCAGTACTGGGCATCCAATTCTTCCAAAGAAACCAGCGTTCCAGTGACCGAGGAAAAGAACGATGCGCCACTTGCTGTCGTTTCTCCCACTATCCGATCCAGTTCTCGGAGCTGGATATGATCTATAAAGTTGTGATACTGCTCGGCAACCTGTTCTATATGAGGAGAGTGGTAAGCAACACCCACTTCAAGGCGTCGACTGAACACCTGGTGTTCTTTCAATGTTTGTGAAAGTGTGTCAATGGCAAGCGTATCACCTGATATTGTCACACTCGATGGGCTATTGACACATGCTATCACCAGCTGTCTGGGCTGGTATCTGTCCAAGTAGGGCTGTACCTCCTCAACAGACATCCCGACAGCCATCATCGCACCTCTATTCGGTTGGTCATCCAGAAGATGGGTTGCCACAACGCCTCGGTAGTATGCCACTGACATTGCATCATTCATGCTGAGTGCACCGGTAGCATAGGCAGCAGCGATTTCCCCACTGGAATGGCCCGTCACGGAGTCTGGATATATACTCCACGAATTTAGCAAGTCGACCAGCGCAATCTGCAACGCTGTGCATATTGTCTGGCTGAGACTTGGATGGTTCAAATCGGAATTCTGGGCGCACTTTGTGATCTCCTCTAGTTTCACCATGTTAGTGCACGGAACATTCAAAAGGGTGGTGTATGCTTACCTTCCACTGTAAAAGGAGCTCCAATGTCGTGTAGAAATCTGTCGATACCCAAAATTGACGTTTTGAAGGCAGGATAGTCCTGAATCAGCTCTTTTCCCATCCCGGCCCACTGCGCACCTTGTCCCGTAAAGACAAACCCAAGTGTTGGCTTCCGAAGAGCGCTTTTAGCTTTGACGTCCTGAGATAGAGAGGCCGCCAAACCCTCCATCGTATCTCCAACAACTGCTGCCTTCCACGGAAAGACAGAGCGTCGCTCGTTGATTGTGAACGCAAGGTCGTCCAGAAATTCGTCATTAACAACCTCATGTTGCCTATCGAGGATGTAATTGCTCAGAGCCAGCATTTGTTGGGCGCAGGTTCTCTCATCGAAACCAGAGACCATTAGTATGCGAGATAACCCGGGTGGTGAGGTAGTAACTGTCTTATCATGGGTTTTTGTCGCGGCGGTCCGGATTGGGTCGTCTTCCTTGAGTCCCCAACGAGAAATGCAGCCTTGGGCATCTTCCACAATGACATGGGCATTACTCCCACCGTACCCGAAGCTATTCACAGAAACGCGACGAGGCCCTATGGTCTCCCATGGCTCAGGGCGTAATTGAACCTGCTGGCGTTAGTCTCCAATTTCCAACTTGCGCGAGTATCCAAACCTTGAGATTCCAATCATCGAGTGGGATACGTGGGTTGATTTTTTCAAAATTCCTGTTTGGCAAAAACATGTGATTTTCCAACATAAGGACTGCCTTGATCACACCAGCCACACCACTTGCGCCTTCCAAGTGGCCGACGTTAGTTTTGATGGAGCCAATCCGCACAGGATTGTCAGGCGGACGACCAGTTCCAAAGACACGAGCGATTGCTCCTGTCTCAACTGGGTCTCCGGCCAGCGTGCCTGTCCCATGAGCCTCTACAAAATCGGTTTCCGAGGGGTCCAGATCAGCCCGTGCATAGACACTCCGGATCAAGCTTTCTTGGGCTGCCCCATTTGGCAGTGTAATCCCTGCAGTGCGCCCGTCCTGATTGGAACCCGTGCCTCTTATCACGGCTCGGATCTTGTTGCGGTCGTGTAACGCCTTGTCCAGGGGTTTAAGGATGAGACAGCCAGCTGCCTCACCTCGCGCGTACCCATTGGCCTTTTCATCAAAGGTATGGCATCTTCCATCCGAGGAGAGAAACCTACCACTAAATCAGTCTGGTATTTTCGGTCATTGGTAATTTTTTACTTACTTCATCATGCTCATGGTCGACATAAACTCGTGACTCAAAATCAAATTGACTCCCGCTGCGATGGCTGTTGACGCCTCCCCGGTTTGGAGGCTTTGACATGCCAAATGAAGTGCCACAAGACTTCCCGAGCAAGCTGTGTCTACCGTGACACTGGGCCCTTTCAAATCAAAGAAATAAGACATTCTGTTTGCTGTCATTGCACGAGACTGTCCAGCGTTTGTGCACTGATACATGGGTACACACTCAGGATCCCGAAGTAGCAGATCTGTATAGTCTGCAGAGAAAGACCCTACGAAGCAGGATGTCTTTGTACCCATAATGTTGGTAAGGGGAATGCCAGCTATCCACCATCAGCCTTGAAAGCGTGATTCGGAGCAACAACCTACCATTCTCAAAACCTTCATATGCTACCTCCAGGAGCAATCTCTGCTGAGGATCCATGGCCTGATTGCTTCACAGTCAGATGAACTCTACAACACTTGAATATATACTCACCGCTGCTTCATCGCTTGTCATGTTAAAAAACGGCGCGTCAAACACAGATACATCCTCTTCCAGAAAGTGACCACCTTCCACGTTGATCTACTCCCACGTTATTGATTGTTCTGCCAAATTACATGTATGACTTACCGTTCCATGGCGGGCATAGTCTGGGTGATGAAATGCTGCGCTTTTCCACCTCTCAGCTGGAATTGGGCTCCATGCTTCTCTACCCGTGAGAATCATTTCCCACAACTTCTCGACATTTTTGGCATCCTTTGGTCCCCGGAAGCCAATTCCCACAATTGCTATTGGTGTACAGGATTCTGCGGCCAACTTCGTCAGATCATCTTCTGAAATGATCGATGTTAGGGGTTTGACGCTAGCTTGAAACGACATGGTTGCTTTTGGTTTGCTCGACGCCGGCCAATAATCATATTTCGCATGCCAGGGAAAAGCGAAGGAGCTGGCTTTTCTCAGGCCAGGAGAATGGGTTTTCCCGTATCAAAGCGATCGGTCTACTCAACTTTCTGGCGCCATTTGTTCTCGGTAACAATCTACATCGGGACATGTGGGAAGGTTTCACGTTATTCGCAGTGAGGTAAGTATCCGGGTGCAACCCTCAACGGCGAAACAAAACTCAAAGCCCATGTTCGTCTGGATCTGAAACAATTTTCTACCTTCGCGAAAAATCTGCAAATATACCATTACAACATCCTGCAAGTTATGTTCCACAACTGCAAACATACTACTCCCCTCTTCCAACAGACTTTCTTCGCCCAATCTTTGCCTCTCTGTAGTACAGCCGAACTGAAGACCCTTTCTTTGGTATTGGGTTTCACAAGATTTGATTGCAAAGTTTTCGAATTGCAGTGGCGATGATAGCGACATTCTTTCGATCACTGGGAACATCATGGCCTTTCCCATGTACCGCAAATGTCGAATATCCCGCAGCACAGAGGCGATAGAGAGCCATTGAGTACTCAAATAGTGGGTCTTTGGCGCCAGCAATATGCACGCAGGGAATAGAAATGAACCCCTCTAATCCTTCATCTACGACAGGGTTCTTTCCAGGTTCCATGCGGAAGGGTGGTAGGGAATTAATGAAGATTGCGCATCGAAATAGCGCAGGCTGATTCGGATTCATCTTGGCGTGATGAATCATGAATCCAGCAGCCAATGTGCCGCCGTGGGAGAAGCCTAGAACCCCATCGAACGGACCTTCCAAGGCAACTGTTTCACTAAGTTGCTCGTACGCCTCCAGAATGTCGGACTCATCGCTATCCTCGTGGGAAAAGGTACGTGGGAAACGGTAGTAACTGTAGTACGGACCATCATAGTATCCGGCGATTCCAGGCCCAGGGGCTGAATCGACGTCCCCTTCGAGGAAAGAGAAGGTCGCGGTATTGTCGCGCTGGAGTTCATGCATGAGGCCACCTGTTTAATTAGAGTTTTGTGTCTCGCCACTAAAGCAGGAGATTGCATACTCAATTGCGACTGTAGAATCTATAGGGAAATTAGTATGCCGTCACCCCCCTATCAGCAGCGTCGATTACCTTCTGATTCGTCCCCCATCCATGGAGACACAACAATCGTAGCGGCATTGTGTTGGGTAGCGATCGACAGATGAAGTGGAGCAAAAGTCGCCGTTGTCATCAAGAATCACTGCGACTTGCCTGGGTGATTGTCATGTCTGCCTGCGAGATTTTATATTTTCTCTTGTGGCAAACAACAACCCACGGCGCAAAAGGGGAAATCAACTCGTTCGGCTTCATTTCATCGATATGCACGAACGACCAGGGGCCCTGAAACTCGCCGCAAGGAGACAGATCAACTTCGGCATCCACTTCACCCTGAACTCGGCGAAGTTTACAGTTGCACAGACATGTCGATCTCAATACTTCATGTATACTGACTCAATGTTGTATAAAATCCAATTGATAACCCTAAAAAAAGCCACGGCGGTTAGGTATCACCCATTGATATTATCAGGCTGCTGAACGTGTGTGCCAAGGCAGGTTTTATTGGCTTTTATTCACAGGATAGAAACGGCAATCTCCATGGTTTTCTACAATAGGCTATTCTAGTTATATAAACTCCACTACGTATGTCAAAACGTTGGTTTGTATGGATTGTGTGTTTCACCAAATCCTACAGTTTGCGACTGATGGTCTTGAGAAGACATCTAGGCAGACACCGTGGTGTGATTTTAATTCAAACACCTCTAATCAGTCCCTTGACACAGTATGGATGTTGCGCAAGTGGGATATAGGGACCCAAATGGGACTAGTCTTACTTTTGCCACATCTACCATGCATCCCAGCAACGGGCAAAAAGACTAGAAGTTACTACATATTATTAGTGAGTGATGATAACCCTTGAAACTATGTAATATGCACCCAGACATAGAAAAGATCTCTACGTCTAACTGCTGAGGTCGCTAGCTCCTGGTATGGGAAACACCACAGTCACTCTCTTGCTCAAATCATCCACGTTCCTTCTATTCTCCTGCCCTTGGCTTTTACAATGGCCACTCGCAACCTAGCAAGTCCGAATGAGGAAGGCATGAGGCATGATGACGACTTTATCCTAGATAACAGGCTCGTGTGGCTCGTCCCGGAACTCCTATAATTCTCCGAATTCGTTCTCTTATCCGACCGACGACTTGATGATGTCCTGGCTGCATCCTCCCGGAGCAGCTCTCGGGGCAATCAATCCTCAGCTCTCCGCCCCTTGCCCGTGGTGCTCCCAGTTTCTCTGCGTCTAAAAAGTCGACCAGGCCCTCTTCGCGACACTCAAATAGGAAGAAGATATCTTCCAAGTCATCCGAGTCGTGTATGAAATCAAGCAACACATATTGAAAAGGAGGAAAAGGAGAGAGGGGAGGTTTATACTCTTAGGTGGGGACATCGTGCCTTCCAAAAAGAGAGAAGTTGAATTACCTCAGACGCAGGGAAAGAACGATTGAAAGAGGTGTTAGGGACGTCAATGCCCACTTCACTCCAGCTCTTTGTAGAAAACCTTCTGGCAACACAAGCAAACAAACTAGCACATCCTCGGTAAAATCCTGCACCTCACCTCCCTTTCGTCCTCTCGGGTGAGTTGATTGAGTCGGCATCTACCGTTTCTAAATGGAAGTATTCGTTGCTAAGATCCGACTCCGTGTGCATCAGATGTCGGGTTGTGTTTAGAATTGTAGCCTCAGAGTTCGGATTCACACCGAGCATACTCAGAGAGAGCGGCCAATATATATATATATATATTCATCCCTAGCGCTCCGCATAACTACATTTGCTAAACAGCACCGGAAAACTTTGGCCTTCGCCAGTCCCTGAAGTCGGGATATCAATCACTGCGAAATGCTTATGACTGTCATTTTATTTTATGGATTGGATATTCAAAAAATAATCAGGTGACTGGTTCTATACTAGTTTTCTGCCACAAAAATAAACCCCACAGTACCGCCCGTTGACGTAGTGAGGGTCGGAATCTCCAGATTCTCTCCAGATCTCCACGACTTGAGATAGAACGTCATATCGCATCTCCGGTGTGTCCGGTACATTATTCTCACCATGCCCTAATCTTTTGCTTTTGTTCGGCCTATCTTTGCCCGGCCCCTTTCGGTGGCAATACTCATCACAGGATCCATTGTGGCTTTGACCAATCGTATTGCCCGATTACAATTTGAGTACACTTTTGACTCGATTCTTGATGCCAGAAAATAATGTGAGACCTATAACCAGCTTCAACCATATTCCCCATCAGGCTCACTCTTTACTCCTAGACTCTCTATTTACGCTTCTACCATCCCATCCGGTTTGCAACCATTATATCCGGGATGCCCACCAAACACTCTACAATATGCAGTTGAGCTTTGACTCTGGATAAGTTATTTTCGAGACCTACTTCGCAAGGTGGGTCAATTAGATAGCTCGGACCGCATTCTGGTCCCGCTGCGTGGCTTCCATGCGCGGCATACCCTCCATTTCTAAAAAACAGCGGTCAGACTTCAGATAAGAACTATACAACCTTGGAAGATAGAGGGGTCTCGACCTGGTTAAATATTTTGAATCATGTGCAACCGCACAGTTTTACGCCATTTTACGCCATTTTGACCCCACCGGGTGGCGTTGATTTCTCGGCGCTTCGTAATGAATTTAGTGGGTCATTCTATCTATAAGTCTGTTCGCCTATCCCTTTCTCTTTCATATCATATTGGAACTGATTTGCAAGGAACCCTAATACTTTTTTTACTCCACTCTCAGGGGGCTACAAAATAAACAAAATAACTGCCCAAGACGTGGGTCGGGATCGACGTTTCGGGCAGTATGAACGCGGCCTAAGGGGTTTGCTAAAGATAAGGTAGAAATTAAAAACTCCCCCCCCCCCCCCAAAAAAAGCTATGAACTATATAAAGTCGGTAGAAAAAGTCTAGAAGAACCTATTTTAGACCGGATGGCTCGGTACCAATGCCACTGGACAAAACAAGATCGCCACGACCCACATTGATTTACAGGGTACGTACACTAGAAACTTTAGAATGATTTTCTATTCGGTGGACAAATGATAGGGAGAGAGATTATCCAAATGTCCACGGGTGCATTGATATAAGTTATGGTAAGAGTTAATCAAGTTAGGGCCTACAAAAGTATATGTAAAAGATGTGCAATATAAGTTTTATAATGATTTCATTAAGAGCTAGACATTTTTTCTTCTTGGCCCTTTTTCCTTAGCCTTCTATATTTCAACTATCCAAGACCCTAGAAATCCGCTTTGAGGGAATTCTTGATTCCTTGGTTTTGCCATTTACCTGTTCTAGGCTTTCACACTTTTTTTAATACTTTGATACTTCTCTTCCTCTTCAACTGTTTTATATTTTCTCTTCTGTGCCTTGCATAACGGCTTGCAGTTCTCGGCTAATCTCCCGTGAGCCAAGCTCACCCAAATTCCCGTCATGTCGGGCACCGCCAATCCACATCCCAGTCCGAATGAAGAATACGCGGAATATACAGAATACCCTCTTCCGACCACTTCTAATCCCAGTGATCGCCAAAGCCTTGAGCGCGAGGCGACCGCCGATGCCAATCAATACGACCACCAATATGATGCCCGGCCCGAGCCACCGGCAAGCCGTCGCGACCGATCTCATCGGGTTCGCTTTCGCTCGTTGAGTTTTCGCCGAAATGAATCCGCCTCACATCCCTCGTCGCGTCCGTTATTACCACCACAAGACCTCGGCGAAGTCCCGCTATCCGGAACCATCACCCCGCCAGCCCCCACACATTCCCGCCGCGGCTCTGGCCTCGCCCATGTACACACCCCCGATGAATTTAGCGAATCGGAGAAACGTGATGTCTTAGGTCATATGAATAATCCTATGGACCGCACCACCTCGGCACGCGATCGATTCAGAGCTACCGGTCAACTTTTGCGACAGAAAACTAGCCGCTTAACGGAACGTCTCGGTCGCCCCCCGGATGAGGGTGAGCCGCTCAACGCCTCGTACATTCCAGACGACCTTGACAGCGGGATTCCACTTGAGGAATTGCAGGCCCGCCAGGCTCGCTATCATGCCGACCGGGAGCAGGCATTGGAGCGTGGCGAGAGTTTTCACGAGCCGCCCCCAAGCGCCGAGGCTCATCGCTTGGTTCGCAGCATGACCACGGTTCAGGACCAGCTTCGGAAGCGCATACCACGGGGCGCGTATCAGCGGTCGGGACAGACAACTCCTGAGAATTTGATCAAGGATTACACTCAGCGCAGACGATCCAGTGGACTCGCCGGTGGCAGTGGCATTCTGTCACAGCTGCTGAAGCTCCAGGCGGCCCAAAGCGGAAGCTCTTCGCGCCCGGAAAGTGTCATCACCGATGACTCTGACAGCGATACACAGGTCTCTTCCGGCGTCTCCACCCCGAAGAAGGGTTCCCTCACGCCCCCTTTCCCTGTATCCCAGCCGGTTTCTGGTTCCGCGACCCCGCGCAAGGAGAAGCTTAAATGGTACAAGAAATCGGCTCATCGGTCCACCGCCTCGCTGGTCAATGCCTCCATGAACCTCAGCACGGCCAGTCTGCCTGCTGCAGTGGAGGCTGCTCCGGGTGTGCACAAGAAACATAAGAAGCACAAGAAGCACAAGACCCGTCTGGAAGATGAGATCCGTGTCACCGTCCATATCGCAGAGATCATCGCACGTCAGCGGTACATTATGCAGCTGTGTCGTGCGCTTATGCGATACGGTGCGCCGACCCATCGTCTGGAGGAGTACATGCTAATGACCGCCCGAGTGTTGGAAGTGTCGGGCCAATTCTTATATCTGCCCGGTTGTATGATCATGTCTTTTGATGATCCTACGACACGCACGGCCGAGGTCAAGCTCGTGCGAATGATGCAGGGAGTTGACCTTGGTCGTCTTGCCGATACCCACAACGTTTATAAGAATGTCGTTCACGATCTTATCGGTGTCGAAGAGGCGACTCAAGAACTAGACGAGATTATGCAGCGCAAGCCACGAGTCAACAAATGGATCTTGGTCCTGGTGTACGGTTTTGCTAGTGCGACTGTCGGCCCGTTCGCGTTTATGGCGCGACCGATCGATATGCCCATCATCTTCTGTCTCGGTTGCATTGTCGGCCTGATGCAGCACGTTCTCGCGCCACGGTCTACCCTCTACTCTAACGTCTTTGAGGTTACTGCCGCTATTGTGACATCCTTCCTCGCCCGCGCATTCGGCAGTATCATGATTCACCGCAACGGTAAATCGGAACCACTTTTCTGCTTCTCCGCTATGGCACAGTCATCCATCGCTCTGATTCTCCCTGGATTCATGGTTCTTTGTAGCAGTCTGGAACTGCAATCCCATCAGATGATCGCTGGTTCGATCCGCATGGTGTATGCCATTATCTACTCCCTCTTCTTGGGCTACGGTATCACAGTGGGAACTACGATCTACGGGCTGATGGATGGCAATGCGACATCTGCATCTACGTGTTCGGGCATGGATGTCTACGGCTCGATATACGTGCGCACATTCCCCTTCGTGGCCATCTACGCTATTTTCTTAGCCATTGTGAACCACGGAAAATGGAAGCAGATGCCCGTCATGGTGTTTATCGCTTTGTCCGGGTATGTCGCCAACTATTTCAGCACCACCAAGCTCGGCAGCAATTCAGAAGTCGCCAATACCGTCGGCGCATTCACGATTGGTGTCCTGGGAAATCTGTACAGTCGTCTCTGGCATGGTCATGCTGCCACCGCCATTCTTCCCGGTATATTTGTGCTGGTCCCTTCCGGTCTTGCTTCTAGTGGATCTTTGATCGCTGGCATCAGATACGCCGACGAGGTTCGCCAGAATCTCGATAATAATGGGACCAGTTCAGGTTCCAGCGCTATTTCTGAAACATCAGTTGCCAGTCTTGGTTTCGGCATGATTCAAGTCGCGATTGGTATTACAGTCGGACTGTTTATCGCGGCTTTGGTTGTCTACCCATACGGCAAGAAGCGAACTGGTCTGTTCAGCTTCTAGTTATTTATTTGCAATTTTTTGAACATTTTTATTTTCTACATGTGATGTTTCTGGCTTTTTTTTTTTTTTTTTTTTTTGTTCTACATTTCGGGTTATCAGCGTCATTCAGCGTTTGGGTTTTACATTGCATTTCATACACTTAGACGGAGGCGTCATTGAGCGATATCATTTTAGACTTCTACAATCATATACGATCTATATGATCTACTTAAACAATATACCACCATTTATAACTATCATACACCTTAATTCTGATAGTCCAAAAATAGTGGGTTCATCTCGTGTCGTGTCGGAGCGTTCTGACCGCATGACACATCACAGGTATCACCAAATACCCCAAATCAGCAAAAAGACTAAACCAATCTACCCTTCTCACAACGGAAGAAACAATCCAAAATGGGAAGCTTCATCCCAGCCGACTACATCACATCAGACCGCGGCGGCGTCATAGAAAATCGACACAGTGTCCACGCAGCCATCACCGATGCCGCGGGCAACCTCCTCTATGCAGTCGGCGACCCATATCGAATGACCCTCGCCCGCTCAGCAGCAAAACCCGCACAGGCACTAGCAATTCTCGACACAGGCGCAGTGGACAAATTCAACTTCGACTCAGGCGATCTAGCCTTCATGTGCGCCTCGAATAGCAGCGAGGAACGACACATCGCTCGCGCCCGGAGTATGTTATCGAAAGTCTCTTCTTCAGAGGCAGATCTCCGCTGCGGTGGACATCCCCCTCTCTCTGACATCGTGCAACGCGCTTGGATCAAGAGTGATTTCACCCCGACTCCGATTTGCAGCAATTGTTCTGGCAAACATGTGGGGATGATTGCGGGTGCGAAGATGTTAGGTGGAGATGTGGCGGATTATCACCTCTCCACGCATCCAGTTCAGATGCATGTCAAGCGTGTTATTGAGGATGTCTGTGGTCTTGGGGTGGATGGGGCTATTTGGGGTCTTGATGGGTGTGATTTGCCTGCACCGGCTTTTGAATTGCATTATTTGGCTCGTATGAATGCGACGTTTGCTGCGGCGGCGGGCGTGGCGTCGGGTGATGGTACGTCGTCGAGGACGGAGGCGTTGAGTCGGGTTTTTCATGCCATGTGGAAACATCCTGAGCTTGTCGCGGGAGAGGGTCGGTTTTGTACGATCCTCATGACTGCATTCCGAGGTCTCTTGATTGGGAAGCTCGGGGCGGATGGTTGCTATGGGATTGGGATTCGGGAGTGTGAGCAAACACGATGCCTTGGAGCTAAGGGTGCGATTGGCATGTCGGTGAAGATTGAAGATGGTAATATTAGTGTTCTTTACTTGGCTGTGGCGGAGATTTTGGAGCAGCTTAAGATTGGAGATCCTGAGATGCGTCAGGCACTTTCTGCCTTTCACCACCAAAAGATCTTTAATACTGTTAATGTTCAGACTGGGAAGTACTCGCCTTGCTTTCAAGTGCGAGCAGCATGATTGAGTTGAGCGGAGGTGGTATATTGCATTGACTGGGTTATTACAGAGCATAGACTAATATGTATCTCATTCAGTACTACGCTCAATCATACTATTTATAATTCTATTCATTGTGTATTACTGAATCTCTCACCTTTCAATCACTTGTTCCTTACTTTCCTATCAATCACTATTCAAGTTGCTTTTAATTTAGCTTAGTCTCAGTTGAATGCACTTGTTCACAGACAAACAATCCTATTCAATAGAGTTGTTCAAGGGGTATAGCTATTCATAGATGGTCTCTGATTATCTTCATTATACTTTGATTATTCTTCTAGTGAATTAGAGAAGTCATTCATATTCACTCGGTGACATCCTACGGTATTTACCCGCATAATGGATACAATAGCTATTCAGATACATACCCAACTGCGGTGCCTACTGTATCATAGTATAAATCCCACAAGAGTGCCATATCACCTCCGCTTTACTTTCTTTCATATTCACATCGCTCTTTGTATCCACCATGCAAAACAACATGGATACCAGCGAGAGCGAGTACGAACAGCTCTCATTGGTGAGTCCCCGCCCCAATGCTCCCGGTTTATGTGAACAACTTCTGATTTGCAACAGCCTTCAGGCATGAGGAAGCGAAAGCGCACGGCGGGCCGTGATTCCTCGCAGGTGAATCCTGAATTTCCCTATCTAAATCCTCTGCACAAACTGACATATACTTCCCATCAAGGCGAGGAAGAAGCGCAAACCGGCCCTCGATGACCTCCGCAAGCTTCTGGTGACCTACCACGGCTTGCAGCAGATGCGACGGGAGGTGGACGAGAAGATCGCTGCGTGCGAGCAGCAAATTGCCAAGCACAAGTTCGGCAGCATCTCGGGGAAGTCTCGTCGCCGCCGCCGTGGCCGTCAGTCTGCCTTCCGGCGCGTGGGGTCCCCTTTACGGGAGGTCGTCAATGTGGGAGAAGATCCACCCACGTTCTGGGTGCTTGTGGGAGAATGGGTGCGGAGCTGGTGGTGAAGGGGGACGGGGGGGGAGGATGAAGCAGTTCGGAGATTGGCGGGGTCTCGCTGGCGAGAACCCCAAAACTGAATGAGTACACAAGCTGTTGAGAAATCTTTTTGTCTTTTCAGAATTATCTAAGAGAATTGTGAGGTCAGGTTGGATATGCAAATGAAGTGTCCTCCTATGATGTGTTAGAAAGTCCGTTCTATCCGTGTGCCTAGTTTACCACATACCTCTCCTTCGTACTTCATACTTTTATTTACCTGTTTTTCCAGGTTTTTCAATACTTCTTTCTAACATAATCGCTATTGGTCCAGTTTCCTTAGAGTCGAAGCAACAGACGGGTACGAGGATTTGTAGGGACGACAACCGGCCTACGAAGATGCAGAAATAACTACATGTAGTTGGTGGATTTAATTAGTGGCTAGGGGTCAAAGGCTTGATTTCTCAGGAATAGCACGTTATTTGTGCCTGATTCTGAACTGTGACAAGAGACCTTATAGTATCTATACGCAGCGGTATAGGCGCCAACTGCCAAAACAACATTCGATCTCATTGCTTCAGGTGCCTATCTGACGACTATTCTCACGTCACTGAACTAGCACAACGAACCATAAACGAAGTGCGCGATAACTACAGCTCATTATATAAGAGCCTCGGCGAATCTTTTCCATTCGCAGACATCTTGTTATGATGAATCGACCACTATGCACATAGATCTATTCGTAAGAAGCTTTTATTCTGATGCTAAATGGGATTGCACAAACTGTTCTTTTTAAAGACTTCTCATCCCCTCGACTCCCTTCCATTTTGCTCTAGTTCTAATAAGCCAACGAGTATATCATCATTTTCCCATTTTTGGAGAGCCTTGCTCTTCCATGCCTCCCACTCCTCGTCTTCAAAGTTAAAGGGCCGCTAGAGTCCTGCGAAGATATTTGGAAGTGTCTGCATATCTACATAAGAACTCTTAGGCCCAAGAGCGAAAAGAAATCTCTGAGCCTTTCTGCCCTCGATGACATAGGTGGCAAGATCTTATGTGCGAGACCTTGAACGTTTACAACATCGGCTGCCGAAGAGATAAATGATCCTATCGCTTCGAACGGATGCCTTTTAACCTCGAGGGAAATGTCAATCAACTGCTATGTAACCTTCTCTTTCTGCTAAGGAGTGGCGGCCTACTAATCCAGAGATTTTCCATCTAGCTTTTCTATTAGAATATAGTTAACTCTAAGTGGGTTTCCTAGATCGGATTCGTATACCTAATCGATGATTTTAGGCGTAGGAATATAAGTGTACTGTTAGAGGTAAGCTATAGTAGCAGCTTCGCTTCGAAGTATCTAATCACGGACTTCCCGCGGCGGTGATAAGGTTCTCATAAGGCGAAAACGTGCGAGCTATTTGATATTATTATCGAACATGATCTCGGCGTGGTAGTTCTAGTTTCCTATCATAGCAGATAAGCTCTTACGAGACAAGTTAACGGTACACGAGATACGTTCTCTAAGCATCGATACACGGAAACATAATTTAGAGCCAATAGATGGGCATGAGTATTGCTATTATGGCTGATATTTGTGCAGGTGTATTATAGACCTCTGGTTTTGGGCATTTATGCCACGGCTCTTAACGGTGCGTACGACATTAGTGTCTATCGCACAGCAAGCAATATCCTACTCTCTACGCGGCTGGCTTCCCACAACTCCCCGATTCGCATAGCTAGTGAGGTATTACGTAAAGGTTGGTTTATTAAGGTGTCTTGCCGAGGGGTGGGGGGAGCTGTAGAGTAGGGATGAACGAATCTTCTGACCAAAGTGCTGAAGTGAAAAAAACGGAGCACAAAGACAACCAATCCGCGTTATATTAATTTTCCCCCTCAGGCGGTGCGGGAAAATGGTAGGTCTAAGAGTTTCACCCGCGGTGCATTCTTTAACAATAAAGCCCTAGCCTCCTTTTTCTAAGGGAGAGAAAACTGCCTAGGCTGCCCACCAGCTCCATTTTATGCTCCATCTGGCCTCATTACTACGGAGCTAGGATATTGAATTCACACGGCCAATGCCAGGACAGTTCCTGAAGGTTGTTTAAGATAGTATCAGGGATGCCAAAGTGGATCCATTCTAGCCAATCATATTCAGTTTCAAACAAGCTGTTAACTGTTAATAGTTGGGCCAGAAGGTGTGGGGTGAGAAGTAACCACCTTGAGACTAACACACACTTCCTTTATCCCACCTTACTATATCACCCTCCATGGCTCTGTATGCTTGAGGTCCACTTATTGCTGATTATTAAGCTCTATTATTGCGGCCTTGTATATTCTGCGACCGGGAGAACATTTTGTTCTTACATTCTTTTCCCTCTTTTCTTGCCGCTCCTGTCATCTTTGTGTTGGAACCAATACTCGATCAATTTATTTACTTGGCTTAACATCCCTTTATGAGGCATGAATCTGCGTGTCTTTCCATTCAATAGTTTCCTGGTCTAGCGGTTATGATTTTCCGTTAACAAATGCGATTAGCATATGTTCCGGAAAGGTTCTGGGTTCGATTCCCAGGGAAACTATTTTTGTCTTTTTGTCTTTTTGGATTGATTGTAAATCTTTCCTTTTGTGTATCCTGGCGCGTTGTACTGTTACAATTATTTAGTTGGAGATATGTGAGAGAACCTATTTTTGTGTGTGTATGTGCGCGGTTTTAAGATAAAATTTCGGAAAAGTGGTTGAGAAATATATATCATGTTCACTCCCACTATCAACACATCGTTGACAAGAATAGGACAGCTTATAGGCTCGAAATTAGCATCGGCTCCCACTACTCGAGTATTCAATATCACCCATCCGTAATGCATGTCAGCGACCTTATGGACATTGTGCCGCTGAGGTAGAACAAAGACATTCTAGAGCGATCCAACAGAGAGATAACATTGTCCTAAAATACGTATTTTTAGTCCTATGATATAATTTTGACGCTTTTATACCTCTCGCCATTGGTAACTCAGGTATGACTGGATACACTCAATCCTGTGTATAAAATATAGAAGGGTTTGTTTAGATTGAGCATATGGGATATGTATGTGCGGAACATGATGATAATATCGCTGGAATTTGTTGATTTTGATAAGAATCCTAAGTATTAATCTTGCCTAGTTAGGTTTAAAATAGGATGGAAAAGGATGAAGGAACCAGGATGAAATAAAATAGGATGAAGTGAGAGAAGGTGAAACCAAGCCGCAATGTAGTTCCGTCGCGGAAAAGCTTGAAGCGCCGAAAAGCATATACTGGATCTCTCACAAATCACTCAATGGGCGAGACAGGCTCTGGAGTTGTGCAAGGCCTTGCAGGGTCCCAGGTGACATCTGTCAGTTTTCCCACGTACTGGCAATCTCGAACAACACGTTCAGCCAGGGCCAGGTCCGTTTCCTCGACGTTGCCCCAATCCCATTTCTTTATGAACCTGACCCCTTCGTCCAACTTCTTCAATAATTCTTCATTGCTCTGCTGCTCGAAAAGACGATGGAGAAGTTCGGGATTGATATGCCCAGGCGGACCGCGAAGAATGTAAGAAGATATGAAACTCAAGAGGTCCTTTTCAACTCGCAGTCGGCTAGCATCACCGATTCGAAGCTTTCGAAGCTGGTGAATTAAGGAGAGCATGTATCGAGGAGGCTTTCGAGTGTGGATTTTGATTTAGGGGGCAAAAATCGAGCGCACTTCAGTTGCATCCTCAAGCGTAAAACCAACCAACGATAGTGGGAGAAGGTGCACACACATCCAACCTGCACCATCTAAGTCGTGTCGCAAACATCTGGTCTCCCAGTACCCAAACCACGATCGAGTTCTAGTGAAGAGGCGGGGAAAGTGGTTCTCGACTAGGATTTGTGAAGCTCGCGATAGCTGTTCATCAGGCACTCCCCATTCCACGACCTATCAGACTTTTGTTAATAGAGTTATTCCCTTGAAGATAATAGAGTGATTCAATCCACTCACCACCGGGACCTCCTCATAACCGCATCTAAGCTGAACTTCAGCCCCGTATTCCACCATTGAGATATTCTTATCAGCGAGTGCTTTCAAAGCTGTCGTAATCCGGATATTGTAGGGACGCGGCGATATCTGGTTGTCCAGCGGAAGTTGGGGTACTTCGAGCTCGTCTAGATTGTCCTGCGTTTTAGGATCTTGATTTCCGTCAGCGCGAAGTTTTGGAACCTCAAGCTCATCTCGGTCGTAATGATGTTGAGTTTCTTGGCGCTCGTCCATGTTTTGATAGCAATCTTCGTCAATCTCGGTCGGGGAGACTACCGTAGCCTCGACGACACCTGAGGAGGGAGCCGTGGGGGCGAAGAGCGTTTCGGTATCTCGAATCTCCATGGCCAAAAAACAAAATAGTACTATGGAAGTATTTGAAAAGGACGGACGAGGATCACCTCTGAGATTGATGATCCCATACGCTGCTCGTGTATGGTAGAGTGAAGAGTTAATCTCATGTTTGAGTGAAAGATTCAATCCTCTCGGTTTACGTTTCAATCAGCTCTTCACCTCATCTGCACCTGCTTTCTTCTCCCTTCTTCTCATTCTTTTTTATCTTTGCCATCTAATATTTCCCAACTCAGTTTTCCCAACTCATCTTTTGCTTCTAACAATCTGCAGCATGGAACCACTACAATCGGATTGCGCCCACTTGGACGCTACAGCAAGCCATCTGGTGCATGTCCTGCGGGAGGCAGGAATTCCCCATGTCTTTCTGGGCGGGTACGCCGCCGGGCTCATCGGTAGTCGGCGTATCACCAAGGTCAGCTTTCACTCACTTCCTTCTCACCGTGTTACAATAAGCCAAAAGCTCTAATAAGAATTACAGGACATAAATGTCGTGACGGAGCGACCGCCCTCCCACGTCTTGAACGGGGCGCCTCAGTTTAAATGGTCCAAGGTAGACTTCCGCACCGGCCCACAAAGCCCAAAGCCCAACCTAACCCAACCCGTAAATGGGTTAGGCTTTAATAGGGGCCCATTAGCCCCCAAACAATATAAAAATGCCAATGCTTGGCAGATTCATAAATAATACAGATTTTCCTAGTATTAGTATTTAACTTACCGTCTAAGCCTAAAACTGACCGAGTTCTTTCTTATAGAAATTGACTGAATTAACCGAGTGATAAGATTGATAAGATCGATTGATTAGATACATACATCAAGTGAGGTTAAACTATCTATATGCTAATAACGAATATACGTATCATCATTAACATACTTTCTCTTCCTCCCCGATGTACGCGGCTGAGTCGATACACCTATAGTAAAAGATGCACCTACTTTATAAGATATATATATCTATATGTTGATACTCTATCAAAGTTGAACCCCCGAATTAGGTATCGGGCCGAGATGTTCTATAACAAGCTTATAGACCAGAATATGCGTAAAAAACAGGCATTAATTAGTAGGTTTATAAGCGCCAAGGCCGTACTTATGCATATAAATGGGCTTTGTTAGGGGCCTTATAGGCCCCCGTTGTTAGGCTATAGGTTAGGTTAGGTTTCGAAGGCCGGGCTTATTTGTGGGCTTTGCGGAAGTCTATTCCAAGGACGAACGATGCTGGATATACGAACACTCTGACATGGATGTTAGTATCTTGACATTACCGCCCGACAGCGGACCTTTGAATTTCCCCAGTCCACGGGCGACCGATAGATTTACGGTGAGCCCCAAGGACTTCAGGGGCTCATTTTTAGAAATCGTGGAAACTCGAGTATTGAGCCACTCGACGTCTGGGTAATGTGCAGCATTGTGGCCATCCACGCTCCACCGGAGGATATCTTTGAAGTCCACCATTCGACCTTCGACGGTGAATTCCTTCCGGATAGATATTTGCGAGGATCTTGGCCTTTGCAACTTTAAACGAAAGACGATATGGATCATGAGTGCCCAAGAGGAAAAACACCACTGAATAGCGGCCTACCTGGATTTCTAGAAATGAAAAGAGTTCATCGTTGACGTGACCGATATCTCCCAAGAAGGGCGAGGTATGATGCGGTTTGCGAGAACTTGAAGCTTTTTATGAGGAATGAGTTTTGAGATGGAGATCAGATAGTATTTGAAATGATATTGGCCTCATGCTCATGCCTCATGCTCATGGGTCCTTACCAAGAGACGAAATTAGGAGCTTAATGGGGGTAAATGGGACCGAGGAGAAGATATAAAAACATGCTTAGACAATTTGATAAAATGGCATTGAGAAAGTACATAAATGAAGCTGCTGATCAAACAGAATATACTCCATATGGAGACTACAACATAGAGACCAGATATGTGATCATTGCGATCTCGAGGTGGTTTGTGTTTATGTTTGCATCGTTTGCATTCGGAGCACAGACCTCGTAACCTCGGGACCCGACGTTATTCTACCCAATCATTTTCTTCCTTCCCCCATTCCTTTTGGAACTGTACGCTTTGCCTCTTAACGATTTAGCTGGTGACAATCATGACATGCCCAAAATTTTTGAGAAATCAAAGTGCTTCGTAATGGGTGGCTGTGTGCAGATGCCAAGACACCATTCATTTGATCTGTATCAAGGTGGTCCAATTATTCCACATGTTGGCTACACTATCTTGCAGCTGAAAGGGTCAATGCGTCGCGCGACTCGACTTGCATTTGTAGTCACCCTGCAACGCTAAGGCGGCGCTCACTCGCTTCTTACCCGGACGGGTGGTTGCGTGCAAGCTACGCGCCGTAAAGCAACCGATCTGGTCTAGCCATGTGGAGAAACCTATTACCGCCGCTTTTCGTTCTCACGACTTGGGGTGAGCAGGGTGAGTGCGCAATGAAAAGGTGACAAGTTGCGCATCCTCTCACAGACGACAACCCAACCGAGGGAAACCCCCTTTGTGAATTTCTTTGCGAAAGATATGTCGTTCTCGGTTCAGAATATAATTGGGACCCCTTTACACGCGGTGGCCGAATCAAATATCGCTCTAGCTCATCTTAATTTCGACTTCTCTCTTGTGAAATGTGAAGCCCCAGCTGAGCTCCAGCTGTTGGGCAAACAACTTTCCAAATCTCGACGACAATCGGCAGAAGACGGGTCATTCCACATTCTCGCCCGTCGACTGGGTGTGCTGTTTGATGATGTCCTTCCAGACGTACCAGTGCTGCTTGAAGCATATGGAACCCGCGCTAGTCAGATCGTTCAAGAGATGACACAGAAGACGGAGAACCCCAAGGTTATCGTTGATGGGTTTTTCGGATCTCATTTAGGGATTGACTCAACCACAATCTGGGCTAGTGCGACGAGTGGAAAGTCCGTTCTTCGCATGCACCTTCTCGCGTGTATGCTAGCCAGGATCTGGTCCCCTCAAGAGGCCACGGCCATTTGGGCAGAGTTGGTCAGCCATCGACAAACCGCCATAAAAAGTCAAGCTCAATCCGGTGAGATCGTGGACAATTATTTGGCCCGATTGGCTGCCGCCCACGAGATTGATCGGGCGTCACTTGGTAGTTGGGATGCTAGTGCACGGGCATGGCTATAAGTTGCTGACTAAGCACGCCCTATGCAGCAGATTCAAATTAATTTAATCATCAACAACCTTTCCGTTGCCGTTAAATCACAGTCATCGTCCAATCATCCTTCGACTCCAAAGACACGATCTTATGACAGTGTGATTCTCAACCTCAATCGCGCGTTGACTACCCTTGATAAGCTGATCTGCGGTGAGCCCCAGCAAATTACAGACGGCGGAATCCTACTTGGATTAGTATCCTGGCATATTTATCCCGATCTTGTTGTTCTAGGGCCCAAAACACAAGAAATACGACAGAAAGACATTTTGGTCAAAGAAAGTGGAATCGTCACTATCTCAATCACTCCTCAAGCTAGACCCCGTACAGACGGAGTATACTGGTCGTTGCCCCTAGCCAGTCTCAGATACTATGGAGTTGTTCACCGAGAACGATCCACTATGCGTGATTCCAGAATATCAGTCGCACAACTACAAGCCCTGATACTCGGCGCATCGCTGGGCGCGGATGATGCTGCATTCACCGCCGCGAAGATCCTGAAATCATTTTGGAACCTCTTCTCTAGTCTGTACGAAGCAAAACTAAGTCAAATTGCTGACCAACCCCTGGACCTGTCAGCGGACTTGGCTGGATTCGAGGTAGTGGACTTGCTAAAAGATGATCGTCAATCCCTCAGAAGTTTGATGCAGCTATTGCAGCTCATATTTCCATTCCAAGGCGGTATAGACTTACTTTTTGTTGAGAACGACAACGAGAAAAACACTGCAATGCAACTCATGAGATATGGTACTAATTATGGAAAATCATGGATTGGAAACACGGGCACATCCGCTCCAACCTTTTTCGGCTTGGCAAGCCTCTCATCTTTGCTTCGCATGATCAAGAATCGAGAGGAACGAATCAAAATACTCCGCGCGCAGTGCAAGCAGTACTGTCTCTTATCGTCTGACTACGTGATTCGATTTCGAACAGAGAGTGGCTATGTTTACACATCAATCGATGTCGAAAGCGCACGGGCTTCCCACGGAGGGACAAAGAGAAAGCGGGATGAATATGAAAACCAAGACGTGGATGGCATCCATCTCCTCAAGAGCCCGCCCGGAGAAATCTGGACTTGTTTCGCTTCACCGGAAGCGTCTAGCCGTCATGTCTCGCAATATTTCAATCCTGATATGGAGGATGACGACTCAAACGCGCAAGATGACGATGTCGATTCAAACGCGGAAGATGACTTTTTCGCGCAATTTGTTCATGACGGCCCCCTTCCTAGTCAGTCAGTTATATTCAATTTCGCCTTCGGTGACCATAGCCTTGCGGCCGTTTATAAAAGGGTTACTAGCCAGACTTTACCCCAAAACCAACCCATCTCGGATGCAGTTTCTCTCGACATACTCGAAGACCTTTTGGACAAAAGTCTTTTACAACTCGACCTTGTGGCAGAACATATTTTGCATCATTTCACCGTAACGCAATCATCCCACGGCAGGTCCCTTCTCGCGCTTGGACGAGTTGTGGACTATTACATGTCCCACCTACCCTATGCCACTGTTGCTATGGGTGTAATTAAAGGCCCCATTCGCTCTTGGAATTGGGCGCAGTCCATGGTCAAGGAGCTTGATTCACTAAGTCCACTTGCAAAGCAGCAAGCGCGCGAAGGAAATACGCCCGCAACAATCTATCCCAGCCCCTTGTCCCGTGAATATGCGTTTGCAGCAATTCTACAATTTGAGGCAGGGGAAATCAGCGTCGACCTTGCTAAGCTGGCAGACGTACTGGCAATATCGAGTGGCAACTCTCTGTTCATCGCCGAACAACTACTCCACGATCCAATGTCACCAAAGAGTCTCTGTTCGGGTGCTGTCTCCCATGTCATGGGGAATGTTGGGAAGCCAGGAGTTACGCTGTTGGTTTCTCCTCCTGAGGTAGAAATCCGTGAACATGATATTGAGAGGTGGCAATTTGTCAACCACAACCCGTTTGATGGGAATTCAGCCGGTGGAATGTTCGACGGCACCTCTATTCATTTGTCTTTTACAGGCTGGGAAGGACCTGTAAGTCTTGAATCGACCAATTCCCGGGGCATGGAGGCCTATTACGTTGAAACCGCGGTCTCTGTCAACGATAGAGGCGAATGGTTGGGCGATTTAGATATACTGAAGGGCTTGAGGGATTTAGAGATGGTGGTTCTTGATCCTGCCGACAGCAAGTGCATACACGATCCGGCTTTTGCAGCTGCAGGAGTAAAATTAATTTCCATCGACTGTTGGGAGGAGATCCTAGATCCTCCGAGTGGGTTACTCGTGCTACGTTCGGCATCGGCAACACCGGCAACACACGATCGGGGCGGAAACTGGCAGTGGATGGTGAGACTGGCCGCGGTAAGTATTGCACGTTCAAGAAAATATCGGTGCATCTGCTTGCCAGTCGATAGGAGCTTCTGTTGGACTTGTGTTGTTGACAAGATTGATGATGGCGAAGAGAGGAATGTTCTTCTTGTTTATTAAATCCTACGAGGAGCTTTTGGCCGTATTTGTAAATAGACTGACATCTTCAGATGCGAGAGTAGATTGAGATTCATTGATCAACAACGAATTCAGAATATTATCACCCCCTATACCTCCACAAAAATAGTATACAAGTCCCTGGCTTAACAACCGACAGGCAAAGCCCCGGTAGAAGAAGCCTCACCAAACAGCGCCACCTCCTCGGCCCGGCGGCGGGTCAGCCCAGCAACAACGCCACCATTGGCCTTGTTCCACTTTGGCAGCTCCTCAGACGCCACAGTACCCACATCCTCACCGGCATTCATGCGGCTGATCAGGCTGGACGATTCCATGTTGCCGTTACCGACGTTGAAAGTCCACGACACCAGGGCTGCGAACTGGTTGTCGTTCAGAGTGACAGCGGTGGCAAGTGCGTTTGTTACGCCATCTTGGTAGCCCTGTGTTTTGTGTTAGATAGTGTATTCAATAAATACTTAGAAACCATCTAGACAGTGGGGTTTAATGTTTCCGAGGAAGAGGGATTGTAGAGACTTACCACCAGGTCATTGGCAAGCAATTGACTCGCTGTCTCCTCGGTCAATGGCTGTGAGAATGACACTTCTGAGCAAGTGGAGTCGCCGCATAGATGACCGTAGCCAAGGGTGGGATTGCCGAAACCGTCATCGTAGACGTTTGGCTGGAAGGACTCGAAGCTCTTGATAAGATCGAGGCCATTGTCGTTGATTGGGGGGCCGGTGCAGGCAATTGCCAGGGCTGGGAGGGCGGCGATCAGGAGCTTGAAGGACATGTTGGCTTTGGTTTATAGAATGGGATTATGTGATTGAGTGGTTTGGGGAGGTCATGAAGAGCGGACGTTGAAGATTTATATTTTTCTCTCTACCTAGGGACTTTGTTATTCGCAAAATGTCACCAACCTTGGAACACTTCATGTAGATTGTGGGTATACATTGTAGAGTTACAGTGACCCCCTTAGCTTCCCGTGTTTCTAGACCCTGAAACATCCAAAGCCACCCGAGTGCCTCCCGTACTGGCTGACTTTACTTTATTTTTTTACCCCTGCGTGTACTTTTACTGGCTTACAAGACTATAGCCTCGGCACTTCGTATCCCATGGCTGCTTTGATTAGTTGGGGTCACGCTAGCGTGTTTTATACTTATCACCCCCACACCCAATTACAATTTCTTCTTCCATGTATTCCGTACGGACTACCAACTGCCTTTTTTTGCGGGACAGATGTTTTGTCTTGGTTAATCGGGAGATTGATAACACTTGGCGTGGTCTAATTAAAAAGATTCATGTGGAGAAGGGGTTTCGTAGGGCCATAGACCTGACCGGTAATATATTGAGTCGAGGATCTTGACCCATTTGCGGGTTTATGAGATAGATCACTACGGAGTAGCGTCGACCATGGGCAATTTGAAAATGAGAGTAAAATCATGGTTGAATATATATGGTCCATCTTTCTGGTTGTTCACTAGAATTTCGCATAAATACAATTACCGAAAAGATCTAGCAATACAATACAATGCGGGATTCTCGATCTATCTGATATGTCACAGCATCTCTTACGGCTGGATAGATCTAGGGCAATCGAATGATAGTAGGTACTCCGTACCTTTCCTTAATAGGCAGGAAACGGGGTTCATGGCAGCTGGTAGTTCTTAGCACCTAAAGTCCCCTACATCATCTGCCTACACTTGCAAACATTCCACGGCGAACTTAATCCAATCAGCATCTGATACTACGCAACCAATCGTCAACCAAGGAAGTTGCCAAGCCAAAGGAGTGCGGGGAATTCCTTGGGCGCGTTTTGGGTCTTTTCTGTCGAGACTGGGCTTGTTATATGCACACAAAAGTTAAAAAGCGGAGCGGGCAACCACAGCGCCACCTCAGTTCTTACCTGCTCAGCAAGCTTTACGCCCACCAATCTTCTTGCGACTTACATTGTTGTGCGTGGGAGTAATTTGCATTCTGACAACGCTATCGTCTAGGTTGGACATCATGTCGGTGATAACTCTACGAGTTATGGGAATCTTTTAGAGCAATTGTTTTGATATTCGATCCTCATCCGTACGCAAAAGCGACGCGACGGAAGAGGAAAGGTAACCCTCAATAGAGGTAGTAGCGATCTTGATGGGAGCGTCAAACAGGATGTAAAAACACCGGAGAGTCGGGCAGTCCTCGATCCATCAGCAAAGATAATCGAGAACGCCGAAAGCCTGGCACTCATCGATCAATCAACTAAGACGATCGACTAGATTGCAAGCCGTTCCACCTTTGCTTTTAGCTCTCTGATCTGAGGAGCGAGTTCACTAGCCTCGTTCGAAGTGATACTAGCCGCGATAACAGCTCGGCTGACACCGCATGCCCGACCCAACGCCATCTTGGTAGGAACGAAAACGTATGGCACGTTCTTATCTTCCGCGAGTAGGGGGAGGTGCAACAAGATCGCGAGCGGGCTAGCATCTCCAGCGAGAACAATGATTTCGGAGGTGCCTCGGTTAAGGGTCTTCGTGGCTAAAGAAAGATTAGCTTCGAGCGTAGTCTAATAGGATCGCAGGAGTAAATACCTTCGTTGGCTCCTTTTTTAACCAGACGGTAGTGTGTGGCTTGTTGCAAGAGATCCAAGATTTCCTGCGCAAGGGCGGAATCGGCCATCGGCCACGCTAGGAATTGTGTCAGAGGAGAATAAAACTACGGATAGAGAGAAAACTTACCGACAGATTGAGCAGAGGGTTCCATTTTGATTGCGAAAGGCTCACAGTAATAGATCACGGCCTAAAGATGCGTAAATTTGGGATGATTTGGTTAATGTAAGACTGATGAGGTGCGGAAGAGAAGAGAAGAATATGGTCATCCGGAATAAAGTAGGGCCGAATGTCTCTGGGTCACTTTAACCGGCTGGGTTATACCTACTGGCAGCCGTCTTACCTCACACCTCTACTATATATCATGAAACGATTATAGGACGTGCTGAGGTGGCTGAAAACCTTGCAGGGCTTTAGTTCACATAGATATAACATATTTAGTGCCAGAGCGCCTCGCGCTCAAGCCAACGGCATATTCTATATGACATTCTCTTGGGTCCAATGATAACTTTCACAGCGCACCAATTGATGGCCTTCTTTTTCAGCAATAAAGCGTGCAATCTCAGCTTCTTTCTCGGCAACCAGGGCCCTGAGGGTGGTCAATTCCATTCTTTCGCTTTCTTCAGTTTGCTCAACGGTTTTAACTCAACGGAGTAGACAAGAGAAGAACCTGGAGTCGATACTGCTCTGGTTTCGGATGGCCTGTGCTGAGATAGAGATCTCCGTCCTTGGTTGCTTTAGGAAGCTGTACCGTGTAAACTGGCCATTCATGTGACAGTTCGCGCAACGCTTTTCGCCGGGGACTATGAGAATACGCCGAAAGAAAGTTGGGATGTAATAGTAGTAATTATATAACTAGAGACTACCGTGGTCCTATTCCGGGAATAGTCACGGCTCATAATGAATTGCTACAATTCGCTTGCATTGAACTCACGACAAACGAATTTCGTCGTCTGTTGACTCGACGTTGCGGTAAAGTTCCCGAATAGGCCTAATCCCCCCCCAATTCACACACCCTCTACATAGCCAACGAGAAATCACCAAAGAAATCTTGCCAAGCAGTGGGAAAGTAAAACAAATTGAGCCCCGGAAAGTCCCACTCGGAGACAAACTGCTCAGGGACAAACCACTGAAGATCTGCCTGAGCATCAAACAACTCCCAGAACGGTGACGTAGCCGTGGGACCATCCGAGTTAGGCTGCTGTGTTTCCATCAATGCACGTCCGTACTTCTCAATACTGACCTTCAAGATCTGAAGATAAATATTTCCAGCCCCGGACTGTGTCCCACTAGCTCCAGCTTTACTCAGCTCGTCGACTAGTCGATTACCTTGCTCCAGCAGTTCTTGATGTTCTTCTTCCTGCTCCGGGAGGAGGCGGGATAATTTGAGAAGCAATAGGAAGGAGAACGCGCACTTGGCCCAGACAAAATCCATTGCGTACTTCAGCTTGGCGAGGTAGAAGTCTGGATCGACAATTATCAGGCGGAGATGTCGACGGGCACTGGTTTTTGCTGTGAGGAGTATCGTTTTTTCCGTGCTGGACATGGCACTTTATGTTTGTGTTAACACAGACGGAAGAACACCCAGGGAAGCAGTACTTACGCTACGTTCTCAACGCCCATGGATCGTAGTGCCTTACAGTTGAGCATCATTTCTGCCCAGCATTTCTGTACTCGAAGGGCGACTAGTAGAGATGGCTTCTCGTCGGTGGCGGCAACACAACTTTCTTCAAAATTTTAGCAAGTTGTATATGATCATGACAATGGAGGTCATACCGATAATGCGTAGCCAGTCGCTTCCCAGGGTTAGCAAGTTTGCCAAGATACAATGGAACTGGAAAATTTACTCAAACCACAAGTCTAACTCAAGTTTCATGTCATGCACGTAATCCGCGATGCTTTGTCCATCAAGCGATGGTTTTCCTCCTAGAGTATCGCCGACATTGGCTATAAATCTGAATTAGTCATTGAATCTGAATTCCCGGAACGAATTATACCTCTGAGGATATTTAACTAACAGCATATATCAGCACTTCGTCAGGCCTATTTTGTGTACTCGACCTACCTCGACTTGAGAGAACAGCCGTAAATCCAAAATCGTGGACGATGCATGGCGAAGTAAAACCCGACAGCGGCGAGGGTTCCCTTTTAGCCGAATTCCAGGTGGCTTTCCTCCATCAACACGAAATCTAAATTGGATTTCATCAGCCTGTTAATCCCAATCAAAAAGATGTCAAGGCCATCTTACATATGTTCCAGAACCAAAAGCCCGAACCATGTCCGAGCGCTCCACATAAGAGCCCTCTCTTCTTCAAACATCTGATGTGGCAGGGCATAAGCCATGTCTTCATTCTGAAGAGCAAGCCGCTGGGTCAATTCATCAAAGGCCTCATGTAATCCGAGATCCAAAGCCATGCGAGTGGCAAATGATAATATCAGTGAGCGTTCTGCGGAATAGCAAGCAACTACGAGCATTGCTTGGACTGATTCTAGGCAGTTCAAGTCCTTGTTCTGGATTATGACGTTGATCCATTTCTTGAGTTCGGCGTGAAGAAGGTCGGACATTGAACCTCCGGATCCTGGAAAGAACTATTAGGACAATATTATTTCAGAAATATATTTGGGGAGGGAGTTTACTGGTCTCGACCATGCAGCCAATGGTACATATTGCGTTGAGGAGGATACTACTCCGAGATCGAACGGAGTCGAAAGTGTCGTATTGAGGGTCGAAAATTGGGATATACCTGTCCTGTATCATTCGCAAAATATGAGTATTTAAATCATGGTAGTCAGAGTCAATACATACACATCCTTCGAAGAAGCTGTGATATTTTCAGTCAGCCAAAATCACGCATTGCTGAATAACGCTCGGATCATACATACGTATTGAAGTATGACACAGCGCATTCAAGCGTGATAAGTCCTTTATCAATAAAGTCGATGATGGGGTCATCTCGGATCTCAAATCCAGATCGTTTTCTTTTGGGTGGTCTGGTAATTGTGTGGTTGGAGGCGTAGGGGGGCTGGGCCGAAGTCTCATTCGGAGAGAGGCCTGGTATGGACCCCGGCATAGACCTTTGGTATTGGTGACCATTTGTATAGCCAGCGGGGCTCGTGATAGGGATATTCGAAAATAATTCTTCAGAGTCATTCTGTGTATGATGATAATGGGTGCCCGAGGAACCAGAAGCGCTCTCGCGGCGTACTTGCTGTTGTCGATCACGGAGATGACCTGGGGAGTGTGTTAGATAAGATTTTGGAGTGGGCTGCGAGCGGCTCTGTTGAAGCAACTCGCGCATTTTATCTAGCTGTCTTCGGAGATGTTGAACCTCGGACTCGACGCCTTCGATCCTTCTAGGTGATGTTAGTCTTCGTTGATAACTACATAAGACAAGCTCGTACTCCGCGACCGGGTCTTTCGGTATTTCGAAGAAAACGCATTGTTTTTCCAATTTTTGACATCTAGTCTATCAGTAGCAGTTTCTAGGCTGCATGGAGATCTGCAACCTAGGAGTAGAACTTACCTTGTACACGGCCTCTCTCCGTCGCATTTCACCTTGTAACGATCAGCCAAAACCCCATCAATATGCAGGTTCGGCAGACTTGAGCACAGACCTTTGATTGTCGACAAGCACTGCAGGCCTTCTATTCATTAAAAATGCCATACATTGTTAGGGCCTGTCTGTTGTTGTGGGGTCTCAACCGGTTCAATAAAGACGTACCGGAATGCGCTTTTTCCCTGTTGGCACAGGAGCGCGGTGGAAAGATCCGGCTATTGCCGTACTGTACGGACTGCAGTCAGGCTGGTCGGCCATGTGGAGGCCGATTTCTGTTCGTACAAATTCTCGGGGTTGACGGGAAGGGGAAAACCTGGAGAAACGCGGGGTTCGGGGTTTGCTCCCGATGTGCCGGCTATACAATCAGCCAGGTCCCACGGAAAGTCTATGTTTTTAGGGCTTTGGTGTCCTCAGTAGTGTTTTTAGATGTTTCTTGGGTTATTCTTTCAATTATCTTTGTAGAAGTCTTTTCAGCTGTCTTTTCGCTTGTCTTCTCTGACAAATACGAGTGATGAAATATATATCTGGAAGATGATAAGCGCACGATCTCTAAACTCAGAACAATGGAATGCAGAAAATTCTATCGGACAATCTGGATGTAAAATACAGGCAAACTCAGGGGGGATTAAACCATGGCGATCAGCAGGGTTTCGGGTGATAATCTGCATTTCAGGCCAGTTTACAACGTGATATTGGCATATGGGCGCCGTGATATATCGTGCATGCAGGACGGGATCCTGCATCTCAACATTCAAATGGTTTCAGTTGGCTTTGCTGTTGTTCTTCGAGATACCCTTTTACACTTAATTCAGTTCATGTATTTCTTCCCTTTATTATTGCTATAGCTAGAAGGATAAGGGCACTTGGCCACAAACTCTAAAATATAAACAGTACAAGCGGCTTAAGTGTGCAAATCGACTTTTCCACGTCATTTAATTCATAGTGAATAAAGTGAAACCACAAGTCCTAGTCACTATAATATAAACTCTTTGAACTAGCCAATTCTCAGAAGACATAGACAAAGTCCTCGTTCTGCAAGTCGGTCAGATCTTTCCAGGCATTGTCATCTGTTGCTTGTTGAGGCGCGTCTTCTTTCGCGTCGTGCGAGACAGCTTGAACGGTTTGCATTGACTGGTCTATAATTTTGGCGCTCTTTCCGAGAGCCACACGTCTCTTCTCGTGCTTCTTGTTCAGAAATAGCAGATATGCCGTGTTTGCCCTAACAGTCACAATTAGGAAAGATATATCTTAGTTGAAATTGGGTAAAACATACCCTGTCAGACCAATCAAGACACAAAACATTGCGAGGCTGACCAGGCATTAGATACTTCTTGCTCAAAAGCTTCTGTTCACATAAACTTACTTCGAAAGAAGGCCACGACGGTAAAGCGGTGCTTCATTTGTGGTATAAAGGTTCGGTCCAAGCACCTGGATAGGAAGAATGTCAGCACAAAACCCGGTCGAGGGGGCTAGAGTACTACATACGTTACCAGCGCACTGTCCGACATATAGGATAGCGGTAGTAACCTTCTTTTTCGTCTCTCCAGCTGTGTTTCCCGCGGACCAGGAGTATATCAATGGGGCTAGAGAAGGTCAGCTCAGCCCAGTTTCTGAAACCAAGGAAATGCTTACTGATTGCTGGGTACACAGATATCTGGATGAAATTGATTAGCCTTCTTTCCATAGTAATACTTTTATTTCAATTCAACAACTCACAATGTAGTATCCTGCAAGTAATGGCCCCTTGTGGGCATTGTCATGTGTAATCTGCAGCAGCATCACACAACCGGCGATGGGTGGGAGACAGAGCAATGCTAGGACTGGACCCTTCATTTTCCAAACAGTTGCTAGCCAGGCTCCTCCCATCGTGGCGACAAGCTGTACTGCACCGAATGGAATATTGAAAAGCATGGTATCATATTGACTGAGCCCAAAAGACTTGATAATTAAGGGCCCGAAAGTAGTGATGCCACCACTTGGAACACTGAAGTTTGGTCAGCAACTTTAGTTTAATGTAGTCGTTTATCTAGAACAACCCACGAAATGGAAAACATTAATGCAAACCAGAACCACGATTTGGGGTCAAGGAATGCTTCCTTTGCGTGGTCCCATTTCCACTCTTGGCTCTCTATACCCTGTTGGTTCATTCGCTGTCTTTCAATCGATAACAGTTTGTCCTCCTCTCCAAGAAACTTGGCGGACACCGGGGAATCGGGCATAAAAACACTGCATACCACTGTGTTAGTATGATAGAGGCAAATACAGTAGGTTCAAACCTTACAGAATAACGGCAGAGAACCCAACAGTGACTAGACCGAAGAACAGGAAGATGATCTACTCGCTATTAGCTGCTGATGCTCCGACCGACAATTATGTGTTATAACTTACCTGATAGGGTGCAAATATAGAGGAATTGATGTGACCCAGTCCGAAGGCAATCAAACTTCCAAACTTCCCTTCGGTGTCAATTTAAGTGCCACGAAATTGTTATGGGAGAGAACTAACCATATTCACGACTCCGTTCATCGCATACCAAGAGCTCAATCGCACGGGCTGCTCACGACGCCGGTACCACATTTGAGTGACTGCAATGAAGGCCGGGGCTGATGAAACCCATCGTTAGTAGGAACATTTAGGTACGACCAGGAGATAACGAACCAATTCCAGCCTCAAAGACACCTAGAAATATCCGGCAAGCAAGCAACTCTCCAAAGTTTGTAGCTGCAGTCATGCACGTTAACGCAATACCCCATAAGAGGCAGGAAACAGCCAGAAATTTTGCTATGGGCACTTTAACCAGAAGGTAGGCGACCAGGGGCTGGAACACTAGCTGAGCCAGATAGATCGAACCCCCTAGCCAAGAGTACTGTTGGCCATGCAGATGGGCTTTCTCGACGATTCCAAAAACAGAGGCATATGAGATGGTCGACTTGTCGAGTTGTTGGAGGAAGTAGATTCCTAAGAGAATGGGAAGCAGACGCAAATCGATCTTTCGAAGAACTTTGGCGTTGTTCTCGGGGGTCAATATGTTTGAATGCTCTACCTCTTCGATGAGCTGCAAAGCCTGATCTCCTTTGTGCTGACTTCCTGTGCCTTTATTATGGGGTATAGCCCTTGCCAGATCAGGCTCAATGGTTTCCACGAACTCCTGCTGGCCCTTTGGTTGCGAAATTACCTGCTGCGACATGGTGGGTCATTCGCAGAGGTACAATGGGAGAGGATGAAAGCTCAAGTGATTATAGAAAGACAATGAATAAAGTTGGAAGAGGGAAGACAGATCAAGCTTGATTATAGTTGGACTATGCGAAACCCCGTGGGGACGGAAGTATATTTCATTCCCCGGACAAGCCGATCAAACACTAAATCTCGCACCATAAAGTAGATTTACCCGTTTAGCCCTTGGCATAGTTTCCGATGAAACTTTGTCCCCTCCGTCCACGCGGTCAGTTGATCTGGAGAAAACGGCAAGAGATGTTTCCTGCCACACACGGCCGACATCGGATACGTTTTATCCAATCACTTCACTGAGATAATTGCCGTGGGAGGGGCAATGGGGAAGAAGGGGAGTTGTGAGAAGTTCCCAGAATAGTTAGTATCGGGTTTCGGTGAGTAAAACCGAGAGGATAAGTTAGCGCCAAATCTGGGCACCCCGGAATGTCCTTTGTGGGGGGAAAACACGGCCCATTGGCAAAACCCATGTCGGACTGTCATTCTGACTTGTCTCCGCTCTCGGTAATTCTCTCCGATGTCCGATTCTATACTGTAATGCATCATCGGGAGCACCGCGGGGTACATGGATAGAAGGGACTGAGGGAAGCTCGACAAGCATTCAAATACTCTACCATGTCAGGGAGTATCCTGGTATTCTCTTCGGTTCCTCTAAAGCAATTCCATTAGCTTTCACATCCATCATGCCGCAAAGAGAAAGCTGCCCCAAGGGCTATTCGCAAGTGCCCCAGGCCACCAATCAAGAAGCTTCCGTCCACGTTAGAAGCAGCACAAAGAGCAAGAGTGCCTTTGATTTCACCTTTGAAGCCGTTCGCCCAAACCTATTCCGAGCCACTTTCTCCTCCACAGAGCACCCCATCCCTCCCTATCCTAGTGTCACCAAGCCCGATACCGACCTCCAGGGTGCCAATGTCTTCACCAAGGAGGGCACCTCCTCCAAGATAATCGATGTCGCCGGTGTCACTGCTTCCGTAGACTGGGAACATACCCCCGTGGTCAAACTATCATGGGCTGGTTCCGAGAACTCTCTACACGAGGATTTGCCGCTGAGATCTTTTGTCGCAGACGGCGAGGGTGTCGCCAACTATTCCGTGCATGATCGTGAATGTCTCCATGTCGGACTGGGCGAGAAGGCCGCTCCCATGGATCTGAGTGGTCGTCAATTCCAACTCTCAGCCACAGACTCTTTTGGATATGACGTATACAAAACCGATCCCCTCTACAAGCACATCCCGCTCCTGATCAAAGCTTCTGCAGAGGGATGTGTGGCCATCTTTTCGACCACCCACGGCCGCGGCCTGTGGTCTGTAGGAGCCGAGATCGACGGTCTCTGGGGACACTTTAAGGTGTACCGCCAGGACTATGGTGGTCTTGAGCAATACTACATTGTTGGCAAGACTATCAAGGACGTCGTTCGCTCGTATGCCGAATTAGTCGGCTTCCCCATTCTAGTGCCTCGCTGGGCTTATGGCTATATTTCAGGTGGTTACAAGTACACCATGCTCGATGAGCCGCAAAAGGCCCATTTGGCCCTTCTGGAGTTTGCGGGGAAGCTCAAACAGCATGGCATTCCCTGTTCAGCTCATCAAATGAGTTCGGGATATTCCATTGCTGAGATCGAGCCCAAGGTTCGCAATGTCTTTACATGGAACCGGGAACGATTCCCGGATCCCCAAGACTGGATTGCCAAGATGCACCAGTACGGTATCCGACTTCTGACCAATATCAAGCCATTCCTGCTGGCTTCTCACCCCGACTTCCAGAAGCTCGTTGATGCCGGTGGATTATTCAAGGATGCCGATAATGAGCCTGGGTATATGCGTCTGTGGAGTGCTGGCGGTGCTACCGGCGGCAACGGTGCCCACATTGACTTCACCTCAGCGGAGGCCTTCAAGTGGTGGTACGACGGTGTGCAGAGTCTCAAGAAGGTTGGAATTGACGGTATGTGGAACGACAACAACGAGTACACCCTACCTGATGATGACTGGACCATGTCTCTCAATGGGCCCGCCGTCGCCGACGCCGCAGAAAAGAATGTCAAGAACTCTGTTGGTCTCTGGGGTCGTGCACTACACACTGAGCTGATGGGTAAATCCTCCCATGACGCGCTGCAAGACATGGAACCCAAATTGCGTCCTTTCGTCCTGACCCGCAGCGCTACGGCTGGAACTCTCCGCTACGCCGCCTCCTCGTGGAGCGGTGACAACGTCACTAGCTGGGAAAACATGAAGGGCGCCAACGCCCTTTCTCTTAACGCCGGCATGTCCCTTCTCCAATGCGAAGGCCACGACATCGGCGGATTCGAAGGCCCCCAGCCCTCCCCGGAGCTTCTTCTCCGCTGGGTCCAACTAGGCTGCCATGCTCCCCGCTTCGCAATCAACTGCTTCAAGACTTCTCCCAAGGACTCTGCTGTCGGCGACGTCATTGAGCCCTTCATGTACCCCGAGATCACGCCTCAGATCCGCGACACTATTAAGCGTCGCTACGAAATGCTGCCCTACATCTACTCTCTCGGTCTGGAGAGCCACAAATTCGCAACACCACCGCAGCGCTGGACCGGCTGGGGCTACGAGTCTGATCCCGAGGTATGGACGAAAGCAATTAAGGCCGGCGAGGACCAATTCTGGTTCGGTGAGACTGTGCTCGTTGGCGGAGTCTACAAGAGCGGTCTCGACGTTGCGAACGTCTACCTACCCCGCAAGACCGGCGTCTTCGACTATGGCTACGTCAACATGAACGCTCCATACCAGTACCTCGCTTCCGGACAGTGGGCCGAGATCTCATCAGAATGGAAGAAGAGCATTGCACTTATTGCCCGGGTTGGTGGGGCTATTCCAGTCGGCAAGAACGTGCATACCCGTGTTCCTGGCGACGACACCGCTGCTTCCGTGGCCATCCAGGATATCGATGATTATCGTGGAGTGGAGGTATTCCCACCCAAGGGAACTTCGCACGGTACGGTCTTTGGTACGACGTGGTATGAAGATGATGGTATCTCGGTCCATCCTGGTACTGCTGCGTACACGATTAGCTACAGCTCTACTGATGAGAAGGTACTTGTCAAGTTTGAGCGTGATGAGGCTGGCTTTGCTCCTGCTTGGAAAGATCTGGATATTGTTTTGCATAACGGAGATCAGCGCCGTGTTGTCTCGAGTACCGGTGATGATATCATACTCAAGGGTACAGACTCGCGTGGTCGTGTTGTGTATACTCTGAAGGCTTGATTCTTCGAGTTTTGCAATTAGGGTGTCTCAGACCTGTGGATTTAGATTTGCATGTGGAATATACCAGGTTAGATTGGGGATAAATCAATTTTAAAGTTTCAATAATATGTATTCTCCCATTAAAGTGAAGTTGTCTACATGTTATAACGCATTGTATATATCTGAGCATACGAATGTCGCACCATGCCTTTACAGAAGTAACTTTTTTAGTCTCATCCGCGTGAAACCAACTTTCTATACTTCGATTCTCTAGTATGCTTCGAATTACATACTTGAAAAAAATAGAAAAAACAAAAATAGTATCCAAACGCACTAAAAAGAGGTCTAAAAAGAGCACCAAAAGACCGCATAAGGCGGCATAAGCGCCCCATTATTTTTTGTCTACACTTCGAATTTCCAATGTTTCAATTGTCTATAGTCTAACTCCTTATTATATCCATATTTAATTTAAAAAATTATACAGAAATAGAGCAGTTGTCTCGTAACAGCAAAAGGTGGCGGTGAGCCAGGCGGTCAAAAATTGATATGGTAAAATCCGAAGCCTGGTAATGAACGTGGGGAGTATCCATGGATGCCCCCGTAAAACTTTACAACCCATCTTGTGACCGAATCCCTCCTATTCCCACTCCGGATCAGTAGTGCGCTGTCATGCGGTTCAGCCGCGCTACTTCTATTCCGACAGTCTAAACAGTGGAGATGACGTCTCCACCTCCCAAGCACATCGCCCTGGGGTCCCCGCGCAAACGGTCGGAGAGTGTTGCGTCTCCAAACCGGATGCACCCCTCGGAGACAGGACAAGGACAACCCAGGGATCGAGCGCAGTCGAACACAGATATTCAGCAGCCAGGCACTGGCTTCGACCCCGCCGAGCGTGTGTTTCCGATTCGGTCGGTTGTTTCGGTCGACCCTACTATCACCCCCCAGTATTCGGGTTCAGCGCACTCCCGGGACGCGGTATCGCCAACCCGAGAAGGAGCGCGACAATATCCATTCATCGATGAACGGACATGGAGCCAACTACACACGCAGGTTTCTTCCGACCACCTCCATCACCTCGATCCCGAGCACGCCGAAGCTACCGTCCCCACCGACATTCCACGCCACGAGACACATGTTATAGATGATAAAACAGAACTTGCGACACATTCTTTGGCATCGGATGTTATTCAACACCCCGAGATTTACGCCAAAGCTGCTCCAAGCGACAACCAGTCTGGACGCGGGTCCACCACGCACCCATCCTCTCATACTCAGCGCGGGAACGCTGAAGACCACGGTCATGTTACTGCCCGCTTTAAACATGTACTGACGGATAGTGGTCATGCCGTCATCACAGGACGAGATGGAGAAGCATTTCAATACTGCGAGGACGAGCCCATTCGTATTCCCGGCGCGATTCAGAGTTTTGGTTTAATGATTGCCCTCCGTGAAGAGTCGCCCGATCAGCTCGTAGTGCGAATTGTGAGTGAGAACTCTGCTGAATTCTTGGGATATTCGCCCAAGCAACTGTTCGAGTTGGAAAACTTCTGTGATATCTTGAGCGAGGAACAGGCGGAAAATCTCCTAGATCACATTGACTTTGTTCGTGATGATGCACACGATCCGTCTGTTGACGGACCGGACGTTTTCAATATTTCTATCCGCACAGCTGGTGGGGAGCGCCGCAAATTCTGGTGCGCCACCCATGTCTCTCAGACACAAAAGGATATGATTATCTGCGAGTTTGAGCTCGAGGATGACCGAGTGAACCCGTTGAATGTTGAGGGTCTTGAGACTCCGGCAGTTCCAACAGACACCCTAGGTATTGTTCCAACGGCAGATCAACTCGCTGGGAGCACAATCAATATCAGCCAGCCTCTTCGCGTTCTTAGGAGTGCCCGCCGAAGGAAGGGCGAGGCATCTTCGATGGAAGCCTTTAGTATCTTAACTCAGATACAAGAGCAGTTGGGGCGGACGAATGATCTGGATCAGCTGCTTAATACAACCGCGGGATTGGTTAAGGAGCTGACCGGCTTTCACCGAGTCTTGATCTATCAGTTCGATAGCAGCTGGAACGGCATGGTAGTTGCCGAATTAGTTGATCCTAACGCTACTATCGATCTCTACAAGGGTCTTCATTTCCCTGCATCTGATATCCCCGCGCAAGCCCGTGAACTATACAAAATCAATAAGGTCCGGCTCTTGTACGATCGCGACCAGGTCACTTCTCGCCTTGTGTGTCGGACCTTGGAAGATCTCGAATCCCCATTGGATATGACTCACGCCTACCTTCGCGCGATGTCTCCAATTCATGTGAAATATTTGGCACACATGAAAGTCAGGTCTTCAATGTCAATAAGCGTTAACGCTTTCAACGATCTCTGGGGGTTGATCTCCTGCCACAGCTACGGAACTGCTGGTATGCGCGTGTCATTCCCGATACGCAAAATGTGCCGGCTCCTCGGCGATACTGTATCGCGCAACATCGAGCGGCTTTCATATGCCTCTCGCCTTCAAGCCCGAAAACTAATAAACACTGTCCCAACCGAGGCCAACCCATCAGGGTACATCATTGCATCCTCGGATGATCTTCTACAACTATTTGATGCGGACTACGGCGTCTTGTCGATTCGCGATGAAACAAAAATCCTCGGTGACAACAATAACTCTCAGGAGGTGCTTGCATTGATAGAGTTCCTTCGGGTACGTCAGTTGGATGCAGTACTTGCCTCGCACGATATCGTCAAGGATTTCCCCGATTTGCATTACGCCCCCGGATTGAAGGCAATCTCCGGTCTGCTATATGTCCCGCTCTCTACCGGTGGTAGTGACTTCATCGCGTTCTTCCGCCGTGGACACCTCACCGAGATCAAGTGGGCTGGCAACCCTTATGAAATTGAAAAGCGAAAACAAACTGCGGGATATCTAGAGCCCCGTGAAAGTTTCACAGCCTGGCGTGAGACGGTTCTATCACAAAGTAGAGAGTGGACAGAGACGGACGTGGAGACGGCGGCGGTCTTGTGTTGTAAGTTCTCTCCCTCAGGCGTCCTGAATATTCTGCCCCGGTTGTTTGAAAGCTGACATACTTTCAATAGTGGTTTATGGTAAATTTATCAAAGTTTGGAGACAGAAGGAGGCCGCCATGCAGACCTCGCAACTTACCAGACTACTTCTGGCCAACTCTGCGCATGAAGTTCGGACCCCTTTGAATGCCATTGTTAACTATTTGGAGATCGCACTTGAGGGTGCCCTGGACGATGAAACCAGAGAAAGCTTGACAAAATCTCATTCGGCTTCCAAATCACTAATTTACGTGATCAATGATCTCCTTGACTTGACAAATACCGAAAAAGGTCAGGATCTCATTAAAGACGAGAGCTTCGACCTGGAATCAACCTTGAGAGAAGCGGCTGATATGCTGTCTGGCGACGCCAAGCGGAAAAACATCTCATACACTGTTTCAGTACGTCCGGGTATTCCCCAGTCAGTTGTTGGCGACCAGCGTCGCGTACGGCAAGTCCTCTCAAACGTGATCTCAAACGCCATTCAGCACACCAAATCTGGTGCCGTGACAACAGAAATGTATCGATCTTCGACTCAACCCGTTCCAGGCCATGTGGGAGTGGAGATTGTTGTCGTTGATACGGGGGTGGGCATGTCGCACGACAAATTGAAGACGCTCTTCAACGAGCTTGAACAAGTGTCGACCGATGATACTTACTACCCCGAAGAAGAAGAGAACTCACAGAACACACCCCAAAAACGTGTGTTGGGTCTTGGTCTTGCTCTCGCAGCAAGGATCGTCCACAACATGCAGGGTCAGCTTGCTGTCAGATCCGAAGAAGGGAAGGGGAGTCATTTCAAGATTATATTACAATTCAGATTGCCAGAGGGGACAGCCGTGGATGAAGATACAGATGAAATTACTCCTAAAAACGCTGTCGTTCCTACGCCTTTGCTTTCAGAAAAGGAGTTTACGCTAGTTCCCGGAGCACACGAGTCTTCTGATACCAGACGACGAAGTACGGAAAGCCTTCGCAGTGGTGGCAGTTCCCGCAGTGGACACAGTGGGCGCAGTGGAAAAAGTCACGCTGATCGACTCATCAGTGCCATGCAAGAACCTCCCCTCAAGAGAAGCAATAGCCAAGATTTGGATCTGAGACGATTGAACTTCTCGTCGAGCCCTGCCGGCGCCAGCGGCAATCATGTGACTCCTCTTGCATCACCATCTGCTGTAAAGCGATCATTGCCCGCCCAGGACTTGCATTCAAGTCTATCCTCTGTCGCGTATACCCCGCCGATGACACTACAGCCACTTGTGACTCTCCCCCTCCTCCAGGTATGGAGAATATCACGGATTCAGGAGTGCCGATGAGTGCTCTGCGAATGTCACAACATTCCGCCAGTCTCAGATCACCACAAATCGAGCCTATTAAGGAAGATAGCTCTTATTTCCCGAGAGTTTCATCAATCACAGAAACGTCGGAGGCTCCCTCCTCTGGGCCAGCATCCTCTGCCGTACCAACCACCGCACCTTCAACAACAGACTACGACCCACTCAATGTTCTTGTCGCCGAGGACGATCCAATCAATAGCAAGATCATACATAAGCGACTGACCAAACTTGGCCACACCGTCAAGTTGACCAGCAATGGTGAAGCATGTACAATTGCTTTTGCCTCAGCCACTAAATATTTTGATGTTGTGCTGATGGATATTCAGGTATGTTGGGAACGCTCCTCTCATCATTTTCGCCCTCACTAACCTTCCCTAGATGCCGATCCTCGATGGAATGGCAGCCACCCGGGCGATTCGCGAGTTTGAATCCAAGACACCCAAGGAAGCGCTCTCCGATAAAGCTTTACGCAATGACCGAGTGCCTATCTTTGCTGTCTCCGCATCTTTAGTTGAGAAGGATCTGGAAACCTACATCCATACTGGATTTGATGGCTGGGTCATGAAGCCTATCAACTTTGCTCGTTTGAATGTTCTATTGAGCGGTCTCTGCAATCCGTCCGCCCGACAAGCAGCTACATACACGCCTGATGGAGAATGGGAAAATGGTGGATGGTTCAACACTAAGTAACGAACCTCAGATCATCAACAACGCAAAACCCCCACCCTTGCCTGTCCGGGCTGTATGTCCCCATTCCCACCTTTTCTGTCATGCTCTTGCTTTTCCATTCTACCCTTCATCATCCGCCTTCATTGTCTCCCTTTTCATCCCGCACACACATTAGATGGTTGTCTATTGTCTACGCGACAATGTGTTGATGTATTTGCATATACGGGACCCGGTATACGAAATGGGCCTGTGGGATTCCATCCGGCGTTCCTTGTGATTTGTATCAGGAAAATATACGGATACCCAATTGGACATTTCACATGCATGTTTGTTTTCATTTTCATGTATTTTCATTTTTTATTTTCATTCCCGTTCGTACCTACGTACTGTGCTATTGTGAAGCAGAAACAGGTTGGCACTGTACAGACCAGTTGACTTGTGGCGCAGCGTTGGGGCTCGCCATGGGGTAAAAGGAACTAAGCACAACAGTCCGAGTTTCAGGTCTAGCTGTGTCGAAAGAGGAGAGGGCCAGCAAAGCGGATAACCGTCTCAATAAGATCCAAGAAGCGCTAGCTAATATGCACCGCCTACTGGCGGCGAAGTTGGCGAAGATGGCCCTCCATGCTGACGATGACAATCTCGAGCTCCACAGCGCGGATCATAACTGCGCCGAGGTCTATCACAACCGTTCGACCTATGGCCTCTCCCTCCTCGGCGACTCCTCGTGCCATTTGGGTATCGCTGTGTCGCAGGACGGGGCCATTGGACTGGGAAATGATTTCAGACATGGTGTCATTCGATTCCACCCATACAGTTTCGTTGGCGATAGCACTCTTTTCGGTCTTCTGAAGAGCTTCCTCCAAGGAATTAAAAGCGCGCTGCAATTCACGGAGGCCCTCGAAAATAGCGTCCATCTCAGCGCTGTGAGGCGCTTGGTCCCGGGAGGCCTGGTGAGAGTGGGTACAGCGGGGGTCTGGAGGGGGTTGGCTGGCCGAAGATGGAGACTGACCAACCGAACACTGGACTTCATTCCAATGGCAATTAGCACATCCTGAACTGCCGTTCTCATAGTCCACGACGACGCAAAAGGGGAACACGCCCCTTTCGCATTGGCACGAGATACATTCAAGGTCCGCGTGACGGCGTCGGCCAACCATAAACATACAAATCGCCTCGGCGTGACTAGCGCTACCAGCGATTTGATCTTCTAGGGTGAAGGTATCCCAGTGAACCCCCAAACGTAGCATTGGTACTCGGCGGGCGGGACGATTGACGAGGGGACGTAGGATATCGGAAGTCACATAATGACCCTCTCGGACGCGAGGGTACTGAAGTCGTTGTATGTGAGCGGCCAACTCTGCTGGCGCGTGTTTCTTCGACCCTCTGAGGGGAGCCGGGAGGGTCCCGGTGTCCCCTTGGAGACGGTACGCCGGGCTATGAGCCCGCCTATAAATGTCAGCCAAACCCTCACAATATTACGCAAGGAGATCATTCTTACTCGAAATTCATGATGACAGATCGAAGTTTGATCAGGAAGATGGTTTGTAAGAGTGTTGGTGAGGCGGGGTGAGTGAGAAGGATAGACAGAGCATGATGATCGTGGTTTAAGTACATATACACAGCACGACCACCAACTATGGAAAATCAGGCATCCGACCCCTGGTCCGTCTGCCCTTATAGAACTTGCATATGTATAAAATTTCAATTACATCGTAGCCTACTAGAAGGAATATTGCGCTGGTGCCCACTCAGGACTTATCATAATTGTTATACACGAAAAGCAATGAACATCGAAGGTTCGTCCGGTCTCGATCAATCAATCATTCTCACTCCTGCACGCGGCGCCGCTTGCGCCTCGGCGAGACGGGGGCATTGTGATGAGCTGGGGACATTGATCTAGGAGGGTGGGCGGATGATATAGGCATGCTATTATGGATTCGTTACAGATCAACTCCCACTTGAGCTCTTGTCTTATCCACCACAAACTTGATGGAATTCTGCAACCACCCCGATACTTCATTCCACTGGTCGTGGGTTATCCTCTCAGTGGCAATGTCCTTGAGGAGATGGGTGTAATAAAACCCATCATTGGACTGTTCCATAGTCCAATGGGCAGAGATGGTGATGAGGTGTTGAGTCACTGTGGCCGAAAGGACGCGAGCCACGCCGTCGAAAGACCTTCTCGTGTACTCGTCTCCCCGAGCCTGGGATGATAACTCGCATAGGTAGCGGAGCATGTTAGCGGCGTTATTGCGGTTTCGGATGCGGGCAGCGTCCACTCCCGAGTCCCCTTTCACTAGGTGGTCGGGGCGTGTCGAGGCCGTGCCAATAATATTGAATGATTTAGGAATGTTTCCCATGGAAAGGTACGATATCTCGAAGAAACAAAAGGTTGGTCCATTCGGAGCCACTCCGTAGACCGTGGCGTCTGGTTTAGGGATCTTCTTACGCTTTCAAGGTATTCAACCTTTAAAATAGGTTAGCTTTGATATAAAATATTGGGTATATCGTTAGGTACTCACCCATATAGCCTCACGCTTGAACTACGCCGGAGTCAAGATCGCACTTCTTGACGTCCAAGATCAAAACTTTGAGGGCAACATCTTCATCCTCCCTGTACCATATTCCATATTCGGGGCGGGCCGATGGGTTGGCCTTTTTGTTCTTGAAGCGGACCGGGTCAAGCTTATTAGTTCATGGTCTGAGGATGCCCGGATTTCATCGCTGCCTTTTTGAGCTGCTCCTTATCGATCTTTCAATTTCATGTGGGTAAATTGGTGGCCTGTGATAGACCGGAGACAGAAGTATTTATTGACGTGATTTGATCCAAGCAGATCAGGGGCAGCTTTTGTTGCCTCTCAGTGAGAGAAGGAGAAATCCAAGACATTCAATCTATGAGACAGTGAGGTATTTATACTCTGAGGTTTAGCAAACCATCTGCTGAGTGTGGGAAAAGTACAAGTGGCACATGGATTTTATCGCAGTTTCCTTCTTCTTTCAGTCTGGAATACTTTATCTACCTCCAAATTGCTTCACTTTTAGCAGGCATATCATCTGATTCCATCTCTCTGACTTGAGCTGGGAAACACTAGCGTTTGGACTTCGAAACTTCCCATGTGAAGAATACCTGAATCTGTGATATAATTCCGTTTGCTTGATATTAATATTTCATATACACTGTATCATATCGGAACCTTGGTGTAGACCCTTTTGTCTATCTATTCGTCTTTTCCGTAAAGCTTATCTGGGAATATGTGACAACTATGTGATTTCATATCCAGCGATCATTTGATTTGGCTATCAGATTGGATCACGCAATTAAGCTGAAAGCAGAAAGTCAAATGTACGCTGTGGCTGTGTGACCTCTAAATCAAGGTCTTGAATCCTGATGCGCCTCCCGGGGTCATAACACAATGTTTCTACATATTAGGATGTAATGCATGGCCTATTTCACTACTCTTAGAGACGTTAGTATTTACGAGGCAGCACAAGTCTGGCCATTCAATACGATAATCGGCCGATATCAGATTCAGACCATCGGGTACGGCAGGGTTTAGAAGCCATCGCGCCAACCCACATAATTTAGTCACGGTGCTTAGGATTATTAGCCTTTATATGCAGTGACACCATTAATTAACATCTGTTGTGTGATATATAGAATGATAGTTAGGGTGTAGTTATTAGGCCCCCGGGTCGAGGGCGGCCCCGGTGGTGTTTAGCCAATTGGGCTTGGTTGGCGCGATGGGTTCTAAAACCCTCCGCAATCGGGGGTGAAATGATCGAATTATCCCTACTACCATTCGCACTGTCGTTCATTCATCTTATAACTAACTTTGATTGGCCCTTGTAGTATAAACCTGGAAATGAAGGGTGTGAATGTCGGTGAATTGGCGTGTGAACAGGATAAATAAATGCTGGAAATCCCTCTTGAAATGGCTTTTCAGATTTGTGATAACATTGTGCTATATTCTATCACTGACATCATTTGAACTCCCATCGAATAGACAATGGTTGTCCCATACATTCTGGAAATCGAAAGACTGAGGCCAATTTCACTTAGTATCCTGGTTTCCCTTTTGTTAACTTACGCTATCCGTCAATGGCTACTCCCTCGCCCAATTCCTGGAATTCCATACAACCTCAAGTCCTCGAGGAAGCTGCTTGGTGATGCCCCGGATATGCTTCGTGAGGTGAGCATCACCAGAGATTCAAACGCCTGGTTGGCGCAGCAGGTAAACAAATTGCAATCGCCGCTATGCCAGGTTTTCATGAGACCCTTTTCTCGGCCTTGGGTTCTACTTGCCGATGCAACGGAGGCTCAAGATATCTTGCTGCGTCGGCCCGAATTTGACCGGTCCGAGATCATAACGGATGGGCTGGGACCCTTAGGCGCCTTCCACGCCCGAATGAAGACTGGTCCAATGTGGAAAGCGGCAAGGGCATGGCTGAAGGACCTGATGGGGCCAAGTTTCCTGAATAACATTGTTAGTCCGGTGATGTACGAGAGTTCGGTCCATCTTATGGAGTTATGGGAATCCAAGGTGCGTCTGGCCAGCGGTCGGCCGTTCGATGTCAACAATGATTTGACCCACAGCGCGGTTGACGGCATGCTGTCGTTTGTGTTTGAACGCCACTTCGAGCACACTGCTGTTGGCCCCCAGATTGAGATCTTGTCCCATCTAGATCCTTCCAAAATTGAGGTGGGGGTCCACGGGGACGCAAAGTTTCCGGCAGCACCTGTGAACGAGTTCATCACCTCGCTGTATGAGACAGTCGATGTAATTGATACGGTGGCCAAATCCATAGCGCCCCGGGCCATGATGTGGTGGATTCGGCAATTCCCTCGATATAAGAAAATTGCTGCGGTGAGAATACGTGTCGTCCGCGAGCAAGTGATGGGGGCACTTGAGAGACTCAGCATCACCGGCGAGACCAAGACAGCAATTGAATACATGTTGGTTCGGATGAAGAAGATTGCCGAAGAACAAAACTGCAAGCCAGACTATGAAAGTCCTGTCTTTGTTGAAGAGGTAAGATCCATCATCTTCGCCAGGTTTTATCTGTTGCTAAACCTGGAATACATATATCATTAGATTGAAGGCATGTTCATTGCTGGTACACACAGCGTCAGCACAACTATCGCATGGGCTTTGATTTATTTGACCAGATACCCAGAAATCCAGGATAAACTGCGCCTTGCATTACACACAGCATATGCCGACGCTCACGCGGAGGAACGAGCCCCTACCATAATTGAGCTTACCAACACTCGGGTACCCTACCTGCAAGCTGTACTAGAAGAGGTACTCCGTCTTCATGCAACCAGCGTACCACGACAAGCTGTCCGTGACACAGAGATACTTGGCCAACGTATTCCCAAGGGCACGCACGTGATATTAGTCGCCAATGGACCCAGTTTCCACGCACCATCATTCGACATCGAACCGGGTCTTCGTAGTGCGACCGTGAAACCCAATAAATGGGATGAGACTCGTGATTTGAAAGCCTTTGACCCCGAGCGCTGGCTCGTGTACAAGGAGGGCATGTCTTGGCATGAGGCAGAGTTTGATGCAAATGCGGCTCCCCAGATCGCCTTCGGTATGGGACCTCGGTATTGTTGGGGACGCCGCTTGGCATACTTAGAGATGCGCATGGTTATCACGCTTGTTCTGTGGAGCTTTGACTTGCTATCGCTGCCAGACGCATTAGCTGATCCCAAGGCGTACTATGGGATCATCCACAAGCCAGGTCAATGCTGTCTGAGGCTGAAGAGCAGGAAGTAAATTCGCGATTACTATTTATTATTAGAAAATTTCGGGTCATGGTTGTGTGTGCAAACCCTTTCTATGTGGAAATCTCTTTGAAACCACCCACGTAGTCATCCGTCCCAAACGCTTGTCCATTCCCCATTGACAGGTTCAACAAGAAGATGCCAAAGAGGGAGCCTTGCATATTAGTTATTTAATACCTAGAATTATAAATATATTGAGTTTTGATCATACATAAATTAGCCAGAGATTAATGATAGATCGTCGGGATTCTGCTATATACCCTGTTTGTTTACCTCCGTATCTCGTTTAGATCATTGACCACGTATGAGCGAGAGTGAATTATTTAAATAGCAGCGTTCCATTATCATTATGCAAGTTTTTTCTCTATAAAAAAGTTCAAGCAACGCCAACCTCTCTTGATAAATTTGATAATGGCCGCAATTAAGTATTACTGTCGGAATTTATCTTTTTATTTCCGGCAGTTTTGCATTTGTGATGTGAAATAATGAAATATCAATTAAAATATCTACCCAAGTCGACCTTGATAGTCATAGAAAGCATGGTGCCACAGCTCAACTACTATCACGTTTCTCACCTATATCTAAGCTTTCTGCAGATGGCCTGATCACAGGTGCGTTAGCCAGGCTATAATTACAAATCAATTATTCTTAAAGTTCTCACGGTCCTCATGCGCAGGCTTGAGCTCGCCGTTGTCACTCTTGCTGCCACTATCACCATGGCCCGCAGCGTCGGGGGGAGCAAACCCATATTGCATGGCAGTACGTTCGATCTCCTCGTTTGTCAAGAATGGCATCTCCTTGGCGGCACGGACATACGTCATATTTTCCAGGTATCCCTTGGCAAAGATCAAATCAATCTCCTCAAGTGTGCGACCAGCAGTCTCAGGGTAGAATAAGTAGATCACAGGGAAGAAGCAGGCATTGATAGCACCGAAGAAGAGGTAGGTACCCCACGAGATATTACGAATCATGATCGGTGTAACCATAACGATAAGGAAGTTGAACAGCCAGTTGGTACATGTTGAGATCGCATTGGCCTTTGCTCGTGTCTTGATAGGGTTAATTTCTGCCGGGTAAAGCCATGGTAGAGGAAGCCATGTGGCTCCAAAGAAGGAGATATAAACGAAAAGACCCAGGGCGGCACCCTTGGCGGCGCTGTCGGATCCGGGGATCAAGCAGGCGAATGTAAGAATCATAGAAAGAGACTGCCCAACAGTGCCAATCAGAAACAGCTTGCGTCGACCAACACGTTCAACTAGGAACCACGAGGAGCAAGCAAAGATAGAATAAACAATCATGTTGACACCTCCAAGGATCATAGCCATGAAGTCGTCCTGGCCGAGAGATTCCTTGAATAGCACCGGGAGGTAGTAGATAACAGCATTACATCCACCAATCTGCTGGAAGAATTGGGAAGATGCACCGATAAGCATACGTCGATAATGCTGTGTTTTTCCGCCCGTGAAGACGGCTGACATGGGAGTGGTCTTGCCTGCCTGGCCAGAACTATAAGAGGTCAATGCTATGTTCAAAAGGGGTGCATAATGAAAAGAACAACAGGGCGTGAGGAGAACTTACGCGCGAATCGAGTCCAGAATAATGATCTTCTGAAGTTGGACTTCGTGGTGATCGATAGGTTGATCTGCAAGTGCGGCGATGACAGCTTCACCCTCTTCATATCGCTCCCGAGTGAAAAGCCAACGGGGTGACTCAGGCAGAGCGAGCATGCTGAAGATAATAATAAAGCCGAAAACACATTGGAAAGCAATTGGGAACCGCCAGGTGAGATCGGGAGGTCCATATGAAGCTCCAAAGTCAATCCAGTAGGAGATCAAGGTTCCAATGGCAACATTACTACCCTCAATACATATAAACAGACCACGGTTGTTTGACCGCGAGGTTTCTATGCGAGATCAGTTTGGTTTCCACTCATATGCTTAGGATATAGTTAGTGTGATCAGGTTGATACTAGGTCTTCTTACCGGCTTGATATGTGGGGATTGTAGCTGTGTTCATGCCGTTACCAACGCCAGTGACGACTCGTCCAACACAGAACTGTGCCAGTGGGATATAGCCCGCTATCGAGCTGACCTGAATCACTACTCCAAGAATCATGATAGAGGCACCAATCATGATTGATTTGCGTCGGCCCAGCCAATCACCAAGCATAAGACTGAATACTGCACCGACAAGACAACCTGCTCAACTGATTAGCTTTCAAGCTATGAATCAGAGTATATATGACGTACCTAGCTCGTAAATAGCAGTTACGACGCCCTGCATAGTGGAGTTGCCTCGTGTGGCTGTAAACACATCGTTGAAAGGTTTTGCGTCAATGATGCTACTCATAACACCTTCTGGAATAAGCGATGAAAATTAGTATATCCGTCAGATAGTAGACAGATAGATAAACATACGATCGTAACCAAAGAGCAAGAAGCCCATGGTCGCGGAAGTCGTGACGGCGCGCATCAGCCATTTGCCAGAAAGGCCGGAGAACTTTGGAGCAGACATATTGAGTGTCCTCTAGTCTAGTCGAGACCAGGCAGCTGTGATTCGGTATATCTCACACGCTATGTGGTATGAACAACCGTCAATGTTAATCCACGGAAAAGAAGAGAACGCACTGGCTAGGAGATAGATTCAGGACACGAGACTGATGATATAGGAGGTTAAACGGCTCTTTAATAGCTTTCACCATGGGCTCCCCATAGCGCATGGGATTGAATTGGAGCGTGGACAGACCAAAGCAACGTGCATGGATCCACTTGAATATCGCTTTGAACCAGGATAATTTCCAATCTCGAACACGCCTCCGGACTATAGTCGAAAGTTCTGCGAAATTTGCCCACCTACAACCAAAAGCCCTAGCCTTTCTTTCATTCCACGTCAATAACGCAGGGGCAGCCAGGGAGATGGAGGCGAGCGTCAATATGGCTATAGCGCTTGGCCAATCAGCTAAGGATTCACTGGCTTCGAACCAACGACACAGGATTCGTGGAACGTGATGCTAAGACGGAAAGGTACGCCATGCAGCCTGGAAGAAAATTTGGATTTCGCGGGTGACTGCAGGACCTTGATACCCTGATCTCACGTTGGATGTCAACAAGGATGTGCCGACTTTTTAGCTTTGGGGAAGAGTAGCGTGCGTTCAGGCACAGAGATGAGGCACAGAGAGCCGCAAGTCATGACTCAATATTAGATTGTGCTTAGAATATCACACTATTTGATAGTCACGATGTCAGGGGAGTCTAGGGTTTCCAGAATTGTTCCCTGGCAGAAAAGGAACCAGTGTCATGATCCTAATCCTAGCCATTAGAAGTGGAGAAGAGACACTTCTTTTTCGGCTTGGCTTGGGAGTGAGACCCTTGCAGCCAGCGCCAAGATCCCCCACGCCCCAGGGCGCCTCCAGTTGACATCACAGCTGATTCACAAGCGACCCTTTGCGCCAAGGGGACCTCTGGGAGTCCCCTCCTTCCCGATACGCGATTTTCGGGCAAGCTCCGGGTTGGCAATCACTCCAATATTTTTTGACTGTCGGGATGTGGTCTTGGTATATTGACGACTCAAATCGGTATAGCACTGCGTCTTAGACAGGAAGGTTATGCGGGGCACTTCAGTCGCGAAATGAAGTCTCGACCTCAGCGTATCCCCCAGTTCTCTCAGATTTTACTAGCCTTGGCAAATTATTGCTGGTAGGCCAACAGGTCCACACAGGCCAAAGAAGGGAGGAGGCCACGGAAGCGAAGATCAACCATCGCAATTTGCCTATTTTCTTGAACTTCGTGATATCCAAGTCTGACCAGCTCTTTATATCGAACCTGGTGAGACCGGAATATATATGAAGCAGTTATGTATCAAGGCGAGGTAGCTCCACGGTGGTAGGTAGATTGGTCGCATTTTTCACCCATCTAGTACTTCGAATTCACATAGGTCAGCACAATGATCTCGTAGAAAGTCAAGTCACCTGCCGAGCATTTATCTTACGATCATTCTCGCAACCTCAGCTCGCGGATGGCAGCCTTGGAATATATCAACCATTGAGGCAGTCACCGGGTTAGTGGGACAAATTTTCCTCGGTAACAAGCTTAGGATCAAAGACTTAAAAAGGGCCTGAGGAACGTATAGGAATTCATTGCATCCGAAATGTGTGCGGATCGAGTTATATACAAGCAAGAAGAGTATCAGACGCCAGCGTCATAATGGGAGACGATCATGTTCACCATCCCCCTCGTCTTCCTCTTTGTGCGAAACCAACTGATAGGCTCGATTGAAGCCGAACACTTGGCGAGGTCGACGGTGAACAACGAAATACACGCCGCAAATAAGGCATCCAACTGCCAAAAAGGTAATAGATCCCAAGGTCCATGGGTTTATAAGGGGAGAGCCCTTTGACGCTGGTAGTCGCTGGAGTAGCTCAGTTACACTGAGAGATTCGCCGTTCGAGTTTATTGCACGCACACGAAATATCGAGTCGACCACGGAAGTGAGTGGAATTTCAGTTTCGAACCCGTCGCAAGGGACCTGGTTGACAGCCGTGAAGGTCATATTTCTGAGGTTTTCACCGTCCCATGCCTCAACTTGCCACTTCGCTACCTCGGTGGCACCGTTCCAACTAACAAAGACACTTTCGGGCGTCAGTGCAGTATCGGGGACTGTCAGAGGATTGCCAATCCAGTCGAACTTGAACACTCGGTAGGAAACAACGCGACCAAATGTGAAGAAAGCAGAGGCACCAAAGTGCACATTGCATACGACATCGCCCTCTGGGGAGAACTCAGTGAAGGCTGCAGAGTGACCCCAGCCCACTAGCACGTTCCCTGTGTCTAGTACTTGCACATTCCCTTGAGAAACGGCCATGATATCGTGCGGATGCTCGAAAGATTGCAGTAAAGTTGCCTGCCGCGCTTCCGTATCCAGCTCAACGATCATGCCACGGCTCACTGCGGAGAGGTTGTCATTATTGTGGGCTGCGTTGTCGAACAAGCTGAGGCGGTTGGTTCCTACCCAACGAGCGTCATGCTGCCAAGAAAAATCCGTGGCAGCTCCATCCGAGGCATCGATAAAGTTGTTCTGTTTCCCTCCTAATGACCAGAGGACATCACCAGTGGCGCCATCTATGCATGCAACGGTATGGAGGTGGCGCATCGAAACCAGGTACCGGCCCTGGCCATCCTTTTCCACGCTGTTGATGTGCGAGTGGTCATACCCCGATGTCCTTCCGTGTCCCGTACCTTCAATTGGATAATAGCTATCACTCGGGTGGTAAAAGTCGGATACACGCCACTGGAATAGCAGTTCCCCGGTTTCAAGGTTCACTTCCTGGAACACTCCATCATACATCCATCCCAGCTCCGGGCCACCGATGGAGCTCAAATCAATCAAAATGGGATCGTAGATCATCAAAATTGCGGTATCGTTGGAAGTGATTTGGAAGTCGTGCAGGTCGCCGTCATACATGCCGATTGGAGACACCACATACCTCTGGGTATAGGTTGAATCAAGCTATGATTGGACAAAGTAATTAGAGAACCAGAATTGTGGTCAACTGGCTCAATATATGACCTACCATGTACCATGACCCTTGCCCCAAGCCGTTGGTTGTATCTCCTTGCCAATAAGTGAGGTAGTCTTCGCCCTTGTACCGCTGAACTTTGAAGTCTTGTGTGGTACCCCTGTTCCATTTAGTCCATACGAGTTCCCCATCAGCATTCAGAATCATCGGCCCGGGATGGGCAATTGAATCACCCCGAGGCGCAAGGAATGTGTACCGGCGATCGCATTTTGCGCCAGACGGAGTGATTTCGACAATGGGCGACTCTTGGTCGAAGGAGATATAATTTTGGTCTGGGCCAAATCCTTGAGCTCCTAGATCATACCAGCTCAAGTCGGTGCGGAACCGAAATCTGAGAAGTTGTGGGACAGCAAACAGATAAAATGCAACGAGGCCCCAAATAGCGGCGAGGACCAGAGCAATCCATCGGAAGGGAAAGCGGGTATATCGACGATGATTGCAAAGCCAGGAGCTCAGGCGAAGCATGCCAGAAGAAGTCTGCAAGAACATTAGGGCATTGTGGATGAAACACAAGATTCGAGCAGAGACACAGTAGTGGGGTCGTTTGCGTCGGAGCAGGAGTGGCGACAGCATCCTTTTATTTCACATTCTCCTTTAACGACAATTCCCCGCCGTCTATCCGGAATACTTCTTGGTGTGAGGAACCACTCTGTCTTGGCGGCCCGAACAGTGGAGCAGAGCTTGTACGCGTATGGTGATTCGGTGGCTGGCAGGCTTCCATATAAGAATCATGGTCTGCCAAGCTCCCCGTGGGTCGCAATCCCCTGAAGAATTGCGCGTCTGCGCCAACCAGAAAACATCTGCCGGGAGGGCCATCCGGTAATGGACCATCAATCATCCAGAGGGGCTCCAAAAACTCGAAGGGAACCGCAAAGCCACCAGCCCACGCGTCATGATACGTGGAAGTGGTGGCTTGGACTAAGGCTCTCAACATAACCTAGCTAAATACCACATATATACATGTAGTCACCGAACTTATAGTAGTAGTAGTATAGTAGGTAGTTCGTTAAGCTCATTGGCCAGTAGCTGTACAATGTATGGTCATTTCAGTGAAATTTAGTGGTCTAACTGGAATAGGTAATATGACTAAAGTAGGAATTTGAGCCGAAAATTCGACCAATTAGTACATGCAATGGTCCGTGGGGCTCCACACATGTGCCAAGGATATTCCGGGTAATCACCTGTATCAAACCTGGGATGGATTTCACACTTCAATGTTATCCCGGGTTATACAAAAGTCATTTGCGTAGTTGCTTTTCTGCCTTTTTCTCCTCAAAACTCTGTTTGAGACCATTGTGAAGACCACTGAAAGGCCCTCTGAGAAGACCTCTAAAAGCATGTCTGAAAGGATCTCTGAAAATATCACGTTCATATACAGGACGAAGTACTACTACCATGAGAATTGAATAATTCCTCATTTACTTAAAGAACAACATCATCATTATCATGATCATCATCCTCTCACTTGCTCAAGTCAATAAGCAGCGTATATCGCGTTTCCTCCGTTCTGATCACTAGACCTCTGCAAAGCCCATAAATGGGCCCGGCCCCGGGCCCAAAGCCCAACCCTTAGTGGGCTCCAGGCCTAACCTTCGAAACCTAACCAAAAAGTAATTAGAATAATAGAATATAACCTCGAGATAGGGGTAAGAAACTAGGTCTAAATATAGGGTAATTAAGGGAATGTTTATATTGTTTGGTGCTTATTACGCCCTATTAGGCCCCTATTGAAAGCTCGGTAGGCTTTAACCCCGGGCCCACGGCCTATCGGTAGGCCTAAGGACCGGGCCTAAACCAAGCCCATTAGTGGCTTTGGGCTTTGGGCTTTGTGGGCTTTGTGGGCTTTGTAGAGGTCTAGATCTCAGACACGTTTTGAATAGGATTTAGTAACTTCCATTTCATGAGGTTCATAATCCTAAGGTGTTTTTGCCTTTAGTATCTCTATAATCTTGAAATCTAGACGCTTTCCGTATTGACAGTGATTTACAACCTGTCCCATGTGGCTGATTTTCTCATGACTAATCAGGTCTACCCTCCAGGGCTCCAAGGCTGGCGCCCGGGCGCCCACGTGGACATAGGTAATCGGGGCGTGGCGCTGACTTGTGGCTGTTCCGCTTCATTCTTGGATCAGATAAGAGAATTCAATGTTCTCTACTCCGTACTTCGTACAACATCCATGCATATTATATAGTACACAGATATTGTATGCAACAGTATTCATCACCAATATATCCAATAAGTCAACCCATTTATTCTGTCAACCTCTTTCTCTCCTTTTCAAAAAACTTCTGAATGTCGGCCTTAATATCTCCATTTGGTTTAGTTGCAATACGGTTCATTCTCGGTATTTTGACACCGACAAGAGTTCGTCATTCGGTTGATGGTGGGTACATATTTCGCTGCATACGCAGTAGGGAGTAGTATTGTATTGCGTCTAAAAACGACTTAAAAAAAAACACCATGGTACCTGTAGGAGCAGGGTCCCTCACTTCTCGGCAATGAGAACACGGTGGCCAGTCAGGAGTATCATTTTACCAAATACATATCCATGCATGGGGCCCCATCTCCATATCACAACCAAAAAATCGACGTTTCATCTTCTACAAAAATGTTGCGATCACCAAGGATCATAATCCTGGTCGCCTGCTCGGCTTCAACCGTATCAGCTTAGCTGCATGTTCATTATTTTATATTTACTCCGTAGCGCTGTTGCCGGATGATTCTAATAGCTTGGCGTAAGCAAATTTTTAAATTATGCTGCCAGGGAGATCTCCCGATATCCGTAGTACGGAGTACGGAGTATGTACCTATTTACTGCTTAGCAAGCCACACGGCCTAGCCCTGGAGAGAAAGCCAATCTTGAAATGGAATACATAACGGTTAGCTAAAAAGCCACGTTTTAAGCACATAGCCCGGAACCTTCGGGTCAAGTTCACCTACACTATACCCTAAGTTATATCCAATTCGAATTGATAACTTGAAGGTATCGTATGAAAATTATATGATAGCAAAGTCCCAATAAGTTCAGGAACGTTGGAAGGATATTTAACTGAAACATATTTCACCGGGAAAAGTCGGCAAACAACCCTACATGTAGAATATATTGTGACAGGAGGTCAAACATACGGTGCATGTAGGGGGCTGGCCTGATGTTATGAAGCTGAACCGAATATCGAATACTATTGAATCCTACGTGCATTCTAAACCTTATTCCAAGTTCTCGGACTCATAGAGATTATTTGTGGATATCAAATGGGTGAAGTGCGACCGCTTGAACTACCCTATTGTACAATATGGTAGAGTAGGTCTCCTTACAGAGTATAACTAGCAACTCAGGCAAGAACCAGGATGTACAAAGACAACCCTGCTCTACGGAGTGTGCCTCAATTCACCTTTTTGAGCCATTTAGCTTTGGGCTCTGACCTCCATTTGAAGAATGGGTTAGTGGAGGGCTCGATCACATTTATGAAGTTAATAGTGAGCAAGGTCGAATCATATGCCAGTATATATTATGTACTCCATTATACCCCATTTTGTGCTCTTGGTACCTGAACTTTGGAGAAAATATTCATAAACGGAATGTGTGATTCCACTAGAAAATACTTATAACTATGTTAAATGTATTGAGATATTATTTATGTTATTTGGACAATAGTATATAGATCGGAATAATAAATGATGTACATGTACATGCACATGTGCGTCACTGTCCTGCAGCAAATAAACTTCTTCCTTGGCTCCACTTTCGGCCTTTTCTTTCCCCCCCCTTTGATCATGACCTCCAGGGCCCCTTGTCCAGGTGGCATTGGTCTTTTCTCTTTCTCTTCCCACATCTACAATGAAGAGAGCTATGGATAAGGAGATGGTGTCCCATGACGTTGGCATCGATGCGACCGACCAGGATGATTGGGACATGCAGCGCCTGGGAAAGACCCAACAGTTCAAGGTGAGCTGCGCATTGCCCGAAGCATGACTTAATACTGATCAATGATAGAGAAACTTTCGTTTCTACTCGATCTTAGGTTTCACGACGACGTTGATGGCCACATGGGAGTCGATTCTACTGTGAGTTACTGGACGCGCGATATCACGAGAGAACACCGAATAATGGAGAATGCGCAGCACGAGTACCTACGGCCTGATTGATGGAGGACGAGCGGGAATGGTCTATGTATATATTGGGTCGTTTGTTGGATTTTTCTCCGCAGTGATCTCCATGGCCGAGATCGCGTCGATGTAAGTTCGATTCGACCTGCAATGTTGCGCATGGAAATTGACTTCGCCAGCTCCCCGACATCGGGCGGACAGTACCACTGGGTCAGTGAATTCGCTTGGCCGAGATGTCAACGATTCCTGAGCTATCTCACCGGTTAGCCTACACTTCGAATTCGATCCGATGATCTCCAGCGCTAATCCCCTTCTAGGATGGCTTTCGGTGCTAGGCTGGCAAGCTGCTTTTGCTAGTATTTGCTACCTTTGCGGTACACTGATTCAAGGACTGTTGGTCTTCAACTACTCGGATCCCTCCGGTTGGGTGTATAGCTTTGAGCGTTGGCATGGGACACTGCTGACCATTGCTATCGCCGCCGTCGGAACTGTGGTGAATACCTGGGGTTACAAGATTCTCCCTCCCATGGAGGGCCTCATCCTCGCCATTCACCTCCTCGGATTCGTTGCTGTTGTTGTTCCGATGTGGGTCATGTCTCCAGGACAGGCCTCCGGGGAGTCTGTCTGGAAGGAGTTCACAAATTCTGGCGAATGGCCGAGCATGGGACTCGCGTGTCTGGTGGGCCAGCTGACCCCGATCTTCTCCTGGACAGGCCCGGATGCTGCTACACATATGTGTAAGTCAAACCCAATAGCTCTCCTAATTCGTGGCGGTGGCTAACCTCTATTAGCCGAGGAGGTGCAGAATGCTGCCTTTGTAGTCCCGTGGTGTATGGTGTCGACCGCGTTGATCAACGGCGCCCTCGGGTTCATTATGCTAATCACCTTGCTGTATAATATGGGAGATTTACAAGATGTACTCTCCCCGGCGAGTGGATTCTCCTTCATCCCAGCAGTCAATCATGCAACCGGTTCCGTGGCAGCCACCAATGGTGTGGCCGCTATCATTCTTGTCATGGAAGTGTGCAGTGCTATCGGGATTCTTGCGACAGTCTCTCGCCAGACCTTTGCCTTTGCGCGCGACGATGCCCTGCCGTTCTCTAAGCATTTGGCTCACGTTAACCGACGCACACAGATTCCCGTCTGCTCCGTGTTGGTATCGACCATTATCACCGTGCTACTGAGCTTGATCAACATCGGCTCTACGGCCGCTTTTAACGCCGTCGCATCTGTGATGATTGCTGCACTTTTCACCACTTACATCTTGCCAATTGCCGCCGTCATTCGGGTCCGTTTTCAACCGGGTGGTATTCCCCCTTCGCGCTTCTCGCTGGGTATCTTCGGCTTGGCGATCAATGTCTTCTCACTGGCTTGGCTTTGCTTTGCCATTATTTTCACATTCTTCCCGACCGCCAATCACCCGACCCCGGTGGATATGAATTGGTCTATCCTTGTCTTCGGAGCGGTGGTCATCTTTGCAATTGTTTTGTACATTGTGCACGGTCGCCGAGTATATCGTTCACCTGTGACCCAAGTGCGCAAGGCTGAATAAAGCCGTACTTTGGAATTACATGTTGGATCAACCTTACAGCCCATTGGCTCGATGGTTTGCGCCCGAACGCACTATCTATTTTGGCACCAAGCGCTGGCCCATCTTTTGCGTGTATATGTGGCATTTAATTGAGATCTGAACATATTAAATAGCGATAACTTGATACCCAAAGCAATCTGAACCCGTTTACTGCGAGATTGACCATCGAGCTTCAAGCTGAGCCGGCCGCACAAAGTACTTTTTATGATTTCGACGCGGAAGAATCTTGTCACACTCGACTGTTCAGAGCCAAGCGCTTTCGGGGACCTCCGATCTTCGTGTTAAGCAATCTTCCAGCACTTGATAATCTCTTATCGAGGTGAATTGATTCGACCATAATTGTGCCCTATTAGCGTAGAATGCCCCTGCAGGGATCCGGGTGTGTTTGGCAGTGTCTAGAAACGGCATGTATCTTTACACAAGGGAATAACCTAACTAAAACCCCATTGACAAAGATTTTCTATATTAATATCCTTCTTGATAGTCTACTCCAAATGCAACACGACGCCATTCTTATCAGCTGAAGCACCCCACTCCCATGCACGTATATTGTACAGTGTGACAAGTCCGTGTAATACTGACCTATAAATGGGTTCAAACTTCACCGTTTGCACATATGCAACCTGGACTCTTACGAAATATGTCTCAAACGCGATACGTCTCTCGAGTGATTCCACAAATCTCACTCCACAATTTCGAAGATCGAATCGATGAAATCACCAACCAACTGATCGAAGCCGCCGAAAATGTCGGATTTTTCACCGTAATCGGCCATGGAATTTCCAAAGAAGATATCGACTCCATGTTCGCGATATCGAAAAGTTTCTTCGATCTACCAGACGAGGTCAAAGCAACTGTCCCATGGAATCCGAACAACGTCGGATGGGAAAAGAACTCACAAATCCGACCGTCTACTGGGCAACCCGACAGTAAAGAATCCTACCAGTTACAGTTCGGCGAGAATATGAATGACCTCTGGGTCAAATACGACGACCTGCCTGGTTTCCGGACCGCCTGTCTTGATTTCATGAACCGTACACAACAAGTATCGGAATGTTTGATGCGATGCTTTGCGCGGGGTCTGGGGTTCCCCGAGAGATTCTTCATCGAGTGTCATGGTATCTCACGACCGAACTCGCAAACCACTATGCGTCTACTGCATTACTTTTCGTTGCCGGAGATTCGTGATGGGAAGGTGTATCATCGCGCAGGGGCACATGCCGATTGGGACTTTTTGACTTTACTTTTCCAGAAGGATGGCCAGGATGGGCTGGAAATCTGTCCCGGTCGCGAGGTGGTGACAGAGTTCGGTATTGGGGATGAATGGACCAAAGTGACGGCTAGGACTGGCGAGATTGTGTGCAATATTGGCGATTTACTCATGTCCTGGTCGGATGACCGATTCAAGTCGACTTTCCATCGTGTCAAGGCTCCTTGTGACGATGGCGACTATTTTGGCGACCGATACAGCATTGCTTACTTCAATCAGCCGTGTAAGGATGCCTTGATCCAGGGGCCCTCGAAGAAGTATCCAATGGTGACTGGGGCTGAGTTTACCGATACCGCCATGAAAAGGAATTTTGCGGCTTTGCAGGAGAAGTTGAAGACGGTCGCAACGGCATAACTCGATCGGGATCGCGTGGGCATTGAGTTTTCATCTGGGGGTCTGTTAGGAGTGTTTCCGCACAAGGGTATTTTCGCAGAGGGCTCTGGGCAAAATATAACCGAGGGCATTGAAACGATAGTTACGGCCTGGGAAGACAGTAACAGCCGCAGTAGAAGTCAATGAACATATTACTCCTATAAGTTTCCAAAGTCCCACCAAGTCGAAAATCCGTCAATGTTTCCGAGAGCGGACTCGGAATCTGGGTATCCCACATTGTTCTCCATATCAACAAACTGCGAGGGATCCGTCCATAGCCAGGGGGTATTGGTCATCAAACTGTCGGCGGGCGCAACGAGTTTCTCACCAAGGTCGAGGTCGGAAGAAAGTGGCGTGGAAGATATGTGTGGCATTGGTGGAATGTGGGCAGCTTGACCACCATCCGCAGTGTTAACTGTGACGTTCGGGGACATTGCAACAATCACCTCTAGAGTCGAAGCTGGGCTGTCCTCCGCCTCTTCTGTAGAGACGGTTGGGGTCAATGAGGGATGAAGCAACCCACCCGTCGACACTTCGTGTGGCTTGGGTTTACAGTTGATTTGAAGAACATCCCACATTAGAGGTATGCTGAGATGGATCTTCTCAGGCTCCCAATCATAATCGATGTTCTCCGAACCGGAAGCAATTCGAGTCATTTTATCCAGCGTTTGATCCTGCGTGTTTGTTAGCATTGGTAACTGCTGCTTTGTTTGATGAAACCCACCAGGATTCCACAAGCAGGCGAAAAGGACACAAAGCTCTTCAGGAACCTTCGACATTTTGTGAAATCAACCTTGGACTTGTACTTCAGTCGGGGATCCGCGGCACAGCAGTAGTACAGATGCACTGTAGCTGCGATGGCAGCAGCATGCCCGAAGAATGGATCGATTAGTCGCATCTTCTTCTCAGAAACCATATCTATCATGCGGACAAGCCAGGTAGCATGTAACAAGACCAACTCGGATGATCGTCTCCAGAAGGCGTTCGGGATTGCCAGATTATCATTGTATTGTGATGCCACAATGTAGAGGAAGGGGTGGTTGAGGACAGTTAAAATGGAATGGTAAGTGAACTGCAGCTTCAGCCAGGGAGTCCAGTAGTTTCGGTTCGATCTCAGCTCCTCTGCCGTTCGCTCGAAGAATTTGACTGTATCATATCGATGGCACTGGGAAAGCTTGTTCTCAATTTCTGTAAGGTCAGAGAGCACCATGGCGTACATAGAATCGTGTCTCCAGGGTTCTTTGAGTCTATTGCGAGCACAGTCGGAGACATATGTTCGCACCCTGCTCCAAACCCAGCCGAAGTGAGCTGCTAGGCTCCAGATCCCTATATCAGATGATTTCGAGCAACCAAGATCATCTGTCGGCAGTGGTGGTGGTTTCGCCTCCGTTCCATCTTGCTTTGCGCGGTCGCTACCGGAGGCAATATAGAAGGTTCGCATGACCTCTGATGGTATGCAGAGAAATCCATTTTGCTGGCCGTAAGACTGTTCGAGAGATTGGAGACTCCAGAACAGACGCTTCTTGCGCTCGGTCATGGGACCTTCGCCGGCATGACTTGATTCGAGATCAAGGGTTGCTGACCGGCAAAGATGTAGAGCAAGCCCGAGATAGAAGCGACCGAGGTGTATATCTCCATCTAGAATAAAATCAACATATGGAATTTCTTCACCTAGTGCGAGCGGCTCATACCTAGAAATGAGGAATAGGAGAGCAGACAGAGACTCTCAATGGTTTCAAGTTCCACAGTGCCGTTTGCCATACGAAGCATGACCAAGCTTCTTGCACTATCTCCATAATGTTGCAAATGGTCACGATCTCTTGAGAATCGTGAGGTTAAGGCGAGTAGGCAACAAACGAGCTCCTCTGACAGATAACTTGGGTCTGAGACATCTTCACGATCAAAACACCAAATCGGTTGTCGATGGCAATATTGAAAATAAAGCTCAATAGCTTTGGCAATCGCAGATGACGACGGTTGAGAGCTCGAGTCCTCGTAGTCAAACCCGAGGAAGAAGGGGTCATTAACCGTGCTCGGTTCAATAGATAGTGGACGTGTGGTGGCAGGATAGGATGTTCCCGTGATCCCATTTCCTGTCTCCTGTGGCTTTTCCGACTGAAGCGTTTGAGTTGGTCTACCACTCAGGATGAGGTTTACCTTCTCTTCGAGGAATGCTAGCCTGTCGTCCTGTAGAAAAGAACAAGAAAGAGTCAAAGATTGGCCACTGATAGCCATAAGTCAGCACATACAGACTGCCCTCCGCGAGACCCTCTGGGTATTGTGGTGTAAAGGCATGGCTGATTCAGACGGACACAGCTTGAGCAGGACGGTTTCTCGGCCGGACATCGGGTCTTCTTTCTTCTATACGGACATCAATTCCATCCCTACAGATAACCGATGTATTGCCTTACCTGCAATTCAGACAGGCCTCATGGGAACGCAGTCTTCCGCGGGTGCTCTCTCGTGGCATCATTGAAGGGAAAATAAAAAAAGGGGAATGAGGATTTAGATGCGGGGTATGAGGATATATGAGAGACAGAGGATCGTCACAATAAAAGAAGGGGGATATTTAGGGATATTTAGGAGATAAGATAATGCACGTTAAAAGTCCAGGCCTTGGAGTAATTGGCAAAGGCCGTGGTTTTTCCTTATAGGTCCCCCTTTGATCTGATATTTATGCTCAAAAAGGTTAAACTATCCGCGTGACTTTTCATTCCCCTACTAGATTCTCCGATTTTGCTAACATTGCGGACGCGCTTCTAAATGGCCTGCATGGTTAGGCGTCTAGAACTATAATAGTTCAGGCTGTTCAATTGGTCAGGCTTTCGTTTAGCAGTTTTGTCTGGAAGAATGTTCACATGATCTTCTTTAATGCTTAAACTGTCTCGTGATATGGTTGCATGTAACATGTCATCTTCGTAATAACAAATCAAAGCTAAAAGGTCAAACGCTATTATGCACATCACTAAACCACCATAGTTTCAGGTGCCGTTGCTGCAATAGTGGGAGGTCCACCTCCACATCCTCCTCCACAACATCCCCCCACAGTCAAAGCTGATCCGTCCTTGCTTGTCAGCTTAGAGCAAAAGTCCATATCCTCTTTGCTGACTGCCTCTTCCTTGGGCATTCTTTGTCGCGCAGGCCAAATCTCCTCCCCTGCATCTTCTTCCCGCTGATGGTGCTCAGTGATCAGATCACGAACAATAGACTGGAAGTAGACCGGTCCCTCCTCCATCCGGGAGTGGAGATTGGTTTGTGTCTCGACACAGAGATCTTTGTCTTCGGACATAAAACGCTTGTACGTTTCATTGATGGCTTCGAACTCTTCATTGGTAGAGCTCTTGCTGCGGTAGACTTCATAGCGCACTGAGCACGTGGTGGGGCCCGTAGGGACGAGTCGCTGCATAAAGAAAGAGTGCGGTCTGCGTGCACAATTAGCACCAATCGGATACGTTGGGAGACAATTAGAACTCCACTTACAAGACCGTCATAGCAGCATTGGGGAAAGAATAAGTGCTGGCAATCTTCAGCCCATTGGAAGCCTCATCGGGTGTGGATTCGCCATCTTTGGTATCCACGGCATGTGTGCCGAGGGACTTGGTGTAGTTATCTGCCAGAATCTTCCAGTTATACTCTCCACTAATCTCCGAGGCGTGATCGAAGTTATAGTCCTCGAAGTTAAACCCCTCGAAACGTGGCTGTAAGTCGATTCCTTTAAAGTCATCTTCCCACGAGATTTCAGGCTTCTCGCCGGCATCTAAATTGACCCAAACAAAACCGTTGACATCAATATGAACGTGGATCGGAAGAAGGCCGTTCTTGCTCTTGTCGAAACCTTCCAGATCTTGATACCCGGGTGCCTTGGCAAGTTTGCCATTAAGGCCGTAGGACCATCCGTGATATTGACAAGAGAAAATTCCGGAGGTGCCACCTTCTTCGGTAACCACGGGGAATGCACGGTGTCGACAGATATTGTGGAAAGCATTGAGATTCCCCTCGCGATCTCTGACTAAAATAAATGCGTAGCCAGCGATCTCGTATCGCAGCCAGTCGCCTGTTTTGTTGAAACGCAGCTTGTGTGTAGTGAGAAGCCATTTCCGAGAGAAGATTGCACGTCGCTCTAGTTCATGTATATCCTGCGACGAATACCACGAGACAGGGAGAGGGTGAACTGAGGAATTGTGGTCGGCAGCGGCTGGGGATGCCTCTGCGTCCCCAAGTCCGAGGTAATTCTTAAGCATCGACATTTTGAATGTCACAAGACTAGTTTATGCAAGGCCAGTGGAGAGATATTGTCTTTCAATTCGGGCAGTTCTGTTATCTAGAGGAGAGGGTGAGTCCCTTAATATAGGCATAGCATATATAGATCCCACTGACAGGTATCATGATCATGAGTCCATCCTTCCCCATTGGGATATCAAATCTGTAGGTCTTGACCGATCACAGGATCGGAACGGAGGCTAAGCCGTTTATCGCCCGGCTTTTTTCAAAATCTTATAGACCGTGCTAGAACCTGACGATCAGAGGGAACTCGGTTGACGGCTGCGATTACCGGGCTGGGTGAACGCCACTCGGGTGGTCGGATTTCCTCCGGCTTTCAATGCAGGACAAAAAGTATGCATAGTGCATGCTTTCAATGCTCGGAGGTTACGAAGATAAGCACATGATATTCCAAAACAGGATACACCGTGGTGCATTGCAGTCTCGGGGTTTAGACTCAATTCACAAAAATAGATATCAGATTGTGGCGTAGATGAAGGCAGCATAATCATTTAGCTTCCCTGTATAAGGTCTCAGCCGATCACATGAGCGGGTGGGAATATTGGGGTCAAGGCTATGTAGTTTATTGTCTTCTGCAGGTGAAACTTTAGGTATCCGACATGAAACTGAACAAATTTCTGACTTTCTAGAGTATCGTGTGACACTGTAGTAGAGAGAGAATCGAAATGAGAGATGAATATGTATGTAGTGATGTAGAGCTGTGACAATCGAGCCAACTGGCACCGGCTATACCCCGCACGGGAACTCGACATCTTCGAGCTCCGATCTGCAAGATAACACTTATTCTCATGGTTTGCCTATTATGAGCTCAATTGGCGATAATTACACAATACAAAAAGTTTCATTAAAGCGAACAAGGCAAGCTTGTGGTCCTTGTCGGTATGTGCGAAGCCCCTGATATAAAAAAATCTTGAGACTGTCAGGGTACCCGATGGATGCCGATTCAATTTCTGATATGACATCTTGACAGTCGGAAAAAGGCACGCTGCCCAGGCGAGAAACCGTCATGCTCGTTATGCCACAGGCTAGGGCAACGCTGCTCATACGGACCGCAGCCATCCCATGCGAAGAACCACTCGGTCTCGGCTCCGGTTCAGAGCCAGGAAACACAGCACAGCACCAATGAGGTATTTATGCTTTTCATCCCAGCCGAGAGATTGGATTTGGGGTGAAGCTTAGGACTATGCTAAATTTATCAGATCCAAGGGGATATCCCGACCTCTGGGCGGCTCCAGCGCATCGAAGAAAGGCTAGATATGATGGCACTTTTACTCCAGTATGCAAGAACCTTCGTATCTAAGCCCGAGAAGTCACTAATCAAAGGCTCTTCGCATCCTCCAGAGAAGGCTTACCAAGGTCTAATTCATTACGAGATGCATCGAGTGATAACCAGCTCAATGATGATCGCGGGCTGCAAGAGACTTCCTATGACGACTTCGAGATGCTAGGTTGCCCAGAGAGCCACTCGCTGGCCTCTCAGGAGTATGTTCAAAATCTCCCCCCATTGCCATCACAAATATCCTAACGAAAATGGAACAGAACTGGTCTTTCGGTTGCATTTATCGAGCAGGAAGTGGAAACTTACCTTGCGTACTTTCATGACCAGCCATATTGTCCTTTCTCAAAAGAGTGGCTGTTGATACATAACAGCTCATTGCCACCAGAAGTCGCATTCCCATTAGTGGCCCTCACTTTCCGTCTGTCTCGACGATGTCGGGGACCTCTACATGACAATACTGACATGAAAACGATATCGGAGAAGGCTTGGGACCTTTTATCAAATCAATACAAAGACGGCAAAATGGGTCTTTCATTTCTTCAGGGTACATTTCTCATGGCCCAGGTAGATTTTGCTGACGGAAAAGCTCATCGAGGCTATGCGTCGGTTGCCCTTGGATTGCGTGCCATTCAATCCGTAGGGTTGAATGAAGCAACGTACTCGTATCTCTCAAATGACCCGGATATTGAAACAAGAAAGCGCATTACTTGGGCCTTTTTTATGCTCGATCGCACTTACAGTGCTTCCCGAAATTATTCATTGTCCCTGTCGGACAAGCAGTTCACACTTCCATTTCCTTTCCCAGAGACGGAAGCACCATTCAGTGATAATGGGTCACCGACCCACGGGTCTTTGCATGATGGTCCTGGAAAACAAGGGCAGAAGGTTGATCATGGTATTCTCGCATGTCTCCTGAGGCTGTACTCTTTATGGGGCAAAACCACAGAGTATGTCTTTGAACCCGTTACCGATAACTCGTTACCTCCCTGGCAAACCGGCTCAGCTCTCGCGATCCTGGAGTCAGAATGGTTGCAATTTGAAACACACTTCGCAGACGCGCATCGATATATAAATGTTGATTTCAAAAGTCGCGCTCGAGAAGATCCACAATCACGTACATACCTATCGACCTGGATGTGTGTTCAATTTCTTTTCCATTCAATCCAGTGTCTGCTGCACCACCCATTCGTGATCATGACCAAGCTTCGCAACTTCAACGGAAATTTGTCGGCAACATTTCTGCAAAAGTCCTTTGAGACATCGCTCCTCCACTCTCGATGGATAGTTCGCTTCATAAAGGAGATGTCAGAGGTCAACTTTGAGACCTGTGATCCTTTTCTGGGATATCTGGCTGCGATCGCAGCAACAATTCAGCTCGAGCATACTGGCAGCAAAAATCCGCAAATTGCGCTTCTGCTCAATAAAGAATTTCGAATCCTTGTTGACTTCATGACGGAGCTGTCTGTGCATTGGGAAAACATGAGCGTTTTGGTAAGTCGGTTAGTAAAAATATCGAATCAAATTGCTAATTATATTCACTTTCAAGGTTAACAAAGTGAATGACCTCGCCGCTCGCCATCAAAATTATGGTTCACTCTATTATAACCAGGAAGGTTTCTCGGGCGCTTTATCCAAAATGCCAACCCCGTCGAATATGCCAAGAATGTCCGCAGAAGACGAGAGTCTGATGTGGGAAATCCTCGATTTCGGCTGCTCATCAGGGGGAGACGAGGCAATGAAGTTCGGGGATTTGGCGATCCCTCAAGAGATCAAAATGCAAGCAAATAAAGGGCATGTCGCACAAAGCAGGACCTCGTCGAGAACCCAACGGGGAAGTCAGCAAAACAACAATGATCAGAGAGGGCGAGTGTCCCCAAAGCTTCCAAATTTTGACCAAATATCCGAGTCGATCAACGAAAACCCTTTACCTGAGTGGCCGTTTCAAGCGAGGGGCAATGATGATGTGATTGGGGCAGCAATGCCGGACATTCCAGATTGGATGATCTTGGGAGATTATATGGCAGAGCATTTGTGAGATTGATCATCAAGGGGGTTTGTCAGTTGTGTAAGATAGTGTACGTTGCACATGTATTCGCTGCCATATATCCTTCTGGTTGTGTTTATCGCCACGAAGAATGGTCTGATGTTTTCATAAAATAAAGAAATAGTGTGGCCTTGATCTCAAATGTGTGCTTTGTTCTAAATTATATACTGACTCCAAAGGTTAATGAATGTTCCTGTCTATAACTTTATGGATTGCTTCGATAGTGCGTGTCATATCTTCAAATCTTGCTTGGTCGGGATGAAGCAGCTCTCAATGCCGTGTCAAATGTGTCGAGCTCTTGAGCGGTCAACTCCCTTCGCTCTGGTCCTCCGCGACTTCCATCTCCTGTGAATACCTCTCCCTGGAAACGCTCACGGAATTGGGTAGGGAACTTCCATTTGTCAAGCAACTCCCGAGAAAGCTTGCGTTGGAAGCTTCCTACAATGTATTTTCCGATAACAGGCAGGAACTTGAAAGCACTAGACACGAAAATTTTAGTGTAGGTCCTCGAGAAAAGTGCTTTGGTTCACTTACTGCCCACTTCCTCCAGTAGCAATGAACAAATTCTTGTGCTCTGGGTGGAAATCAAAGATGAAATCTCCGGTCGGAGTGTCATTGTACCAACAGATTCCCACCTTTTCAAACCCCCTTGATACCAGCTGTGGGAAAATATCCTTTAATCCTGACGTGAGGCGTTTCAATCCATCGGCGGGGATATAATTAGCGCGCGAAGCAACTGCTGAGCTGGGCGGTGCGGAGGTGACCGAAGGCTCCGCGCGAGTATAACCGAAACCATGACAGGCAACTTTCAGGTAGCCAGTAGGCTCGTGGGGAGGGAACACAAAGAAGCCAGTGGAAAAATTGAAATAGATAGGCAGGTCTCTGAGCTGTGTGACTTCCTGCGGGGTGAGACGAAGATATCCCACAACCTGTCCAGCGGCGAGCATTGAGTTCCAAGCCGGAATGAGACTCGAAGTCCATGCTCCAGTGGCGGCGATGAATTGGTCGCCCTCAATCCGTCCGTTCTTGGTACGGACAGATTTGATCGTACCGTCCAGTCGCTTTTCGAATTCTTCGACCTGGCCATTCGGACCTGTGATGAAAGACACACCAGCTGAAGCACAACGAGACATGAGACGAGCACAAGCAAGGCCTGCATCTGCCCACCCAGCGGATTTGTTGTAGAACCCGTCAAACCCAGGAGTAGCTAGTCGGCCAGTCAACTTGGGGAAATGTTGTTTCGCCTCTTCCACGCTCCCGACGGAAACCCATTCCTGGCCCATCTCAGTCAAGACACGCTTTGTTTTGAGGCTATACTCCTGTGCTCGGGGCTGCACGGGCTGTTCTGGTGTGCCATCTTGACAGACCCATAAGCAGGGTGTTTGATGAAAGGCTTCTTGATAATCCGGGGTCTTCCAAAGATCGAATGCTTCTTTTGCAATCTCAGCGTAGATGGGGTCTCCATAATCGAATCGAATAATGCGAGAGATGTCATTGCTAGATCCGTCTGGAACCGGAGGTACTGAGCGGTCCAGGATGGTGACTGACTTGTAGCCTTCTTCCTTTAGTCTCAATGCAGTGCCCAGACCGAAGGCCCCAGCCCCAATAATGACGATTCGCTGATCTTTATCCATTGTGACTGTCAAAGTTGAGAAAATAAAGTGCTATATGTTCATTATGGAAACTCCCATGGTCTAATATATATTTGGGAGACGGAAGTCATGATCCGTCCCTCACGGTCCGGAAAGGGATACATCGGGGATAGAACTTCTAGATTTTTAATCGCTGGAGATCTTTTCCTTGTGCGGAAATAGTAAGCCACTACATCCATTGAATATTGTGGATAATAATACCGTGTGCTGTCTGTATATTGAATGTTGTACATGAGGGGAAGGACAACCCATCAACAGCACGGTCCGTGTACGGTCCGGCTATGACAGTCCACAAAGACCAAATGGGCAATTTCCTGCAAATCCTGACTCAGCATGTGCCGTCGGGGCCATCCAGGGCTGGACCGTCCGCTGCCTCTCATCGCCATTCCATGTACGGAGTACCTTGACAACTCAATAATTGCGGTCTGGTGAGTGCTGCTCGGGTGAAAGATTGGTGAGAACCCCGAGTCGCGCGACCGCCACCGCACTGACCCCCTCGGCTGGTTACTCATTGGATAGTACTCCCCGGGGCCGGAATAGAAGGTATCTTGGCACTGCACATACTCGGCCCAACGCACGGCCCAACTCTCATGAGTTGGGCCAAATAACCTCAGAGTATGATCGGGAAAGAAACCAGTTCTACCAAATCTATCGATGCCGATGTTAGGCCGCTTGAATTATGGATCCCCTGAGCATCACCACCGGGGTTCTCGCCCTCCTACACACTTCACGCAAGGTCATTGATCTCATTTCAACGATAAACTCCGCATCAACTGAAATACGCTGGCTCACGGTTGAGATCAGTACCACTCGCGCCCTTCTCTCAAGCATCGCCGATATTGCCGGCGTAGATGAAACATGGAATCATAGTTTGCGGGAATTGATGACCAATGATGGCCCTATGCAAATGTTAGACACACTTCTATCAAAGTTAGAGCACCGTTTGGGCCAGGAAGTCAGAATAAAGGGTGAGCCAGGGCATCTGAGAAGGAAGCTAACTTGGCCATGGCGAGCCGATGACACGCGGGAAATGGTAAGAATCGCAAGGGATGCCAGAGGATTGCTCGCTGGAGCTCTGGCTGTGGACCATTTGTGAGTACATCCTGATATCTAGATACCTTCAGTCGCTTTAGACTTGATTACATCCTACTACCTCTATCAGCGCTTTGCGGTACCTGGCTTGTCTTAGAATCTTTCTGAAAGTTCTATAATTTAGGACCATTTCGAAGGAAATTCGAGAAGAGACCAAGCAGATCCATGAAGATTCTCAGAAAACATTGCTCAGGCAGGATGGTTCGTCAACTGTTGACTGTAAATGCTCATGATTCTTAATCTAACCCATTTAGTAAGCGAGCAGCGGATGGTTGTCGAATGGCTGTCAACCGTCGATGCTGCCGAGTGCCACTATTCTGCCTGCACAAAACATGAGGAGGGGACCGGTGACTGGCTGCTTGAGTCGAAAGACTTTGGTCTTTGGTTGACTGGTACGAGGGAGGTGATCTGGTTGTATGGAATCCCAGGCTCAGGAAAGACAGGTTTGTATGCAACTGCCATGAGTCCACGGGTGATGTTGACGCTTTCAGTGCATTGTTCAACAATTATTGAGCATGTTCAAAAGATCTGCAAACACGACGATCAGCCAGTCTGTTTCTGTATTTATTATTACTTTGACTTCAAAGATCGGAAACGGCAAACATTTGATGGCTTTATCAGGTCAGCCATTGCTCAGATTTGCCGGCAAAGCACGGTGGTCCCGCGAGAGGTGATGAGGCTTTATGAAGACAAAAGCAAAAAGGGCCAGGATCCAAGCCCGGCGAGTCTTGTTGAGACACTCTTAACACTTTTGAAACATCCTGGCAAGACGTATATTATCCTTGACGCTTTGGACGAATGTCTAGCGCAGAAAGAGATATTCGACCTAATTTTGAGGATGAAAGAGGGGACCGCTTGGTCAGCGAATATTATGGTTACTAGTCGTTTGGAGCGGCAGATCCAGACTGGGCTGCAGGATCTGGTTACTAGGGCGATCCCTCTTCGCGGGCCACAAGTGGATCATGATATTCAGACATTGGTCCGCCATGTCCTCGTATCAGATCCAGTGTTGAGCAAGCGCCCAATCCAGATGAAGAGAGAGATTGAGCACGCCATTGTCAATGGTGCCAGTGGAATGTACGTCCTAGAGAGCTTATGTGGACTTTTAGCATATCGAATCATTGACCACGGTTAGTGCAGGTTCCGACTGGCAGCATGTCAACTCGACGCCTTACGTTCCTGTTTGTCCCCATCAGCCGTGCGGAAAACTCTACAGTGCCTTCCTCAAACACTGGACGAGATATACGAGCGTATTCTTTGCGGCATAGATGAAGAGTCCCGCTCTATCGCGTTGACGGCGTTGCAGTTTCTGACGATCTCGTCGCGTCCTGTTAATTTAGATGAGCTATCTGAAATGGTGGCTATCAGACCCGGAGTCAGTATTATCGTCGAAATTGATAGACTCTTTGATCCTGCAGATATTCTGGCTGTATGTTCCAGTCTTGTTACCATGTCCAGAGTATCTTTGGTTCAATTGTCGCACTACTCTGTTAGGGAATGTTTGACATCGGAGCGAATCTGCAAAGGGCCAGCCAGTTACTTTGCCATAAAAGAGCATGAAGCACATCTAGCAACCGCACAGCGTTGCTTGACATACCTGTTGTCATTTGACCAGTCAGTGATATCAGACAAATTTCGCGGCTCATCATTGGATGAGTCCCTCGAAACAAGCTATCCCCTACTAGAGTACGCCACGTTCGAATGGCATACTCATGTACGGCTCCTCCCTTCAGAATACCAGAAACAGACAGAGCCCATGATTCTTCGTCTTTTGGATCAAGACAACCTCGCTTTTCATCATTGGCTATCTATCTATCGCTTAGGTGAAAATGAAAACAGTCCTGGAAGTCCGTTATATTATGCCGCGGAGTTAGGATTATCCTCCATGGTTCGCAGGATTCTCGACGCAGGTGCCGATGTTAACGTTGCCGGCGGGATGTTTGGATCACCGCTTGCAGGTGCCACTCTAGAGGGGCATATAGAGGTTGTTCGCATTTTGTTAGAGCGTGGCGCAGATGTGAATATCCAAGGTGGCCTCTACCATACGCCTCTACAAGCTGCTTGTACGGAACAAAGACTTGATGTGTTCAATCTGTTACTTGCTCACGGCGCAGACATTAATGTCGCTGGGGGATACTATGGCTGTGCTCTCCAAGCGGCTGCCGCGCGAGGGTGGCCAGAAGCCGCCCTACACCTCGTCAAATTAGGCGCAGACATCAACATAATGGCAGGACAGTTTGGTACAGGCTTACAGGCTGCATCGCGATATTGCCATGAAGAACTTGTCATGGAGCTTTTGGAAAAAGGAGCAGACCCAAATGCTGCTGGCGGCTACTACAACACTGCCCTTCAAGCAGCTGCGCGAGGTGGACATACTGAAACTATTCAGATGTTGTTGGAACATGGAGCAGATGTGCATATGGAGGGTGGGTTCTGCGGCAGTGCTCTACGTGCTGCCCAATCTCGACAAAACCACGCCGCCATTGAGATGCTTGAAGCCGAACTCCGATTGAGTGATGCAGTTAGATCTTTATCGCTAAGATTCAAGAGGCTGCCTGAGGAAACTGGAGGGGATTGTAAAGAGAGTGCTCTGTAAAATAAAAATGTTTGTTCCCTGGCTACCTTACTGCCTTGGCCCTTCCCACTATGCTCGGCTCAGAGGTACACTCGCCATGATATCATTTTAGCAGACACCCTTTTCCACTTCACTCCAATGGTGGTTGCATCCATGTCAAAGCCGTTCAATCAAAGAACCAAATCACGCGGCGTCATTTGTGCGCCGCATAATATAATAGCATGAGGTTATCGAGACGTGGCCCCGGCCCATCAAGGCCCAAAATATCAGTCAACAGTTTAGATCTCCAGAAGTCGTGGACCGGGGCTTGATGAAGGTATCTGTCTACGGCCTAAGATATACTATTCATGGATATAGTATTGCACGGTTCTACTGACCTTTCTGGTCCTTTCCCTTCACTTTCTTCCTTTCGCATTGCGTATGGTCCATGGACGTCGATCAAATCAAGGTTATCCTGGGCATTGTAGAGAGCAATGTCATATTTCTTCCATCTCCTATAACAATGGTAGCGCGTCTAACTGTCGACTATGGGGAAGGACGATCAACCATCAATTCCATCGAAAAAATCAGTTTATCGTTCTTACAAGTTTTCCATTCTTGGGGCAGGGTCAAGGCAGGATCTTTTTTCTGTAGTTACTCCTATACTCCAATCGTAGGTCAAGTATGGAATTTCAATTGTTCTTTGAGAAAGTCCAGAGAATTACAAGGTATCTCCAATATTTTCAATAATTCTAATTGCTGAAATTCCTATTGTTGTCGCGACCCCACAAGAACAATATCAACATCCTCGCATCTCCGACCGATTCTTCGTATTGTTGCCATTTCATTGTACGCTTTTCAATTTAAAACTCCGTCTTACGTTTTTATTTCCCCATTCCTCTTTCTATTGATTCACTTTAGCCATGGCACGAGTCGTTATCGTCGGAGCAGGTTGGTAACAGTTGACAATCAAATTGGACTTTGGCTAACTTGTTAGGTCTTTACGGTCTCATCGCAGCGAAGACGTATCTACAAATCGTTGGGGCATACGGCGATGAAAGCACAGGCAAAAGCTCCGACGAAATCGCCAAAATCCCCGTCGGTTTCACTGAGAGTATCGATGCGTCCCAAAAGACCTCCTCCGAAAGTCGCCTACTTGTGATTGACTCTGCCTCCGATATTGGGGGTACTTGGGCCGAGGAGCGACTTTACCCAAATTTGTTGAGTCAGAACTCCTATGGCCTTTATGAATTCAGTGACATGCCTCTGTCCAACGTTGTTCCAGAGGAACATGCGGATGATACACACAATCAATTCATTGCAGGCTGGAAGATCAACCGTTATCTCCGTGTATGGGTTGAGAAATGGAAGCTTGAAAAACATATAAGATTGAACTGGAAGGTGAGATAATCTCTATGTGCCCTAGACTTGCGGGATTTCTGAATCATCTGTAGGTCGACGACATCAGCCGTCTCGAAACCAAAGAGTGGAAGCTCAACATCACTGTGACCACGTCCACATCCCCGAGTCGCCGTATTACTATTATTTGTGACAAGTTGGTCCTGGCTACAGGACTGACCTCGGTACCAAATATTCCCAAAGCCAAGGGGGCGTCAACGGCCTCCGATAACCCTGCTCCAGTCATCCATGCCAAAGATGTTGGAGAATGGGCCCGAAAGCACCTAGGATATCAGCCACTGAATGCACCTGAGTCCGAGGTTGCTGCCATTCCAGTCAAAGAGTCACGTTACCCACAACTGCGATCGGTTGCTGTTTATGGTGGTGCAAAATCATCCTTTGATCTGGTACATTTCTTTGCGACTCTACATCGCAACGACTCAAAGCTGCATCTCAAGTCTACACAGGAGAGTCCTATCCAAGTACACTGGATCATCCGTGACCGAGGTGTAGGGCCGGCGTGGATGGTGCCACCATTGTCTACTCTCCCAAATGGCGACACCGTTGCAAGCGATAAGGCTGCAAGCACTCGATTAATTACCCATCTCACCCCGTGCTGCTACGAGATTCCAAAACGTCTGTCTCTCGGGTCCTCCGGGGATCTTCACTGGGAGGGCTCATGGCTGGCGTGGTTATTACATGGTAACCCAGTTGGCCGATGGTGGATTGGTTGGCTCTGGCGATCGATCGATAAAGGCTTGGAGGAGACAGCGCAATATGGTTCAGATCCGAAGATGGCAAAGCTTCGTCCAGAGAACAGGTGAGTCTAATTAGAGATCATTTGGAATACTAGGTAACTGATGGCTTCCAGTGTTGTCTCGTGCGCATCCGGTATTGGTATCGCAAACCAAGGAGACCTCTGGGAAACGATTAGATTGCCCCATGTCAATGTGTACCGATCGACCATCACGGATATCGTTGCTACCAGGCCGGAGAAAGCCACAGATTCATCTACGAAAGCCTCAGTGCACATTTCAGACAGCAATTGCATTGATGAAGTTGATCTGGTCATACATGCGACCGGATATAAGCCAATAGTCCCAATTCGGTTTGAACCTGCAAGTCTCCGTCTGGAATTGGGGCTTTCAGCCCTGGTGGACTCGGGGGGCCAGAATATTTGCGAGAATCGTGAAATTGCAGCAGGAACACCGGAGAGAATCGATGGACCACTAGAATCAACCATAAAAGACCGCATCCAACACTGGGACGATCTAGATCGACGTTCTGAAGTCATGGTCAGAAAGACGTTGAATGCGACAAGGTGCGCTTTCACAGATCGGAGTCCTCCCTCATGGGCTGAGCCTCACAAGCTGGTGCCATATCGCCTATTCCGCCGTATGGTGGCACCTGAATTAGTCGCAAAAGGAGACCGCTCATTTGCAACACTCGGTGTTGTTTTATCGTCGACTATTGCAGTTGTTGCGGAGGTTCAAGCCCTTTGGGTCGCGGCGTTCTTGACAGGGGGGCTCGACTCCTCCGCGGAAACCACACCAAACCCAAACCAGGCACTCTCACTTAACGATCTTTCACTGGAGATTATGGAGAAAGCCACCTCCGAGGATGTGGTCCTGGGTTCATTGACGGGAACTGGCCTCGAAGTCGAGGCCATTCAGGTATGTTTGTTTTGCCAAACCTCGAGGATATCGTAATCTAACCATTCTATCAGTATAATGACATGCTCCTGCACGATTTGGGACTGAATCCCCACCGATTAGGGGGTGGGTTCTACACTGAGCTGACCGGGGTGTATGGGCCTTCAGTATATGCTGGAATTGTGAATGAGTGGAAGAAAACTCGGGGTTTGGCAGTGAAGAAACCGTAGTTGCGCCGAGTCATTCAACCTAATTATTTTGTATCGCAACTTAAATCATTGAACGTTAGTTTTGACTGCGTCCTGTATACAAGTTCCTGAATGATCCCCCCGTAAACACGATGACAAAGCAAGTCATCGGAGGGTCAGGTGATGGTGCTTGCGACTTCCTAATCTGGAGGCTTGGCATCCGTGTACCTTCCCGATTAGAAACACGCGGCCTCCCCTCTCACAGCCCTGGAGCCTCCAATATTGGCGTGCCATGGAGCGTCGAAAGCAAACTCGACTAACCCGATGTCGCACTGGATGCATGCGCTGTCGGATTCGACGACGAAAATGTTTGTGTTTCTAAATCTGTGGAAAATTCAAGTCTAATAGGTTTTCAGGCGACGAAGGCAAACCGCGATGTCGAAACTGCATTGACCGGAACTACCAATGCAACTATGGTAACCAGTTGACATTTTTGACAAAGAATGCACGCACTGTGCACACATCAGAAGTCGAGGCACCATCTACCAGCTATGAAGCGATTCGGGTAAGTTTTCCGGTGACAATCAAGAGGCAGAGACCTGATCTATACATATGTAGTTCGTCACAGAGGAGATTTCGAAAGATTGCAACAAAACTGAGGATCATGCACTAAATGAGACATCCTCTCACATTGATGTAACTCCACAATCACAACAAGCCGACCCTAGCACACTTAGCGTTGTCAGAGATGAAGACGTGCCATTCTGGCCAGAGCCAGCCCCTCATGCGGCAGACGAACAAGATTATTCGATCTTGAATGACAATGATGAATCTGCGGTCGCCGGGTTGTTGGCTCTCGGTATGAATGGACCCGATCTGGGGCTGTCGGATCTAGTAGTTCCATCACCAAGGACTCCAATGATAATAGCATCTAATTTGTCGCGTCAATTGGCCCTCGCCGCGCAAACTACACAACACCAACCCGAAGCAAGTCTAGAGACACTCTCATCCACCGAAATACAAGCCCTGTTGCGGCACTATCGTTATGAGATAGCCTCTTGGGTAAGATTTTCGAAACCACCACGGACTGCATGGTGCTAACTGCAGTAGTTGGACATATGTGATCTTGGTCAATCATTTGGAATCCAAGGACTTCAGTTGGCGATGGATTCACCGCCGATCTGGAACTCGATTCTTGACCTGTCTGAGACTTCTTTCAACCAGCTTCATCCGCAAAAGTCACCCGGGGAGGGGAAGACATTCCTTCGGCAGACCGACTCGAATATGCAGGGTGACATTACATTTGTCGCACTGCTAAACGTTATAAACCAAGTGAAACACTGTATCTCGAATATTTCTGCTATGTGGAACACCGAAAGACAGTGCGATCATGACCTCATGGGGGCCTTGAGTTCTCACGCAGTGGGCAGAGATATTAATTCCGCGATTTATTGGCTCTCTTTCAGGCTCGGTATGAATCCCAAAACACCATATGTAGGTTTGATTACTATTGACTGACTACTGCGGGCATCACAGATCTTGCGACAGCGCTAGCTAGTGATGGCGACATATGCATGCCGCTTCCCCCGTCGTTCCCATACTTCACAGAAGTAGAATTTGTGGCTGATCCATTCGAGATGGTTTTCTTCTACGCATACCGCCCTCTATGGCTCTGTGCGAGAGCGATCCAATTTGTGCACAACGAAGAAGTTTCTCCTGATCGACCCCCGCTCCATATATGGATTCAATTGGTGGAAGAACTGCAACAATGGTATCGTGAGCGACCAAGGGAATTTCAACCCATGCTGGAATTAGAGCTGGATGATCAGTTAGCTGCACCAGAACGAAGTTTCCCGGTTGTTCTGTTTGCGAATGGAGCAGGCTTGTTTGGGAACCAGCTGTATCATACGGCCATGTTGATCTTACTACACAATCGCCCTCGCACCGCACGCATTACTGATTTCCACTCTGTTGCCATGTCGCCATTGTGGCATGCGCAGCGGATATGCAGTATTGCTCTCCACAATGATCGTCAGGAGTGCTGGGATCCATGTCTCTTGGCATCCTTTCTGCTGGCAGCTCGTCGGATGACACACGAGTCGCAACAACATGAAGTTGTGCGTGGATTCGACCGTATCCGTACGGTGACAGGGTGGAACACAAACAACTCCTTGCAGAGCCTGCGAGCAGAGTGGTGCCTTCTTGATGAGATATAGTCAAGGATCATCTTTGGTGAGATTATTCAAGTTGATACCGTCACTCACCCTGTTACGGGAAACCGCTGTCTATTAATAGTCCGGTCTGAGCGTGAGACCTGATAACCCCAGGCGAGTTCCAGGTCGCAGATGCGCCAGCAAGCACCCCATCCAGTCTCAGCTTCAATGTGACGGATCAGGTCGATTATAATCGCGTGTTCTGATACATGGCTGAACAGCCGTCCCGCAATCCATAATGGCTGGATAGCGTTATTTAAGCATCCGTGGTGCGGATTGGCGAGCGAAATTCCACAAATTCGCCTCGCATGCCAGAGGGCAGACACTGCAGGTGTTGGTTGCAGCTTGATAGATTTAGGCATCAAATTGAGCAGCAAGATGCATGCCGTGCTATATAGTTGGTTCGAGGATATAGCCGCCCATTGCAGAAAAAGGATGTGGGGGAATGGTTTGGTCGTCGTGGTGTGGATTGGCAACAGCTCCGGTGGTCGGTTGTCAAGCCAATGCTGCAAATCGTTCCAGAGTCGCAGCCAGCGGCGATTGAAGGCCTTTCCGGCGCAGTCATTCTGAACACCGAGCTCCACAAACTGAGTACGATCAGCCACCAGCTCGCATGATTTTGCGCAGAGGTATACGGCGTAGTTGGCGTGCATATCCGGGGACTGGACAGATTCGAAGAGCTGAGCAGCATCATCTTCGTGACATCCAGGTGCGAGCCATTTGCTGGGCCGAAGAAGAGTGCTCTGTGTCCCATCAGAGATCAACGCGCCACATAAGTCTAGTTATTTAAAATCAGTCATATCCTTTTCATTTGACCATCAATATGGGCTCTCACCCATGCGTGCGTAGCACCAAAACACAGCTTGTAGAAGCCCGCTGCTGAACCCGTTCATTTCGACTGCGTCAAAAAGTGCCGCACATCCCTCCAAATGACGCTGCCAATCCTGCGCCCGCGCAGACATCATTTCAAGACAGCAGAGCAGTACACAGGCGGCGACAACTTTAGGATCCCGCATCTGCAACAATGGGCTGAGCAGGCGAATCGCTTCCTGGTAAAGCTCCAAGCTGTCAAACGAGTTTTGAATCCCCTCCTTCCTTTCCATTTGTCGGGCGGATATCGCGAGGATCGCATTCATCAAGGCGGGGAATGATCGGGCCAGTGCGGGAATCTGGACTCGAAAGGTACACTGCGAATCGAACATATCGAGCTGCGGTCGGGGATCAGCGGCTATTGAGAACATCACAAGCAATGTCACATACCCACGGTGCCACCTGACTAACATAGTTCTTCAGGTACTCAATGCGACGCAGATTTGACAGCACAGGGCGCGTCGGTGTCTGCTCCCTGTCCTGCAATTGTCGGGAGTCCTGTTCCTGGGTATCTGGGCTCGGTGCCCGGGTGGGAGCTGCAGACTGCGCGAGATTGAAAAGCATGCATCGTAGTTCCTCCTGGGATGCTAAGAAGCCTGGATCATGGGCAAATTCATCAGGCCAGCTGGTAGCGCCCGATGGAGAAGCGAATGCAGCATCGGGATTGGGTAGAGTCGCGTCGGGATCAGACCAGTTGTTCATGGCGTAATTAGAGGCACGCGATGCCTCTCCCAGTTCACAAGGAATTAGATCGAATCATGGAGTCTGTGTTGGATTGTGAACTTGATAGTCATCGAGAAAGTTCAAAGAAAAAAAATCTCCAAAATAGTTGAAGTTGAAGTGGAGAGCCGAGAATGGAGACATCGGCTCTTCTTTCACACTCCTGGGACATTTCAGATGTCTTTTCACAACATTGGAAGCATTTATCAATTTAGCCATATGAATTGCAAAATTTACTCGATCTTCTCTGGATATCCATAAAGTTCACAATATCCCATTCAAGAGTACTCATTGACACTGCACCTAGATCACAACCTACGATATACTTCGTACCCCGTACAGTTCAAATCACATTCTGATCCTCGCTATGCATTAATCTGTGCAGGGGAGATCACTGCAAAAAAGGGGTGTGATCGTAGAACGCAGTTGGCCGTAACCCCTGGCACTTGCAGGAGAAGCAGACGCAAGGGATATGGGGGAAGCCAGATGGTACCCCCTTACAGAAAGACTTCTCGACATTCTACGTTATACTTCCAGGCACTGTCGAGTAACCTATACCCTCAGATCTATTATCATTAGACCTTTTCTTGTCAACGGCGTCATGTACGGCCTCAAACAGTTGTCGGTTCTAAGCTTGATGCTTCTCTCTGTATCGGCAGCGAAGAACCCCAAAAGAACGATTGTGCGCATATTACTCTCAAAATCCTCGCCGTATTGCTAACGGGACCACGCAGGTAGGCATTGAAACCGCCGACAAGAGCCGTGGTATTGAGGTGCCATTGAATGATTGCCATCCGATCGAGGAAGAGTGAGATTGGATTTCCAGCTACATGTTTCGGCCGAAACTAACGAGTCACAGAGACGTTCTTACTGTATCGTTGAAAAAGCCTTGCCGTCTTTTCACGTAAGTCCGGTGACCATCAAGCCAGTGGACTCTCACTAACCGTAGGATAGCGGCCCTGACTGCACAGGACGCAACACATTCTTGAGCCCTGGAGACCACTCTTCAAAGGACCCAATTCCCGTCATCGAGTCGATATTTTGCCAGCTCTCTTGAGAGACGCAATGATCAAAGTGGGTGTTGGAAGATAGATTAGGCATTTTGTCTGGTTTGAATTGGTATATAGTATGAAATCAAGCCCTATTGCTGAACATTCATTCTCCTGCTTTAGACGAACTAAATCAAATTATATCAATATATAACCAAGCCCAGCAGCGCTTAGGTTCAGAATGATTGAAAACACCTTCTCTCATTACCACGTCTACAACGAAGCTTCCTGCTCATCAACCACCAACACCTTGATACTACCGTTTCGAGTATCAGCACAAAGGTGAAGCGCATCCTCGGCGTTTTCAAGAGGGAAGACATGCGACACGAGCTTCTTCAGGTCTAAGATTCCACCACTCATACAGGCAATAGCCGGGGGCCATGTGTCACGGTAGCGGTTGATGAACCGGAGATCAATCTAGCAGAGTCAGCAAAAGAATATTCACTCCACGGAAACACTAATATAACTGACCTCAGCGAGCGAGATATGCATAAAGGGTAAGTTGTTCATGATCGTTTTTCCTACACCAATCACCATGACCGTTCCTCCTCGTCGTGTAGTATATGCAGCAGTGCAGATACTGCTTTCCACACCGGTACACTCGAGTATGGTTTCCGGAGCAGCGTATTCGCCAGACCCAAAGAGAGCACGAATAGCCTCTGCATTACCCTTTGCATCTTTTGTACGGTCCACCTCGTAGGTAATGCAGGACGGGACAAGATCTTTCGCAAATGCCAGTCGGGAAGGCTCTAGATCTGTGACCACGATAGGGTGTGCGCCCGAGGCACGAGCCGCAGCTAAAGCGATCAAGCCAATAGGGCCTGCACCGCATACAACAACACCACGCCCCAATGAAAGACCAGCGGTCTTGATTCCGTGCATCACCACCGAAAGTGGCTCAAGGAGTGCGCCTTCGGCAAAAGTGACATTGTCAGGCAGCTTGTGCAGCCATTTAGCAGGGTGGTTCTTGTAACGCTGAATAGTACCTTCGTAAGGGTAGACGCCAGCAAACTCGACATCCTCGCACAGATTGTAACGTCCCTCGTCACAGAGGAAACAGCGTTCACAGGGTACACCAGGCTCGACGGCAACTCGGTCACCTATCAATTATCAGCCCCAAGGTCTTCAAACTCAATGAATCATGCCTACCTGGCTTCAAATGATTGACACCCTCGCCGCACTGCAGAACGATACCCGAAGCTTCATGGCCAATGGTACAGTCACCTTCAAAGACCAACGATCCAATGCGCCCGGTCTTCCAGAAGTGAATATCCGACCCGCAGATTCCAGTTGCTTTGATATGAACCAGTGCCTCGCCTGGTTTGGGGGCGTAAACTGGCGTGTCGATTGTTTTGAGCTTGTGCTCTGCTGTCACCTGCAAGGAGGGATTGGGATGAGAGACTTTGAGGGGAACGCGATCGCCCATTGATGTTGTCATAGCCTGCTGGCTGTTTTGCTGGTTTAGGGGTACCGAAGTCATTGTGTGTTTTCTGTGTGACTTCACAAAAGTGGGCGACTTACATTCTTTAAAGGCCCTTTGGGAGCCCAACGAGTATTTGATATAGTAAGTTGTGGCTCGAGATACCTGCCTGGGGGTGGTTGGAACTGCCAACTTGATCTCAGCCCCGGTGTGGGGTCAGCACTGGGGTAATCGCCCAATTAGGAAATATTAAGCATCACAACTCGCAATACTATTTCAAGGGCTCCCCCTCCAGCTTTGAAAATTTGGATATCTTGCCAATTGCTCAGCTCTGTACAACTTATATAATGACTGTCGAAGTTCAACAAAATGGCGTCCACGGCGGCCACGGCTCTGCAATGCCTATAGTCCACAAGCTGGCAAAGGACCATGACTTGGTATTGAAGACCTTTCGGCTGTTGATTGCAGACCTGTGTCAGCAGTTTAATGGCGGACACCCCGGGTATGATTTTCCGAACATTGTCATACTTTGGCCAGAAGCTGATTGTGTGCTAGTGGTGCTATTGGTATGGCTGCGATCGGAGTTGCGCTATGGAAATATGTTATGCATTATGCACCGCACACCCCAGGATTCTTCAACCGAGATCGCTTCGTCCTATCAAATGGTCAGTTCTTCATATGTTTATTGATATGGCTCCGAGAGTGATGTATACAGAAGTAACGTCCTATAGGCCACACTTGCCTCTTCCAATACTCTTTCCTACATCTCACAGGCTACAAGGCCATGACGTTTGAACAGCTCAAATCATATCACTCAGATCGCGTCGATGCGCTATGCCCCGGACATCCGGAGATTGAACACGAAGGAATTGAAGTGACAACCGGACCATTGGGTCAGGGTCTTGCGAACGCTGTAGGCCTGGCCATGGCGACGAAGAATCTGGCTGCCACCTACAATCGCCCCGGCTTTGATGTGGTAAGCAACCATACTTGGTGTATGATTGGCGATGCTTGCCTGCAGGAGGGTGTTGGTCTCGAGGCAATTTCGCTGGCGGGACATTTCCGTTTAAACAACCTCACTGTCATCTACGACAATAACCAGATTACCTGTGATGGATCCGTTGACCTCACCAACACTGAGGACGTGAATACAAAGATGCGCGCGTGCGGCTGGGATGTGATTGATGTGGCAGACGGCTGCTTTGATATTGAGGGCATTGTCCGTGCATTGGAGCACGCTCGCTCATCGAAGCACAAGCCCACGTTCATTAACATCAAGACGGTCATCGGGCTGGACAGCAGTGTTGCTGGAACCGCTGTCGCCCATGGAGCTGCTTTTGGCGCCGAGAGTATCTGTGATATGAAGACTGACTACGGTTTCAACCCGGAGGAGCACTTCATCATTGGTGAATCTGTGCGCCAGTTCTTCAAGGAAATTCCTGCGCGCGGAGAGCAGTGGGTCCAGGAATGGGATCAGCTAGTAAGCAGCTACGCTGTCCAACACCCTATTCTAGCGGCTGAGTTCATGGCTCGCGTGCGTGGCGAACTCCCAGCAAACTGGCAGGAGCGTATCCCAACCACCTTCCCTGATAAACCCACTGCCACCCGTGCGGCGTCTGGGTTAGTATTCAACCCAATTGCCGAAGAGGTCAACTCTTTCATGGTTGGTACCGCGGATCTCTCACCATCCGTGAACATGATCTGGCCTGGCAAAGTCGACTTCCAGCACGTGAGTGAAACTAAGTGATATATATCACCATGAGCCAGAATAATTGCTAACCACAACATTAGCCCAATCTCCGCACAACCTGTGGCATCAATGGCACTTACGCTGGCCGCTATATTCACTATGGTGTCCGTGAGCATGCCATGGCTGCCATCTCCAACGGCCTGGCAGCTTACTCCCCAAACACCATCATTCCGGTCACGTCGACATTCTTCATGTTTTATCTGTATGCTGCACCTGCAGTCCGAATGGGTGCGTTGCAGCACCTCCAAATCATCCACGTCGCCACCCATGACTCCATTGGTATGGGCGAGGACGGACCGACCCATCAGCCTATTGAGTTAGCCAACCTATATCGCGCGATGCCAAACATCTTGTACATCCGTCCTGGTGATAGCGAGGAGACAGCCGGTGCATGGATTGCTGCTATCGGTGCCAAGCAGACACCAAGTATCATCTCTACCTCTCGTCAAACTTTGCCCCAGATCCCGCAGACACGTCGTGATGGCGTAGCCCTCGGCGCATACGTCCTGTCGGAAGTCGAGTCGGCAACTCTCACTTTGATCGGCGTTGGGGCCGAACTTACGTTCGCAGTGGAGATTGCTGAGCAACTGAAGGTGCAGAAGGGTATTACCGCGCGCGTTGTCAGCTTCCCTTGCCAGCGCCTATTTGAGAAACAGTCGCTCGAGTACAAGCGCAACACGCTACAGCGACACCGGGGCATACCAGCTGTGGTGATTGAGCCCTACGCGCCAAATGGGTGGGAACGGTACGCAGATGCGGGCATCTGCATGACTCGCTTTGGTCATAGTCTGCCTGGTAAGGCGGCATACAAATTCTTCGGGTATGATATTGATACTATGACAACAAAGGTGGCCAGGTACCTGAAACGAATTGAGGAAGATGAGCTGCTTCGCGGCGAATTTGTCGACCTGTGAGTACAATGTCTGATAATTTGATCGTTCACGGGGTAATGGCTGGGTATCGGGTTAATGAACGTTTACATTTGCTTTATAGTTGCGCAAATTCTCAGTACTTTCTTGCTCAAATCTGGTTGTATATATTCCAAGGTTTCACGTAAGCTTGGAACCAATTTAAGGTTAAACGCACCAACCAATCAGGCGATTGGAAAGTCTAGCCAATGTTGGGGGCCAACAGTGTTTAGTCTTTATACTGAATGATTCTTTTCTTTCTCTTCCCTGTCGTTTACAGTCTGTTGTTGGCCTTTGTTCCATCTATACCAGGTGACCCGGCCCAACTACCCTGCGACCGACTGAAGTTCATATCGACTTCCCTGCTGACTTTACCCCTCAGCTTAGCTTAAGTTAAAATGGGCAAGATGATGTAGAGATGATTCACAGATGTGACCTTTTTTGGGGAACAATGGAATAACACAGCGGTCTGACTGATCGTGTAACGCGCTAGGGGTATTAAGAATGAAGTATAATAGTCATAAGACCGGCCTGGCACGCCAAAATCTAGGGCCAAGGGACTTTGACCATATCGATTTGGGTCTAATAATTATTTCAGCGAGGAAAAGCGTAAAATCTATGCAGCAGGGAGCAAATATGCGGTGACGAGAACGTTGTAGGATTTCAAATAACATTCTACCGAGAACAAGGGGGTCGAAGAAAAGTCTCAGACTGATCTGACCCGATGTCACTATGAATAAGGAAATTAGGATATTCTAGATAGTGATATATATGATACCCATTCGGAAGAACGGAATACACTGTAAATTATATCAGATGGCACAAAAATCAGGAACATCTGATCCTTTTTTCCTTTGTGCTAAAAAGGTTCCTGACCAATGACAGTGAGCTCGTGGCCCATGCCTCGACGCGGGGGACCTAGGGCCTGTTGATCGACACAACGAAAACAGCGTGGTAACCATGCAGAATGGGGTCATGCAGCCACATGCCATGAAAGGAGTTTTTAAGAGGTTCAAAGAAATCCAAGGAAAATGAAAGACTTATAAGCCGGTCAACTCAACCCCAGTCCTGGTTTTTATTTTCTCAAACATGGCGCGTTCTCTACTCCTTGTTGCCCTAAGTCTGGGTGCTGCTGCGATGCCCGCTTCGTCGGGTATGAGCAACATCAAGAATATTGTTGTTTTGGTGCAAGAAAATTTGTCCTTTGACCACTTCGCTGGCGGCCTTGACTATGATGCCAGCATTGATGGCCCTCAGAATCCTGAATTTTGCAATCCTGCCAACGTTTCCATCCCTCAAGTGGACCATGTCTGCGCCAACCCTAATGCGAAGAACATCGCCTCGGAGGACCCCAATCATAGCATTGCGGGTGGTAACATGCAGGTCTTCGGTACCTACCACCCCCTTGCAGGAGCCAAGTCGACCATGAATGGTTTCATCACTGAGCAGCGTACCTCCTACCCAAAAGACGACCTAAAGCGGGCAGCCGAAGCGATAAATTACTTCAAACCAGAACACATCCCCGTCTTCAATACCATCGCTCAGAACTTTGTCTTGTTCGATCGCTGGTTTGCTGCGGTGCCAGGTCCCACAAACCCCAACCGTGCCTACTTGACTTCTGGCACTTCACATGGCCATGGTCGTAATGATGCCGATTTCATGAACTCTGCGCTGCCACAAAAGTCCATTTTTGAGCAGCTATCTGAGAAGGGAATCACTTGGAAGAATTACGAGAACTCGACCCAGTCCAAACCCGCATTTTTGCCAGACGCCATGTTCTATGATTGGACCGCGAAGAATGGCAAAGATAACGTGGTTCCGATTGACCAGTTCTACACTGATGCCAAAGCTGGCAAACTGCCACAATTCACTTGGATCAACCCCGAGTGCTGCTCCTTTATGTCAATGCATCCTCCTTCCCCAATCAATATGGGTGAAAACTTCATCAAGAGCATCTATGAGGCCGTGCGAAACTCTCCACAGTGGAATGAGACCCTCTTCATTCTGACCTGGGATGAACATGGTGGTTTTGCTGATCACGTTTCGCCTCCCACCGACGTCCCCGCTGGCGACAGTTTGACCTATACGGAGAAAGCTCGGGATGGTGAGCAGTACACTTTCCACTTTGATCGTCTCGGGATTCGGGTTCCTGCAGTCTTGATCTCCCCCTGGGTTTCCAAGGGATGGGTCCAGCACAAGCCAACCGACGGGAACGAGTTCACACATACCTCTATCCTCAAATTCGTCTCTGAGCTCTGGGGATTAGAGAGTCTATCCCCGCGCGTGGACTGGTCGGCCTCTTTCGGGAACCTGATCACAAACAACTTCCGAAAGGATACTCCCACGAAGTTGCCGAATGGGGCAAACTTTTAGGTCTTTACTACATATCTTTTGTTAATAGTCGCAGTCCGGAACTCCTACCTTTATGAAATTTAATGACAATGAAAATATAATAACAACGCCTCCCACAAATCCATTGCCGAAAAGTTGCATTTTACCCTTTAAGCCCTGTCCCTGCGTGCTTTGTGTTTTTCAATGAAATAGTACTTTAAGTAGAGGATAAGAGGAATCTCGAAAACGAGCACTGCAACGGACTTGAGAGATATACGAAAACAAAGAGGTCATTTTCATTAACAGCAATATCTTTTTCCACAAAAGACCCCCTTACACGTAAATATCATCAAAGGATCAGTGCAATTACATGCCTCGGCGGGAGAGTTGGGGTAACTACTGAGTTTTGTTTGCTTTCTGACGTCCATCTGACCTGGCCATCACATATGAAGATGTGAATGTCGGGAAGTTTATTTCCCTACATAGAAAGATTTCTACATATTGGTTTAGGTACTGTAGTTATTCAAATTGGGGGCAGGATGACCTCCCGGGGACCTCCCGGGGACACCCCTGTCCAGGTGGGCGGGCAGTGCTCCGATTACATAATCCCAACATCGTGGCCCGGGGACCTCACCTGGGCAGTTCGATAACCTCCTTCTCAAATAATCTATAAACTATCAATATTGTTAGTCAGAGACATAGCAAGATAGGTCACAGAATGTCTGCAGCTGTGTGAGAAACAAGCTTGAGCTGTTTCCACGAATCCAAAAATATTAAGACTACATGCACGATGACCGCAACCACAGGCTATGATAAAGAATCGGTTTGTGCAGAATTGATGGACATAAACGTCCTCAACTATGATGATAGTAGAATCTCTAGTGCATAATACTAGGAGATAACGCCGCCTGGCTCGATGGATAAACTTACGTTAGCTCCGTTGGTTGGAATGTTGATCAACCTCTCCCCGCGGCTCCTGAATAAGTATACGGTTGTATATTGTCCCATTCGCTTATGACCTCTTGATAGAGACATGTGATTCTAATGTCTACATCATTCAGTAGTCTCGACCAAGCCCAACGCATACAAATCTTCGAAAATTGCGTCTTAACATGACATCGTTCAGCGGCGGGACCATCTATACCGATTGGATCTACCCAGCCACGAAGCTTTATCAAACAGGGGAAAGGTAATTCTCCTTTGGTCCTTATCTCTGCCAATGACAGCGGATCCGATACCTGTTATCAACATGGAATTCTCCGAGCCCCCCAGCCCTGCTATGTAGTGATCCCGATCAACATTCCATTTCCCATTTGATCCGCTGAGCGGGGCGGTTCGTGCGCCCACAAAGTGGGCTAAGTCTCGAGGAGACCGTTGTCATTTCTCCGGGCTATTTCTAGAGCGGATCCCGCATCTGATCGTCGCGGCCACGAATCGCAGCAATATTGGAACACCGCGCCTAATACCTCGGCGGGCAGTCAATAATGATATAGAAGACATTATTCATCGCGGACATGTCTATTAGCATTATACGAAGACTTAGGAACTCGAGGAATTACTACAGTACAATCTACTTAGACGCGTGACTTGTGAAACTGACCGTATCAGTACATCTAGGGGGTCAGCATCACATTGTTGGGATCCCAGTCTACCTGGATTCCAGGTATGTGTTTTTGCACCACCTTCCTGGCATGCTGATTGGAAGGATTCTTGTCAGGGAGATTTATTTCGTCATGCAGCTAGCTTCCATTAGCTTATTTCCCTTTCCCACGCCGATCCTGGCTACCCTTTTAAACAGCCGTGTTGAATATAAACCCTTTTCAAAGGAGGGTTTCCCCCGTGGATTTCGGACGTAACAACTTGTACTTCCAGATCCTTACCACGCCCGTGATCACAGACTCGTGATATTTTGCATCATGGAGCCTAAGGAGTATACTCCCAGCTTCACCAGCCGGAGTACATCCTTCATACCTTCCGACCAACAGTCCGACAGCCGGATCATTCTAGACGACGAGAAATTGCCGCCAGTTGATGGAGGTGTCCAAGCATGGCTGTTCCTTATGGCTTCTGCGATGCTCGAGGCTCTTGTTTGGGGTACGTGTTCTTGGTCGAAGATAAATTGTTGTTGAAACTAACACGTGAATAGGTTATGCATTCGCCTTCGGTATCTTTCAAGACTACTATAGTACACACGCGCCATTTAAAGGATCCGATAACATTGCAGTTATTGGTACCTGTGCGATGGTTCGTGAGCAGGATATTCAAGGTTGCCCTTCTCCCGCTAACACAATATACAGGGTATTGCATATTTGATTGCTCCGTTGGCAATCATTTTGATGATCTTAGTGCCAAAGATTGCTCGCTGGGTGTCAACTATAGGAGTTGTTATCATGTGTCTCTCTTTGGCATTGAGCTCCTTTTCCACCAACGTTGTGCATCTTATTTTGTCACAAGGAATTGGATTTGGAATTGGCGGTTGTTTTGCCTATACCCCCACCATCCTATTCATGTCGGAGTGGTTCGATAAACGAAAAGGTCTTGCCTTCGGTATTGTCTGGGTGAGTCACAAAGAATACTTTGCACCCCAAGCTTCTTCTTATGGCAAGTCGAACTGATATATATTATTAGGCCGGGTCTGGTCTGTCCGGTATAGTATTCCCACTTGCCATCCAGTG